ATAGAATTACTGGAAATCTATTCAAGGTCATTACGCCGTTACGCCGTTTTTAGGATAGTGTGGCTGCACCCTGACAAGTAGTAAATAAAAGCAAAATGCAACAGTGGCGGCTCGTCAGCGGAAGCAAGGGAAGCATTGCTTCCTCTAAAATAATTCAGATAAAAGTAATATAATTATTTTTAATAAAAACAAAATATACCAATTTTTACTTTTTACTCTTCCTTCACTTAATTTTTGGGGAATCCGAGTTATGATATCACTTTAACCTAAACGTACTTAGCCAAAACCGTATTTGGCCAAAACTGAACGCGCCGATTTAGTTTTCATAAGTTTCTAGCCGAACGCGTGCCGAACGAGACGCCACGCGCCACGATCAAACGGCAGCAAATTTTACAATGACGCAATATGATTCCGTTCGACAATAAATAAAACCCAAAGATAGGCAACCAAACATATCTCACCTGTGTAATTTGCCTGAAATTTTGTCTAGTGTATTACGGGCTGGAAGCATCGGCAAAACTTGGTTCCTATATGCTTTTTCGGACGTAACAAAACCTAAGCTTTGTCTTTCGTGTTTTTACTGTTCTTCGGTATAGTAATAGCGAAGTTTTTAAAGAGTCATACAAATTATTTTGTTTAGTGACTATTCCCTCCACCAGCGTTTCCGTTGAATGAAGTTTTTCATGTTTAAATAGAATTAAAACCTATTTGCGACATACAATCACTGAAGAAAGACTTAATAACTTGGCCACAATTTCAATTGAAAAAGAACTTTTAAGACTTCTCAAATTAATTAAACCCTTCTCTGAAGATATAATTGACGGGTTTGCAAGTTAAAAATCCCGAAGAATCGACCTGTTATATAAAAATAGAAAGTTTGTTTTGGTAAGTACATTTTTTAAATTACAAAATACCTTTGTATTCTGGATTATTTTATTACTGTAGGCAGCAGAAAATAGTGCATCACACTAAGAACAAAAAATAGGATTAGACGCGTGATTAGTATACATTTTTTGTTACACCAGATCCGAGTCATTTCTTTTTTAAAATCATTTAAATTTTGTGCTGTTTGGTCCCCATTAAAATGTTCGAAAAGTTTTTTTGTCCTCTTAGATGCATAACGTTTTAGGATTTTTTTAACGAAAGTGGCAGGGGGGGGGGCATTTTTTTCTATTTTTGCTTCCCTACTTTTTTTTGCCACGAGCCGCCACTGAAATGCAAGAAAATATAAATAATTTGTTAATTTTAAGTGAATTTCATAAATGATCGGTTTACTACTCGTACTTATATTATAACTAGTTGAAGCCTGGCGCATCCGCCACGACGCGACGGCGACATCGGGAAAAAAAAATACTTTTTATTTTTTTAATTAAATGAAAAACAAAAAATCCGGCTACGACAGTTTTTAGAAGAGTCAATTAGCTATTAGTACGAGAGCTAGCAACGTCGGAAAAATAAGTATTTTAAGACATCTGGCTCTTTGATATATCTTTTACTATGCTCTCTAGAACACCATGCGGCCCGTCTGGCTGCCGGTAAACGTTGCGTTCCCTACTGCGCATTGAAAGAAGATCCTATATTTTTATTAGTCCTTTAACTTCTAGTATTGAATATAAATCGAACATGTCTCCATAGCGCAGTGCGTAGAGTTTCCAACCACGAACCGATCATTCAGAGTTCGAATCCGGGTCGGGGCAAAGACTTTTTTATTTTATTTTCGTTTATATTCTGATAGTAAAGTATTAAATATTTGTTTTTATTTAATTACCAGAATTATTTAATTCTTTACTATCAGAATATAAACGAAAATAAAATAAAAAAGTCTTTGACCTACCTGACCTGGATTCGAACTCTGAATCATCGGTTCGTGGTCGGAAACCCTACGCACTGCGCTATGGAGACATATTCGATTTATATTCATACTAGAATTTATAGGACTAAATTAATAAAAAATATAGGATTTTCTTTCGATGCGCGGTAGTGAACGCAACGGGTATCGGCAGCCAGACGGGCCGCATGCTGTTCCAGAGAGCATAGTAAAAGATAGATCAAAGAGCCAGACGTCTTAAAATACTTTCTCGAAAACGTTGCTAGCTCTTCTTAGTAAAAAAAGCAACTTTGTAAAGCAAGTCGTTACTTCAGTAGAGACGACACAGATAAACATTAGCATTTTATATATGTAGATTACTTACCAGTGGAAAGTTATTCCCTCCAAGCTGCACATACAGTTTTACAGTCTTTTTCTAGAACTCGCAATAATGTCACCGTTAATTTTCTGACACAATAGTCTTCTGAGTTTATTACCTCTCTCTAAGGAACAATTGTATAGTCACTTACTAGCGAAAAGTTATTCCATTATTTCCCTCGTTTTTTAACCGAGATCTACCGCACGCTACACAATCAACTATTTTACAGTCTTTATCGATAAATCGCAATAGTGTCACTGTTCATTTAAGTTCTGCTACAAAATTTCTTTCTAGATTTATTAGCTCTAAACAACTATCAGTAGTAGAATAAATAATAAATAACAAAATAAGCTCAATAAAGACTGATAAATCCACCAAAATTTCAAATCAAATTCGAATGTGCCAAATGAATCATCAAACAGAACTGTCAAGGATCCCTACCCTAGGACCCTTTGTCCGTCTACCTTGCATGAATAAATGGATCTCTATTAGTGATGGGTTGTTATTTAACTATCTGTTATTTTATAACAATTATTTAGAAATAACATAACGCAACCGTTACTACTTCTAAAAAATAACAGATATAAAATAACGACACGTACAGATCGGCCGCTCGTGAAACGAAAAACGAAGTCGGCGCTCTGCACCGCCCCGAAATTCTATGCTGCTCGAAGCAATTCCAAAAAACAACTAGTATGGATGGAAAACCTGTTATTTCGTCAACAGGCGGCGAGACAACGGACAACGGAGTGGGGAATGCGCTACGGCGAACGTAGCTGCTTCGGTCGATCCCGTCGACCGTCGTATTGCGCTTATAACAGCTTAAAAATAATAGGATATAAAAGAAGCAGGTTTTTTGAAACAGTTGCGGGCATAACGCCTGGCGGTCGAGATAACAGGAGTGGGAAAGGAAGGCTGCTGCATCGGTCGATTGTCGATGGAAGTTCGAAACAGGTTGGAGAATAACGCATCAGTTGTTTTAGATATATTGTTTTTCAACCTGTTACGAGTATAACGGGCGGAGGTCGAGATATTATGGTGCTGTATGTTTCAGTACGTTATTAAGTTTCAATATTTAGGTATTTATTTATTCTGAAAAATTTTCAGAATAATATTTTAAGATTTTTTAAAAATGTATACAGGGTGTTTTGAAAAATCTGGTCATTGATTAATCACGATCCTGCTTAAAGCCCTTGACGTAAAAAGCTGATTTTTGGAAAACGGATTGACTTTAGGGTGTAGAGGTTCGATAAGAAGGGATTTTTCGAAACTGGAATTCAAAGGGGGTGAAACCACCCTCAAATATTAGAATATTTTTTATTTAAAAACCGGTGAGTTTTTCGGAAAAACTCTTAAACACGTATATTTTATTTCGTTGTTTTACATATTTTAAGATTTTTAAAAAATATATACAGGGTGTTTCATAAAATGTGACCATTGAGTAATCACGATTCTGCTTAAACTGCTTGACGTTTAAAGCTGATTTTTGGCAAACGGATTGACTGTGGAGTTGAGGTTCGATAAGGAGGGGTTTCTCGAATCTTAAATTCCAAGAGGGTGAAAACGCCCCTCAAATATTACAATATTTATTATTTAAAAAACGGTTAGTCTTTCGGGAAAACGCTTGGACACGCATAATTTATTTTGTTTTTTTACATATTTTGAAATTCTTTAAAAAATAATACAGGGTGTTCCAAAAAGTTGAGTAATTGATTAACCACGATTCTGCTTAAACTGCTCGACGTTTAAAGCTTATTTTTGGCAAATGTGAGAAAATTTTATCCAGTTTGTATGTCAATAGAAATTCTTGCTTTGCTTTATCATCATCATTACAGATTATTAATTCGACGCGAACGAAGTCGCAGGTACACGCTAGTTTAAGTGTAAAATTAATTCGAACTCTAGTGTATAGTTGGTTTACTTATGAAGAATATACTACACATTTTCTTATATTGCTATTTTTTGACCACAAATGGTAAAATTATAACTAAGAGCTTCTTGCCCGTCGAGTGAGATGCACCCTGTACACTGCTACGCAATTCAGGATCTACGCCGATCGAGGGGCAAGGCGTAGGTAGATCGGAATGTATACGTATAGACGAGTGGCGGAATTTTGGCTTTTTTATATCGCAATTTGTAAACAACGCTTATTTGTAAACAACGACCATTTTTAGAGAGGTAATTTAGATAACAATCGATATTTAGAAATTTTTAGACACCCTGGAAATACTACCGCCGAGCATGTCATTGTAGCAAGTTGCAACTGCGTTAATACGCCTGGCGGCGACCGCTTCATACTCTTTCAGATATTTAGCAATAAAATAAAGAAACCTGTTATTTTTAAGCTGTTATTTTAAGCTGTTTTTTATAAATAACTATAAAAGTTTCAACTGTTATCTAAAAATAACAGTTTTGCCCATCACTAATCTCTATTAAAAATAAAAAGACAAACAAAATAAGAAAACGTAGAAAAAAATACTAACCTTTACCATTGTGGATGTGTAATTGCTTAGAAGTGCCTTAAAAGTACGGTAGCGTAATTTAGATTTTAGTTAAGAAAATATTACTTTTTTATATTATTAAAATATTAAGTTTTTTAAAAAACTATTAGCAAATCAAAAGATAGATGTCACAAAAAGTAGTACAAATTATAGGGCCTGGGATGTCTGTCAGTGTATATTAAATTTCCATCTTAAATCTGACGGTAATCAACTCAAATTCGAAACACAAGTTTTTATACTACATAATTGTTTCACAGAACAAGTGTCAATGAAATTTGGATTTAAAAATTAACAAGAGGTATAAAGAACAGTGTTTTCTAATTTAAATTTTATTTTTCCACTGAAATTATCGCAATCAAATACAATAAATAACAATTTAAAATACTTTTACATTCTCTTAACCAAATATAAATAAGTTAGGTAATCTTTAGATTACCTATAAATTATAAGTACCAAACTGTATATGTAATACAATCAGTGTGTGCCTTTAATACATCGTTATTTTTTTTAAAAATATACATATACAAATAAATTAAATTAAAATAGAATTCTTAGTAAACCTATATACACTAGTTATGTTTAATATGCAAGTAATAGCAGGTAACAGAAACAACAGCAAACTAATATATAATTGAAATATCTAATTATATATAATTTTTATTCTATTACCATCTTTTAAGGTGTAGTGATATAACTATCCTTAAACTTGTGTAGTAGCATAACTATATATGTAATAATTAACAGAACAATTATTATTTCTTAAAGTCTAGTTGCATCATCAAGTAAGTTTTTCAGTTCCTTCAAATGCTGCGCTTTGCTGCCTGTAGCTGTACTAGCAGCTACAGGTCTACCAACATAACTAAAAAAAACATAACAAAGTTCAGGTTTTGTTTCTTTACTAAAAATTAAAATTATTTAAAAAGAATGCTCATTGAGCTATGAAGATATGATTTTATTTTAGTGATCTCACCTAATAACCCTTTTGTCGATTTTTTGTTCTTGATTTATTGATTTATTGTCAACTTCAGGAAATAATTTACTAAACCAACTTTTTTTAGCGGGACTAAAACAGTTAAAAAAAATTTTAATTTTGACATATCTTCATGGCAAAAAGAGATTTCTCAATATAACGTACGGGGTGTCACAAACTCGAAGGATGAATTGAGAGCTCGAAACTCTAAAAAATACGGAGGCCAAAGTATGGCAAAGTTTCCCAATATGGTTTTGAAAATTAAAAAATTCTGAGTACTTCCAAAGTTATTCGAAAAAAAAACGGAATATCGTAAAATTGTTTTAATTTTTTCATGACTTTATTTGACACTTAAAATAAATAAATAAACAAAGAAAATATCTCTATATGTACTAGGTATAACATTTTGTAAATTTTCTTCTAGTAGCGAAAAACCCAGAAGCCTATTTTGAAGACATGAACCAGCCACAAAGGTATAGGCATTATTTATTAAGTGTTATATCCGAAGTTTTGTATCAGAAATACCATCTTCAACTTTATTGTTTTAAATACGGAGCTCAATTTTTATTTCGTTTTTTAAGCCTATAGTCTCCCAAATACACACACATAATCAAAGTGATCCGTATACCCATCTATTCATATACACAATGCTTCCTGTGGGAATTTCTTTGAAGTGAAATTTCTTTACGCGATAGGAGTAAAAATTGAAGGCCGTGATACGGCCATGGTACACGAGACGCGAGAGGAAAAGTGGTAACGATCTTGAAGCGTCGTAACTCGGGCCCTAGGTGAGCAAAACGACGTTTCGTGCACTTCGAAGCCCCATCATCAATGAAAAGAATCGTCCGATTTAAATGAAATTTGGTATGTCGATAGATTGGACCAAAGCTAACTTGATCGTGTACGACACGTGTCACTAAGATAGTTAGTTTTGACGTAAGAAACGTCAAAAGTTGATGTCGTCCGATCGTAACCAAATTTGGTGGGTAGGCTATGAGCGACGGTGCACACGGTCCCACTCTGCAAAGTTGGATACGACGTTTCGTTTACATCGTCATCAGGGTGGGACTAACGATGTGATATTGAAGAAAAATGGGGGTCGATTTCGGCATAATTGAGAACGGGCTACAGGATGGCCTAGATCATACATACTTACGTCGATAAATCAACGCCATAAGTTTAGCATTAAAAAATATGTCCCCAATATCACGACATGCCATTTTCAAACCTTCTTTATTGCACTTATGAAACGTTCAATAGGTTTGTCTTTCTCGAGGACCTGACTTTACGCATGCGCATTAAAAGTGACACGTATTTCCAAAATAATTACAATTTTATCCGGTTTAGAAAGTACAAATTATACATTGTTATGGAAACCAACTTTTCATTACGGTTTTCGGAATTAAAATCCTAGATTAGGTAGTTTACTAATCAGCTGTTCCAAGATCAGTGCTGAGAGTAATCAGCTGGAAGTTTAATTACGAACGGTTGGATCATTAGATTAACCGGGTTAACAATCACATTTAAATATATTTCGTAAAAAGAGATAAAAGAAGCAAATAATGTTAATATCCCTCTTTAACGATTGTTTAGGATCTATTTTTATCCTATTTGTTTTGCTTTAAGTATACTTTTTAGTTTCTGTAAGACTATTTTTTATAAAAACAAAATGTGTTTTATTTTTGTCTTTTTTAAAATTATGCCATTTAAAACCACTAAACGATAACACCATAAATTTTATTTTAATCATTTATTTACTGTCGACAAAATAAACACTCCAACATATTAATAATAAAAAAATATATATCAATTTTTATCTACCATTGTGATGAAAAATTTCAGAAATTTTCTATCAAGTTCCATTTTTTCATTATGCCTGGTTATTTTAATCTAAATGTTTTAAACCACTTAAGTTTTGTAGTTTAAGTTTTCATTTTTTTCCTATTGGATGTATCCGATAGTGCTTTTCCGCAGTCAGTATGTTCAGACTTACTTGTTGGTTTTTTATTTATTTAAAATCTAGAGTTACTTGATGTTATGCTGATTGGCTAACGGTCACTAACAAAATATCATGTATTTGATCAACATTAGATAAAGCGATTTCGGATAAAACGGTTATTAAAAAACTTTATACTTCTAACGAACGCTTTCCGAACGCATTGACTCGTTTTGAGATCACTTTTCGAACGTCTGGATTAGTAATCCTATCAATCCGATCAATCAGATCACAGTTTCCGAAAACCCCTATTGTCATCATATTGTCATAATCATATGTCATAATGTTATTTCCATTGTGTAACGACGCTTGTTTTTTGCGTTTTTTATTTTAAACGTTGTATTAATTACTCTTTTATCGACTGCTTTTATATAGTCAAGGATGCAAGTATGTTCAGTGAGAAGTTAATTTTAAGTTTTGCAATTATATTTCTATTTTTTATTTGTTGGGTTTTAATTTTTGGGTAAATATTCGTAAAAATGACAAGAAAGGGTTTGGTGTGTGGAAATTATAATATAAATATAAATAATATAATATTATAATGTAAATATCCCCGAATTATCTTTTCACAGGCAAGTAAAGTATTCAGTTGTTCTTTTATGTAAGGGTGTCCCATTTTGGTTGAAATCATACGGTATCTCCGTTATTAGTAAAGATAGGAGGATGCGGTTTGCACAAACCTGTCCCACTTTTTTGTCAAACGGAAGATGCTGCAAATAAAATTTTCATAGCCTTCTTCGTTTCTGAGCTACAGGGTCTTTTTGAAAATTTTGCAATTTGGGACACCCCCTGTATCTCTGTTATTGTTAAAGGTATCGAGAAGGTGAAAACTGTTTATTGTAGAACTTTTTACGTAGAATACAGTGGCGTAGACTGGTTTTCTACGAAAAAAATATTTTTGAAAGTATGAACTAAAGTTAGGTTTTTTCAAATGGAACACCCTGTATATTTATAAATAATATGATCTGTCTTACTATGAGCTTCTCAAAAATGTATATCACTCTATATTTATTTTCAGTATTTACTGCAATATTTAAAATATATCATTTTCTTATTAGTAGGCCGTGATAAATAACAAAAAAAAAATAAAATGGTAGGTATTTACTAAAATAATCTACATATATTCAAATTTTATTTGGGATTAATATGTTACACTTTTGTGTTACTGTTACCACTGAATCTGTGAATATATTTTTCTTTTTCTCATAACGAAATTTATTTATAACGGGATGCGTTTGCAAATATCTAAAAGCTTGCATTATTAAAGCATTTTTCAGGTGTTCGACATTGTTGTAGTTGCCAGGATATATGCCTTCATATTTCAAAAAAAAACAAAATCAGAAATCGAGAACGAACAAATCCGGGAATCAGTGGGGCCACCATATGGGTTCATTGGTTCCATATGTTGGGATTAATTCATTCATTTGAGAAATAATAATTTAGCAAAATTCTAATATTTTCAAAGTTGTGAGCTGGAACCTCATCTTGCTGAAAGTATATTTCACGTAAATTAGCTAAAGGAATATCTAAAATTTCCTGTGCTGTAGCTTCTAAGATTTACAAATAGCGGTAGAGAGTTAAGTTTCCCTAATATATAAAGAATTTATTAGTGGCTTCCAAAATAAAACAAGAGACAGATAGTAGTATACTTTTAATAATTCCTTAGTTTCATCATTCAATCATGGCCTACTAATAAATATGATCTTTTAATAAAAACTTTTAAATATTGCAGTAAATAGTGAAAATAAATATAGAGTGATATATATTTTTGAGAAGCTTATGGTAAGTCAGATCATATAATTTATAAATATACAGGGTGTTCCATTTAGGAAAACATAACTTTAGTCCATATCTTTAAAAATATACTTTTCGTAGACTGACAGACTACGCCACTATATTCTACGTAAAAAGTTCTACAATAAACAATTTTCACCTTCTCGATAGCTTTAACAATAACAGAGATACAGGGGTGTCCAAAATTGCAAAATTTTCAAAAAGACCTTGTAGCTCAGAAACGAAGAGGGCTATGAAAATTTCGTTTACGGCATCTTCCGTTTGACAAAAAATTGAGATAGGTTTGTGCAAACCGCACCCTTCTATCTTCACTATTAACGGAGATACCGGATGATTTCAACCAAAATGGGACACACTGTATATTAAAACTCATGCATACTTTCTGGTTAGATTTCCTAAGAATGTTGATATTCGTACGGAGTGGCTATTTATTTTTTATATAGTTTAATTTTTGTGACAGTAACATTCAATTATTGTTCAAATATATGCATTTTACAAATTAAATTTTTAAAATTAATTTTCAAATTTGGCGCGTGGGCGATAGGTCCTCGACAAGAATAGATAGAGTAGAAGCACCGCGTGTGCAACAAAAAAAGAAGATAAATGGAAGTCGTTGATATGTTTGGGACAGTTTCCATAGTGATTTACTTATCCACGCAAGTATATATTATCTAGGCAGGATGGCGCCCTCTACGTTTCAAACCGATGCCTCTAAATGGACAAAATCATCAGGATTTTTCTTAATTATGTGTCGATTGGAACCAAACTAGGCATGTGGATAGAAGTACCCGAATGGAGTCCTCAGACGAGAGACGGACAGGTAAACAGATGGAAGTACGAAAAAGTTTCACTTCAAATATGCGCACATAGTGCACACACAATTATTATTAGACTTTTGGGGCAAGTGAGCTACATCATTGTATTTGGGAGGTCATAAACTTTTAAAACGGGAAATAAAATCTCATAAAATTACGCAACTTTGTCATAATTTGATTTCCAAGATCCCTATAGTCATCTCTGAATTTGGGACATCCTGTACAGTACCCAATTAGCACAGTTATTCTACCGATCTAATTTTTGGTGCTATTTTATTTTATAATTGCTTAGTATACTTCCAACACCATTTTGTTTTATTAAAATTGCAAAGTAAAATATTTCAGTTTTGAGAACAAATATCGTTTTATAAGTTAATCGTAAGAACGTTCTTAGAGCAAAATACAAATTAGTTTTATGATAAACGATATTATTTATACGATAAATATAGTTTTATATTTTATTGACTTTATAACATCTTTTAACCCATTTTAATAATAGTTTTCCAGTTAAACCAAGATATTTTAATAATACTACAAACCAAATCATGGATAACACGATAACATCAAGTTAAACAATCCAGTATAAATTTAAAGAATATACATAGATTTAAAATAGGCAATCCAGTCTTGGATGAAAAAAATTAAAAAAAGTCTTGGAAAGTACTAAAAAAAGTTCTATCAGGATAAAATATCTCAATATGATAACCCATCTTTTGTATGTTTAGTTATTTTGACAATGTCCATATACTATAATATGTATCTTTGAAGAAAACAAAATTTATATTTGTATTATAAATGTTTTTACAATGCTACATTTTAGCTTGCTGTACAAATTTGTATTGTGATATGTTTATTTCGATGTTATCTAATACTAGGTCATTCCTTTTCGAACATCTACAAAATTGTTTTAATAGATCTATGTGGAACATTTATACAGTGTGTCAATTTTAAAACTTCCCACCCCTAATATCTTTCTTGCAGTTAAAAATATGAAAAATCGGAAAGACACGTCAATTTTATTTGTAAGGGGGACACTTTAAATTAATATTTTTAGCCTTTTTCTTTTAAAGGAGAGATACTAGGAGAGGTAGATGTCACCCTTACAATTTTAAATGGGAATGGGGGTCAAGTGGCACATCGTTTAAAAGGACGTTTAATTCTCTTTTCAGTGGTATCCTACTTTGTTGCTTTTTGTCCAGAGGTTTCCGAATAATCGCGTTTGAAACTTGCAGAAACAATTAAACATGCCTGCATTGAGATTATGGTTTTCAGGCTAGTGTTTATAAAAAATATTGCAATGGGTCTCCTTGTAGTACAAATAATTAGAAGATTAGGTGGAAACATGGATTTAGCAATTATATTTTTCTAGGTGGGTCGAAATACTAATAAACAGAAAACGTCATAAACATTAACGTTTATTTTCTTAAATTCGAATGAGTGGCAACCTCTAATCAGTTATACAGGAGGATTTGTTAACATTCCAGCAGGACGGTGGCTCCACCTCATTATTTTCTTCCGATCCGACAGTGGTTAAACGAGAGATTTCCGGGTACATGGGCTGGCAGAAGGGGACCAATAGACCACTCCAGAATGACGTCACTGACAGGTCGGCAAAATTTGCTGGGAGGCACACAAACCAATTAATTTTCACGTTGTCCATATGTAAACACAATAATCCAAGGTTTAAACGAACTTAAAACAGTGAAAAATGCCTCATTTTTGTTGTGTTATTAAGTGTTTAATGCGTGATAATGTCTAATTTTTCCCAAATCATGCTGCTTTGGCCAACAGAGGAAATAATTTAAATGCATTATCTAATGTTCGAAGAGAAGTGCGGTTAAAAACTTTGAAATGAAAGGCCCTTGTATGAAAGTGAGATTAAAAAGAAACGAATTTGTTCCAAAGACTTTATAACTGGTAAGTCCGTTTTGCAAAATTATCATTTATTGAGTTTAAATTAACGTTTTTGTTTTTAAGACGAATTATGTTAGGAGATAAGTCTAATTCAGCCAAAATTTGGGATATTCTTCCTGTCTACAACTCTACAAGTCATCTTCTAGATTTGACAGATTAAGAAAAAGATTTAAAAATGAATCAGAGGTTTGTTATTTATACTAAGATATATACAAGTGTATAAAGTATTTTTATTTTTAGTTAAAGATGTTGCTATAAAAGATGAAAATCGACCAGTGAATTTTCATAATCCTCCAATCGTTAATCAACTTTATTCAATTTAAATCGTCTGAGATAGAAGACGATAAACTCAAATACACGACAAGGATTGCACTTCTGGAAGATCAGCTGAATAAGAACGATAACAGGACGGTGTTCAGATCAAATATATACCAAGAATATTTTTCGTGAAGTCTCGGCTGAGTATGCCTATAATACAAGAACTGTGGATTTTGAAATCCTAACATAGCTGAGCCTCTATGAGAAGGGTCCTTGGTACATGAGTGTAAAGTTGTTTAATAGGTTGCCACTTGAAGTCAAGTTAATAGAAGTAAAGAGTAGTTTGAGACAGAAGTAAAGAGTAGTTGCACAATTGAAAAATTTGTTAATTTGATATAGAGCCATATTTCTCAGATTTCCTGTAGACAAGTCAATAAATATTGTGTGACGTCATTTCATTTTCTGTATATACTATTTTGTATTTTTACATTTGTATGTTACATTCCTTGAAGTAAAGATTATTATTATTATTAACTACTAATAACTGTAATTTATTTAAATATGATACGATTTAAAAAAAATATGTGTTTATTTTTAATAGTACAAACCTTGGTTTATAAAGTTTAAATATTATAAATTTTAAATAATATCTGAAACATCAATCCATGAGTTAAACCTGGTAGAAAAGCCTAACCACTTCACATAAAATTGTTTATTATTATTTTTCTGGTGGTGACCTAGCATTATTTCAACTAGATCAATACCAGGAGACTTTGTCTTCTGTAATTCGGCCTCATAAAAATACCCCTTAATTGGTTGACCTACTGATTCTAGGATAATTAAAACTGAGGATTAAAGAAAATTAAGAATTAAAAAAATATGTCTATAACGCTATAAAAGACTGAAAACACAAAGAAATGAATGCAAGTTAATGGTTTATATACGGTTTGTATGCCTCCCAGCGAAAATGGCGGATCTGTCAAAGTCACGTGTTCTGGAATGGTCTATTGAATGGCTTCCAATAAATCCATTGTTTATAGAACACAATCTACTGATATTGATGATCTTAAAAGGCGAATTACAGCAGAATGCCGGTCAATTCCCGGTGAAGTTTTCCGAAATGTTAGGAAGGAGTTTGAAAACACACTTTATTATTGTTAACAGGAAAATGGACAACATTCTGATCAACTTATACGATAGGGCGTAAGTGGTGTAATGTGATCTTCTAATCTTTTGTACTATAAGGAGATCCATTGCAATAATTTTTGTGTAAACACTAGACTGAAATCCAAAATCTCAATGCAGGCATGTTTAATTGTTTCTGCAACTTTGAAACGTGACTATTCGGAAACCACTCGACAAAAAGCAACAAAGTAGGATACCACTGAAAAGATAATTAAACGCCCTTTAAAACGATGTGCCACTTGACCCCCATTCCCATTTAAGATTCTAAGGGTGATATCTCCCCTTCCTAGGGGGTTAAAAGAAAAAGGCTAAAAATATTAATTTAAAGTGTCCCCCTTACAAATAAAATTGACGTGTCTTTCCGATTTTTCATACTTTTAACTGCAAGAAAGATATTAAGGGTGGGAAGTTTTAAAATTGGCACACTGTATAATTATTTTATTAAAGTTTTCTTTCACATATTATTAGCCGCCCATACACGCCAAGGATTTTTAAGCGATCAGTCCCGCAGTCCGGATATATTCCATATCCGCTGACATGGTCGTCCAGAGTACAGATATTTTGACATTTACAAACGCGCATATGTGATCTTTCATATCTGATTCTCAAGGATATTAACCTTGCTGCTAATAGCAAAATCATTTGTTTTGAGGCGGAATTCGTTGAGCAATCCGACTGCCACATGTCCAGTATTTATCCGTGGTAGTACACTAACCTAGATACTGCGGCGGAACAAATCTTTCAAAAATTCCTTACGAGTATTGCTGACAACCAACGGCTGACAACACCATATCGCACTCAGAGTTATATCTTTAAAAAATTTATATAAAACTATCATAAACACTGTCATAAGTAAAAACGCTACCTCCGATACAAACTATATTTTATAATCATTTTGTAAATGTTTATACGATTGTCCGGTAAAATCTATGGAAGCCATAATAAAACAATTTATGGAAAAAACTCTTGCTCTACAGGGCGCCCTTTTCGGGTCTATATCAGCTTTGTATAAACGATGTTAAGGTGTTTATAGGGATTAGGGATGTTTATAGGGATTGTTCTATAAAAATAATGCGAATGTTCTTACGATACTTATAAAATCGACAATTGCTAGTTGGGTAGTGATACTATAAGATCAAGACAGTGACGCAACTAGGCAGAGACTTTTAGGGGGGCTCAAGTCTTTTGCGGGGGCTAAGCCCCTCCTGGAACCTCCCTAGTTGCGCCACTTCAGAAGGATAATAAAACGTTTATCTGCCAATCGATTCTTTCCGTTCCACACGATTGGTAAGCACCATAACTCCAAGTGCCATATTTCAGTCTTTTTATAAAGACAGTATGTTTATATTTATAGATTTTTTTAAACCTTTTATAACAATGGTGGTTGGTGATATGGTGCTATGATTCGTATAGATGATTAAACTTTGCAGCTATATTTACTGTCCTCCATTCACACAGTTGTGCAGCTCTGAACTGTTCAAGAACGCGAAACTCTCACTCCATTCAATTAAGTCATAAAGTTCAGAACTGTTCCGCACCATATGGAGGAACCAGGCTATCGCGCACAGCTCCTTTCAGAACCGTTCTGAGTAGCCCAGGGCGTAAAGCTCTAGAACTTGATATTCGCGAATGGAGGACAGCAATTGTTGCACGTTTTAAAGACCTTATCAAATCAATTCAAAAAACTCACATAACATCTCTTTGTCCAGATAAAGTGGTTTCGAATCTAGGTTTAACATATGTCCACGCCCCTTGATTTTTGTGCTCCTCCTGTGCCCATGCAATTTCAGCATTTGGATATTTATTACATTCTTGTTTAACCAGATCGAATGGGAAAGGAGTTAACTAAATAATATAAATACAATATTAAACAATTTGAATTGGGTATATACAGAAAGATACTAAATAAATATGTGCCGAAAAAATGTAGGTGATTTTGACTTTGATTGATGATATCCTGACACCAAATTTCAATTTATTAGAACCGTTTTTGAAAAAAGCCGACATTTTGTGATTTTGAATCACCTTAAATATTCAAATCGAAGGAATTTAATAATACAAGTCACCACTTTCTACACATATTGTTAGTAGCTTAGTAACATAAAGGGTCCGTTCGTTGGGTATCTGTAACACCTAGAATAAAAAGCTTTTTTTTATTCTAGGGAATTTTGTTTAACTACAAATCTAAAGTATGTATAAGATGTATTTCAAAAAATAATATTTTTTTAACTTCTATAGGGCGGCTCATAAAGATATGTGTGGATCGGGATTTTTATTAAATGGAACACCCCGTATATTATTGCATTTTTGGCTTCCTTTCAGATCACTTTACATAATCTTAAGATATGAGTAAATATATTTCGATAGTTTCAGAGATATTAATAAATAAATAAAAAAATATATACCTTTCAGCCTTTCTTAAAAAAATATTAAAAATACAAGAATTGTCCGGAAATCAAAACTATAATCGGTATTTACTTTAGATGGTCTATACTTAACTTTGCTATAAACATGGTAATTGTAAATCATGCAGGATGTTCAAAATTCTACGCCAAACTTTCTAAAATATAAAACAATTTATAAAACAATGGAACACCCTGTATATTTTTTCAATAGATGGAAAATTAAAAAATGAGCATTTTTGTATTTAGAGTATTTCAAAATTTTTAACTGTTTTCCAGATATACGCGGTTTTATATTTCATATGGCATTTTCCACAGTAAATTTTAACCAAAGCCACCTAATGATTTTTCTTTCGTATTTTACCATTGGAAGAGCCATATGAAATAACACTGCATGCTGCGTGTATCTGCGAAACCATTAAAGATTTTTAAATACTTTAAATAAAAAAATGTTCATTTTTTAACACTCCATCTAATAAAAAATAATATTCAGGGTGTTCCAGTTAAAAAAAATATTTTATATTTTAGAAAGCTTGGCGTAGAATTTCGAATACCCTGTATGATTTAAGATTACAATATTTATAGCAAAGTAAGTAAAGATCATCTAAAGTAAATACCTAATATAGTTTTGATTTCAGGACAATTCTTGTATTTGTCATATTTTTTAGGGAAGGTTAAAAAAATATCTTTTATTATTTATTTGTTATATATTTAATATATTTACTCATATCTTAGGATTATGTAAAGTAATCGAAAAGAAAGCCTAAATTGCAATAATATACAGGGTGTTCTATTAAAAAAAAATAATCTCGATTCACGCACACTTTTTTGAGCCACCCTATAGAAATTATATTTTCCTGAAATACATCCTCGTATATAATTTAGGTTGACACTTAAATCAAATTCTCATGTTTTTTTTATTCTAGGAGCTACAGATGCCCGACGCACTATTGCCGGACCCTGTATGTAGACGGCGAAATTATTTTATTTAAAATAAAAAAAATACAAACGAGGCACGCGTCGCCGCTGCAGCTTAGACAATTTTTATTCCTTATTAATTATTGTTAAGGCAGATGCAGCATTTAAAGTTGTAATAAATAAATTGAATTTCGCCGTTTTAGTTATTTAACTGGCGCAGTCGGTAGGATGTTTTGGAGATTTTAGCGTATCGTTGAACTTTTCGTTTCGTTATACGAAAATGTATTAATCGTTATTAAATGGGAACTGAATGAATGCTCAAGAAATACAATTTTTGTCAACCGAATATTAGCTGGGAAGATTGGAAGTTTAGCAACTTCAGATGAGAATCGAACAACTTTGATGTCAATTAATTCTGACGCTATAGGATGAGAAGGGGTTGAGTTGTCTATGTTGATTCGATCTTATCCGCATATTTTACCAGTTATTATCCATCAAAATCAAAACACTAATTCACCATAATATACCAAAATACTTTATTTTTCCACTGAACGCGCATAATACCATAGCAGATGATTAAAACTCAAATTTTAATCATCTGCTAATGACGCTAACTAAATGTTTTGGTGTATTGTGGTGATTTAGTGTTTTATTTTGCTGTTGCAACACCAAAGGTTGCAACCCCCAACTGTAATGGTGTATTGTAGTTTTAATCCTGTAATAAATTAGATAAATGTTCTTATCGCGTGTTTATTAGGTTAAATCAATGACCTCTAAATAAAGTAGACCCGGCATTTCATTCATATAATGGAAAAGATCAGAAGCTGACATTCGTTTCTTGTTCTATGCGAGTGGGAACAAGACCGGCTGATCGCAGTCATGAAGGATTCCCGAGAGATTGGCAACGCTGTTCAGAGCTCTTGAGAATGTGTGCCAGTGGCGTAGTTACTTGGATTGTAATATATAATTCAATATTATATCCGCGTAACCATGATTTTTGGATACGATATACTGTTGTGCTCGATGGCTCTTCAAATTTTGAAAATGACTACTTCTATACTTCAATAACTTGAAAATAACGAATTGAAATATTATGATATGCACATTTCTATAGTAATGTCTGTAAATTGCTCCAATAGTAATATAATCCATCAAGCCTTCAATGAATAAGAGCTGAAGACGACTTTTATAAAACATTTATGTGAATTAATGTGTTAATAATAATAAGATACATACTTGTTCAACCCGTGAAACCGCTATCTTATTTTCCAAACCTAAATCTCTAGTAGCCTTTACCAAGTCAAAGTACACTTTTCCAGAACAAAACAATAACTTTTTAACGCCATCAGGATTTTGTGAAGCTGGCCCTTCCTCGGGAATAATTCTTCTAAATTCGGTACCTATAAAAAAACAACACATATACAGAGTGGCACACCTCATTCGTCTCGGTAGATTATAGGAAAATGGAAAGATGTAGATACAAAAGTTTTTAAGGATATATGTGGGGAGGCGATATGCATAATTTAAAATTGTTTTGAAATATACAAGGTGTGTCAGAACTAAGATTCATACAAAAGTTATATTTTTTCTTATAAAACGCCCATTATTTTATTTCATTTTTAGATTCTTGATCATTTATGAGCTCTATAAATATAGAGTACATAATTTCTATCCGCTATAATTGAATACAGTAATAACACGGCATATAAATCACACGGCAGGCCGACTCGCTTTGGCGGGAACGCTACGCGCATATCCTCGTGCACGCCGCCATTTGCGTTTCCATCAACAGAAAGTAACCAGTGTCGTAGTTTTTTCAGCGACAACACACAGTTACGGCAGATTCGGGTCAGTAGTGTGCGACTTAATTTATTTTGATTTTTTCTTGAGTGATATATTTTGTTTTTGTTGTTTTATTTTTGTTTATTATGTGATATATTTGGGTTTTCTAGTTTTATTTTCGTTTCTTATGTATTATAATTGCTAAAAGGTGCCCGGTGGCGTAGAGGTACAGGCTCTCGTCTACCAATCTCAAGGTAGTGGGTTCGAATCCACACCCGGCATTTCATCAGCCAACAATTTTTATTAAAATAAAAATAGTTTGGGTACCTAGGTCGACTCAGCCTTAAATGAGTACTTGGGATTCACAATCCTGAGGTAACGCGAAATTTCGAGAAATAATAGGTGGTTGAAGCGTAGTGCTAGCCACATTACCTTCCTTTGTATACCGAACGGCTCTAGTATGGCAAGCTGTACCTTGCTACTCCCAAGGCGTCAAACGCTATATACGGGAGCTATTATTATTATAATGTAATATAATTTGTTTTAGTAGTTTTATTTTTGTTGTTCAATAAAAGTTTCTTTCTGTTTTCTAGAGATCCTATTAGGTATGTATATATGTGATTAATTATTTTAACATATTTTAGTTGTGAAAAAAAAAACAGTAGTATACATATTAGGACATTCAGCTAAATAGGAAAATATCTAATTAAAAATCTTAACAAACTTTAATATTAGTAAGATTTAATAGTAAAAAAGTAATAAAATTTAATGTTGTATCTAGACATTAAAAATTAAATTTAAAAATCATTATACTATTAATTTAAATATAATTATAAAAGTAAATAAAATGAGTATATCTAAAATAAGTTAACAATACATTTTGAAGATATAAATAAGGCCCACAAAAGGTACAAGTTGCGTTCTGTTCATTTTGAATTTAAAATGTTTATCAATTCACTTTGTAACCGTATAAAATACAATGCGGTACCTACTTTGTTTCCTGCCATGAAAAAAATAGAAGTTTCTCAAAAAAATTGTGGATTTATTAATTTGTGAAATTTGAATATTAATAAAATTTGCTACGCCCATTGATGGGCATAATTTGTACGTTCTTTATATTGTTCAATAAATATTTTATTGGTATTTCTTTAATTCTTGTTTGTAACTCCTGGCATGTTTTTGTTAGTTGCATGTTTTTTAATTTTAATTGTCTATTCTCTACAGTGAAATATTTAATTGATTTTTTCATTTTTACTTGTCGAGAAATATGCGCAGTTGAGGATTCATTTGTTTGGACAAAAGTATTGTGTAAATAAAATTCAGTTTCAGCCAATTACAGTATTTTTTTAATACGACCCTGTCGTATTTTCTGAGAAATTTTTTGATACGTTTTAATCCGGCCCTGACTAGGAAACGATAATGGCTCCGTCAAGGTCAAATTTTATAGAAATTTTAAACAAAGGAATCTGAGCAGAGTTGGCGTGCCGATTGTTTTATGTGCCGTGGTAATAATATCCACGTAAATTAACATCATTTAAAACATTTCTATGTTTTAAAATTATCCTTAGTGCTCTATAAAAACCATTTTAAACAAGTAATTTCCCTTCAACGAGAAAAAAATTTGTTTACTACTTCATAAAACTGCATGTGTAATCTTCATTCAGAACCTCCCAATTAGTGGAATAAATTAGTGGCTTCAATTAGCGTAGAAGTTTATTCCTTTAATTTCAATGTAAGCATTCACAACGTCAAAATTAGTGGTAGATATTTTCAATTAGTAGAAAAAAGTTATCAAACTTTTGACTTTTCCACTAATTATACTTGTCATTTTGGCCTTTACGGATCATCTTCCGTCAAGAAAAATTGTGGTTAGAAATCAAAAGTTGATTTTTTTATAACCTAAATATTAGACTTTTTCTATGGATACAAATAGTCTAAGAGCTAGCAACGTTTTCGAGAAAGTATTTTAAGACGTCTGGCTCTTTGATATATCTTTTATTGTGCTCTCTGGAACAGCGTGCAGGCCGTCTGGCTGCCGATACACGTTGCGTTTACTACTGCGCATCCAAAGAAGATCCTCTATTTTTTACTTAGCGGTTTAAATTCTAGTATTGAATAAAAACCGAGCAAGTCTCTATTAGCCCGGGGCGTAGAGCTTTTGCCTATGAAGCGAAGGTCAGTGGTTCGATTCCGGCTGAGGTTGCAACTTTTTTTTATTTTTTTTTGCGTTTATATTCTGATAGTAAAGTATTAAATATTTGTTTTTTTATCACCAGAACGGATAGCGTTTATGGGTTTATGATCCCTAGTGTATATAAGTAGAATTTGATACTTTCATTTGTTTTGAAGGATTATTGTGGTAATTAATTATTAGATAGGTTTAGGATGGTCTGGCTGCCGCGCCGGTAGGTGGCGTTCACTACTGCGTATCACATGGGTACAGGGTGTCTCATTTTCGTGTGTTTTTTGGGATTTGGGATATCTGGGATTTCTCGTTTATGAGTGGAGATACAATGATGCGTTTTTTTTCACATAACTTTGCTAGTTTTTTATGTAACTAAATATTTTACCCCTAGATTTGTGCATTTTCTACACATTAACATTAATCAATTTTGTTTAGAAAGTATTATTATTTTATTTAATTTAATTTAACCAGATAATTTTGTTTTCCATCGTTATCTTAACAAACTGAACTGAAAATAAACTTGTGTAGTTTTTAGATAACAATCTGTTAAAAAAAGTATTATTAAAATAATAAACAACAGCTGAAAAAATTTTTTGAAGAAAGACAGGCAGAAATTACCTTAATAAAGCATTAAAATGTTAATTTTTATATATTATGTTTAAATCTTTAAAATAAAATTATAAACGAGAAATCCCAAAAACGCACAAAAATGGGACACCCTGTACACATGTGATGCGCAGTAATGAACGCAACCTACCGGCGCGGCAGCCAGACCATCCTAAACCTGCCTAATAATTAATTACCACAATAATTCTTCAAAACAAATGAAAGTATCAAATTCTACTTATACCCACTACGGATCATAAACCCATAAGCGCCATCCGTTTTGGTGATAAAAAAGCAAATATTTAATACTTTACTATCAGAATATAAATGAAAAAAAAAAAAAAGTTGCACCCCAGCCGGTATCGAACCACTGACCTTCGCGTCATAGGCGAAAGCTCTACGCGCCCTAATGGAGACTTGCTCGATTTTTATTCAATACTAGAATTTAAAGCGCTAAGTAAAAAATAGAGGATCTTCTTTGGATGCGCAGTAGTAAACGCAACGGGTATCGGCAGCCAGATGGGCCGCATGCTGTTCCAGAGAGCATAATAAAAGATATATCAAAGAGCCAGACGTCTTAAAATACTTGTTTTCCCGACGTTGCTAGCTCTCGTACTAAAATGACTGAAGCAAGCTGTTGCTAGGATATTCTATTAATTTTAATTGTGTTTTTTAAACATTGTGAATGATCATAAAGTAATAAGTATAAGGTGTAATTGAAACCACTAATTTATTCCACTAATTGCGAGGTTCTGAATGAAGCTTGAAAGAAAATTTGAAACATCTAGATAAGAAAAGTAAAGGTAGGTTCACACAGATACACGCGAATTGTGGAATGCGAAGTGCGAATATCGCAAAATAAAACCGTCTTTTATCTATGTAGCTTATATAATAGCGAAATTCGCAATAATTTGTAGGGATATTGGTGTTTTTAAATACATGTGAAAATATCATTTGAATGAAAAAATTTATTTATAGGTTTATTAAATCTATTTTTGTGTAATGGATGAACTACGTATTTTTGGCAGAGAAAACGATCTATTGCTGTATATTTATTAATAAAAAAAAACAAAAATGAAATACGTAGAACAATTGGAACATGTGAATTATTTAAAGTGACAACAGAAAGGAGCATATCACAATTTACTACAGTAAATGAGTATTAACAATGAAAAAAAAAGAAAGTTTCATACCTATTCCATAGAATGTCTATAAAGGATTTTGATTCTGGATGGTTTTGAAAATTTGCGAACAACATTACCAGTTTAGATAGACTGTAAAAAAATAACTATCTAATAATGATTATACTCTGTTTTTTTTTCTCAGGTAAGATTTCGACAGACGATGACAGAAGAAAAGCAGATGACGTCCCATACCAATCTATTTATTTTACTAAAAAAAGTTTCTAATAATTTTTAAGTTATCTATGGATGGGTTTAAATATAAATCCGTCATGCGTCGTGTCTTATTGTTTTTAACCAGTTTTATTGGTTTATGTAAAAAATGACAGATCGTATTTCAATTTTATTGGTTTGACGGAACGATGAACGACAAACGGACGCCGATGCGTATGAACTCGCCTTTAGATTTTTGTAATTTTTGACGCTTGTCAAAGTCTTGCCAAATTATAGGTTATAATTTTGTGTCAACTTTTGTTTTTGTTAAATACCCTGCGTTTTGGAAGATGATGCATTTTGATTCGTATTATTACGTGTGTTTTGTGTCTTTTGAAGTCAAGTGGAGAAAAAATCGAGTGAAAATTAACTGTAGACCCAAAGCACAGTTTATGGTTAATATTCGCCGCCCAGGCAGAAAGTCTTATACACCAATGAAGTTGCCATCGATAAAGTTTGTATACCATTTCGTCGTAGATAAGTGCATCTCGTATATGGTAGAAGGATCAAACAAAACACATACTAAAAACTGGAGTAGCTGTAAAATATCGACATCACACGATAGGTAAATAATGGATTTTAGTACTGCAGAAAAATAATGTCAAAAGGTACTGGTTTAAAAAAATTAAGATTAAAGTTAATTAATCAACCTTTAAGGTATAAAATTTGGTAGGTGTTATTATTAATAAAATAGTTTGTTTTATTTACCTATGTTGTTTTATTTATTCCTGTGGAATATTACAAATTTGTATTTGTACATAAGTTATATTGATAAATATAATCATAAATGCGGGTATAGTCTGTCCAATGACAAGATCCTTGACAGTGATAAATGTGTCTGTCGTTTTATTTTCAAAGTAGTTTATTTTATTTTACAAAGAAATAAGTTGGTACAATTGTAAAGCATCGCGGAAAATTAATATATTTAAAATTTGAGTGACAAGTGATTACTTATTGTGAAAAAAACTGTATAAAATTGAAAAAAATCTAATCGAGTTATTTTATTAAAAAAAAATTACAGTATGTGCTAATACAAAACAAGCAAGGGTTTATTCAAGCCGTGTTTCACGCTCAAGCAACTTACTGCATTTATTGTCAATATAATTATTCACAATATGATTATTATTTACCTATCGTGTGCTGCTATTTTACTGATACTCATGTTTTTGGTATCTGGTTTGTATTTGGTTTTTGGTATATTTGGTATTATATAAGATAGTATACAAACTTTATTTGTGGCTAATACAACTCTCTGGCAAACTGTCTCTGGGCACCGAATATTAACTGTAAACTATGGTCTGGGTCAACACTTAATTTCCCCTTTGAGTCTTCCTCCACTTAATTTTGAAAAACACGAAACACACGTAATAACACAGTCCAAAATGCAAAATATTTATCATTTCTATTTGACATAATTTGACACAAAATTATAAAACAAGAGATGACGCATGGCGAATTTATAAATAAACCCATCCATAGTTAACTTAAAAAATATTAGAAACTTTTTTTAGTTACACAAATGGATTGGTATGGACGTCATCTGTTTATTTTCTGTCATCGTCTGTCGAAATCTTACCTGAGAAAAAAAACGGAGTATAGTTTCATAAAGCTTGAAAGTAAATAATAGTTCTTTTTTATATTTTTTTGGTATGTAGTGTCTTGTTCTTGTTTGTTTTGTATTAACACATACCGTTTTTATTAAATAAAATAACTCGATTACATTTTTTCAGTTTTATACAGTTTTTTTCACAATATTTTGAAGTAATCACTTGTCATCTTGTCAATCAAATTTTAAATATTTCCTGCTATGCGTTCCAGTTGTACCAACTTATTTCTTTGTAAAATAAAATAAACTACTTTGAAATTAAAATGACAGACACATCTATCACTGTCAAGGATCTTCTCGTTGGACAGACTATATGTACAATTTTTTCATACTTTTTCAGTTTATTCCATCTTAACAAATGTTTATATTATTATAACCACAACAAGAAATAAATGACAAGAGCTGACATATATTATAACCTAAACACTCAAAATTCGTAGCACAAATTCGCAAAAATAAAATTGTTTCAATATTGATAAAATGATGCGAACTCGCAAAATGTTTAAACAACTTTCTGTCAATTTTGCCGCCTCCATATTTTTTGAAATAGACCAATAACAACAATATTCGCAATTCGCGTGTATATGAACCTATGTACCTTAGGTGATATGTGATACTAGATTATCAAATTCGGATTTCAAGAAATAGACGTCATTAAAGTCAAGATGGATTCGTTTTCATTATAAGATTTTTCTAATTCTATGGAAGCATATCCGCACCTCTTGACAAAAAAATAATTCATTATTATTTTATAAACAGTATATGCCATTTGATTTAGCATCCAAATTTATAAAGGACACAGTTCGGAGACAAAAGGGTCCGGGACAAAAATGCATAGAACATTGTTGGGGAGAAATTTGTCAGCTTTAATTTTGTATATAGAGTAATTTTCTGTAGAAGTCCTAATATACCCCAAATCACTAAAACTCTTTTTAAGCAACTTAGAATCAAGAAATGAACATAAAAATATACATTAATATCAACATACCTTCAACCATATCGTCAAATGAACTTCTTGCTTCTGGGTGTCTTAACAAACTCTTAGGCGTCATAATGACTAAAGGTTTCCTGAATGGTAGAGCAATTTGCCTCCTCAACAAATGGAACATATTAGCAGGCGTAGTGCAATTGGCAATTATCCAATTAATATCGTGTAGTTGACGCACTGCAAAATCTTCAGTTTCCGGAGGGAAATAATCAGGATCATCAGATGACATTTGTAGGAACCGTTCCAAGCGAGCACTGGAGTGTTCTGGACCTTGACCTATATATGTATATTTTTATTAAAAAATAACAAAAATAACTGAACTGTTTATAGTTTATCTGAAATCAGTTGAAATAGGTTGGGACTCCTAATTTCGGCGCTGTCTTTGTCGGTGCCTTTGTTGGCATCGTCGGTAGTGACGGGATAACTCAAGCGAAAATTCGCTCGAGTACTCGATTATTGAAATAATCGACATCGCTCGAGCTTAGCATGAACGAGCGATGCAAGTGAAGAGTTACGAGCGACGAACGCAAGCGATCCTAGCATGGAATAAATTGAAATCCGATTTTAATGTGACATACTCGATAAAAATCCGAGCGAATTTTCTACATACATTGCAGGTAGCAAATTTATACCTTATCCGTTGCGTATCTGAGGGACAAAATTTTACGACCTACATCGACAATGCTTTGAAATAAACTAAATCAAGCGATTAAGCGAATCGCTTGCTACTTGCCATTCATCACCGAAAGAATATCGTAGGGAAAGCAAATACATTTTTCCCACTAAAGAAAATTTGCTATTTAACTAAGAAAATTTGCTATTTTAGCTAACTCCCAGTGATCTGAAATAGCCACCGAAATGCTGCTATCTCCGTAATTTCCGTTACGATCACGCTAAAGCAATCACACGGATTCTTACTCGTATGTTTCTTTAGTACAGTACGTCGATCCAGGGTCAAACTAGGCCAAAGGGGCCAGGGTGGTAATGTAAGGAGGGGCCCGTATGGAGTTTTTTGCGTATTTTTTCGCCTTACGTTTTGGTCAATTTTTCCCTATTATATATAGGGTGAGACTTAAATAAGTGCAAATATTTTAGGGGCAGTATATTGCGACCCAAGAAACATGATTATGAGGTTTTTTGCGCGAATTTTTTTTTAATTTGGAATTTTTTAATCTAATTTTTAGTTTAAAAACGTACTTTGTTTGTAATATGGCAACATAGGTAGTAGATTACATTTACAAGAAAGAAAATTCAATGATTTTCAAAATAATAGCAAAAAATTGGAAATTTTAAAAGTGAAATAACTCGGTTGTTTTGGATTTATTTGACAAAACGACAAAAAAAAATTATGTTTCTTTTATCGAGATTTACCAGCCCTGAAACTATTTGCACTTGTTTAAGACTCACCCTGTATAGAAATCAGGGAACTAACCAAACAAGGTAAACCAATGCAATGCATATGCCATAATGCAATGCAAAAGCAAATACTGTTAAGAATAAATAATGAACTATAAAGGGGGCCTGCGAAAGCTGGGGCCCCCCTAATAGTTATATATACAGGGTGGTCCGAATTGTATTCCGGAAACTTCGGCAGCATATTCTGTAGATAAAAATAAGTAAAAAAGGTCGTATAAATGTTAGTTTTGGAGATAGAGGGTGTAGAAGTTTCATTTTTATTTCGGTTTTTTTCCAAATAATTACTGAAGTAACGTCAATATTTAATTGAAAATTGGTGTCTGGGAGTTTTTTGACGTGAGAAATTTCATTTTGATATCAATATGACTCTTACTTGCAGGTGCCGCCACCTACATGTGTCTTAACTGTTTTGAAGAGTAATAACTTTTCGTCCGTACCTGTGTAAAACTACTGAGTGAAAAAATATACATTTTCGTGATTTTCCACGTATAAAATGTTTCTTGGTAAAAATTGCTACGAGCAACCGTTCTCAAGATATTTAGAATGGAAATAGTCAATACATGTCATTATTGACAAGAAATAAACATGTTGAATAGATAGTTACTTGACTGAAATGATAAATTTGGGAACTTTTTATGTTTTTAAATTAATGATAATTTTTTTTCGAAAAAATAATGATAAAACAGTTTCTGTTGAACTTTTGGCGCAAAAACACTTCAAATTTATGATTTCAGTCTAATAACCATTTAGTCAACATGTTTAATTTATGTCAGTGATGACAGGTATTAATAATTTCGATTCCAAATATCTCGAGAATCATTACTCGTAGCGATTTTTACCAAGAGACATTTTTTACGCAAAAAACGTCGAAAATGTATATTTTTTACCGATTAGTTTTATACAGGTACGAACGAAAAGTTATTACTTTTCAAACCAGATAAAAAATGTTTAGGTGGCGCCCTCTAGAAGTATGAGTCATATTGACATCAAAATCAAATTTCTCATCTCAAGAATCAGAAGAAGAAATCAATCTCTCAAGAACTTTTTTACTTATTTTTATCTGCAGAATATGCTGCCGAAGTTTCCGGAATACAGTTCGGACCACCCTGTATATGGCCTATTTTACCATTCTACTTTTCCCATTTACCATTTTACCATTCTTGTTTTCTACGATTCTACCACATCTTCTAAGAATTATAAGTTTAATTTTTAAATTATTTTCATATTCATTAAGTTCAAAATGGTGCTACTTCAGTTCTTTAAAAATGCATTAAAAATTTATTCGTTTTTGGACTTGTTATTCGTTTTTGGACTTTGTTTGTATGTTTTGCTTCTAGACCGACGATATTATAAATATATGGTTATGAATATCATATTTTTTAAATTTAATTAATTATTTCTAAATGTGTTTGGGTAATATTCAATTACATTTTTAAAATTTCAAACAATAAAGGTTGCTATCTCCAGAAGAATATTTTTATTTCTTATTTCTGCAAGACGAATATCTGCTATCTCCCTATTGTGTATGAAAAAAATGATGTAACACGAAATATTGAGTTTTATTGTTCCCCAGCAAATAAAATTCTTATCTCTTTATCATATTAACGCATGAAAATACTTCCTAAATGTGTACATATTTTTTATACCGTTTTTTTGCACTCCTATAAAATTAGGAATAATGGAATTAGCAGTTTATCACATTTCACCGACGATATGTGCCCTGCGCACGCAACTTACTGCATGGCGCTTGGCGTTAACGAGTACTTACAACAAGCGACTGTCGAAAAACCGTATTTTTAAATACGAGCGATATTTCGCTCTAGCAATCGCTCAATTATTGCAATCGCTTGAAACTCGAGTTCTCGATTATTGAAATTAATCGGTTTTTCCCATCACTAATCGTCGGGACTAAGGAATTAAGAGTCTCACTACTTCCAATTGACTTCGGAAGTACTATACCTTCCATTCCGTGTGGTAATAACATTACTAAACCAGTTTGTCTAACCCATTTAGACTGACCACTGGCTAGTAGTTGATCAATAATGCACTGTGCAGTATTTGCAAAATCTCCAAACTGAGCTTCCCATATGACCAACGCATTTGGATTAGTCATTGAATATCCTAAAATTAATTAACTTTTAAAATATTCATTTTTAAGTTGAACTGAATACCTAAATACCTACTAAATCAATAAAAAAAATATATTATTAAATATTAAAAAAATAAATATTTACCCAATTCAAAACCAAGAACACCATATTCAGAAAGAGAGCTATTGCACACTGTGTAGGGTGCTTGATCTGGATACAAATTACATAATGGCCTACATAAAAAAAATTAAGTAAATATTTTATTAACTATTGAATAGTATAAGCCTTGTATATGAATTTTTAAAGTAGCTCAACATAAGACGTTTATGGATGTAAAGCACCAGATGGCGGGGCGTATTTCACGGTCTTTTACTACAGAAAAATATTTTTTGTTACTCTGAATTTTGAAGCGGCCAATAAAAACAGAGAAAATAAAAATCGATAATTTTCGGACTGTGCCAATTGGCTAACTAATATAATAATACTAATATAATAATAACAACTAATCGACCAGATACTTTTTGTCTATTAGATATGCTATAAAAGCTGGTAATTATACAATTCGACCATTGTAAATACCCGACAAATTCCGCAAGGCCGACGAGGCCGATGTTTTTCACTGATAAGAAAAAAAAATGTTTGTTTAGATAATTTTAGAGATGTTTCTTCTTTCTGAATGCACATTTTAAAGTATTCTATATTCTTTGTCCGCTTGATCTATTATACAGGTTGCACGTATCGAAGTTTTGTTTCTTGTAGTTGTAATGTAAAATTAGATTAATTTATTAAGTTTGATTATAATGTTTAGTGTAGAATACAAGAAGTAGTTTGTGTAGTGTTCTTGTAAGAGATTATATTCATTTATTTTGTAGTTAAGTAGAAGGTGAAGGTATTTGGGTATTTTTTTCTTTTTGTTTTTCTTCTAATAATTGTACTAGTTCTTTTAAATATTGTGATAGATACATAATCTTCCTTCAACTTCGTTTAAAAGTGCGTTATCATATAATTTTGGTTTTCTGGTAGTTGAATATACGAAAAAAAATCTGATCAAATTTATTTTAAATTAAATTAATCTAGTCTTATTAATCAAATTAAACTAGTCAAATAATATTAATTGCAATCAATTATTAAAATATATTAATTATTTTGGAAAATAACTTTTGAAATGGAGTATTATTGATAAAATTTAACCAATTTTTTTTTACCCAGTAGCGTATTTCAATATGATCTTATCATTTATCACTGTATAATAACTTTGTTGTGGCAGAAAAATATACCAGTTAGTTTCAAAATATTATTTTTTTTCAAACGTCACAAAAGTATTAACTTTTGCGACGTGATTGACAATATAAAAAAGTCATTTTAACGCCTAGGCATAAAAGTGTAAAGCACTCTTTTCATATTATTTGGAACGTTTGAAATTGTTTAAAAAATTATTTGTGGCGTTTGAAAAAAATAGCATGCTCTATTCGGAGTAAAAATGGCTTTTTGTGCTTCGGCTGTATGTCAAACATACAGTCTCGCCACGAAAAGTGTCATTTTTACTCCTAATAAAACAATATACTAGAAAGTTTTATGGTTTAACGGGCTTTGTGAGTTAAAATATAATGATATTTTCAGTTTCTATAATTCTTGATCGAAAATAAACGGCGTCAGCGATGGCTATGAAATGAAGATCGCTGTCATTTTATATGTAAATTTATATGGGAAATGTCTGAACTGGACGCCGTTTTTTTTTCATATGGTACAAAGTTAAAGCAAACTTGACTCTGATCATGTTTTACGCTAAGAAAGATTTATTTGGTGTAATAAAGATTTAAATGGTGTATTTGGTGATCTAAGAATGAAATAAAATTTTATCGACCTGTGTCAAATCGAAATAAAGTAAGTGTATGTACTTTTTTTAAATATTAATAATTACCAGTAATTAGCATTAATGTACCAACATATTGAAATAATAATTTCTTTGTTAATACGGTTTAGAATCCTTAAAATAACAGCAAAAATAATCGAAAATCAACAATGAAATAATAGTTTTGTTTAAATTTCTTAATCAGCTGAGCCCTATTATAGTTCGCAAAAATCCGAGCTATATTATTACATTACTCTGAGGGAAATACCGCAAATAATCGATATTTTTGACTCCGCCCCTAATCACATGTTTCATTCCTTTAAAGCTTCACGATTTGTTCACCAGAGGCAGCACATTTTGTCGAGAGGTTGAGCAACTTTAAGAATATATAAACAAGGGTATAAGTGAGTGATTACCTATAAGTAGCTTTATCAACAGCCTGGTGATGTAAAACGTGATGTCTATGAGAAAATGTTCCTCTCTCTACATCTTGTCCAGACAATCGAACGTGAATACCCTCTTTTAAAAGAGAACCAAATGCCATCGCTTCCCCCAAAGCCCAATCCACTGTCCTGTTGTCCACCATTTCCATCCTAGATCTTAAAATACGTTCAATTCCTTTATGAATTTTGAATTCTGCTGCATTGGGTGGTGGTGAGGAAAATCTCTTTCCAATATGAACCAAGGTATCTTCTACTATCCCAGTCTTGCCGACCTGTAATAATTACCATTAAATAACTTGTATTTTAATTAAAGACATAAGGACCTTCAATGGGTCTTTTCCTTCAAAAAAGCCAGACCATGGACTATCAATCCAATCTTTATACTTGATATGAGTTTCTTGACGAGCTCTTTCTAGAGCTTCTTCGCAAATTTTGTCGTATTTCGCTTTTACATCTTGGACTTCAGACTCAGTAACAACACCTTCAAAAAAATTCTAATCCATATAAAATACATGAAAAAATTTAGTTACTACCTTCGCTTAAAAGTTGTTCAGCGTATTTGTCCAAGGACGGTTTTGTACTTCGAATCTTTCTATACATAAGAGGTTGTGTAAACATAGGCTCATCCAATTCATTGTGACCGTATCGGCGGTAACAAACCTAAAAACATAAACAATGCTTTAAACTAAAATAGATAGTAGAAGCAATCAGTATACCAAATCAATAACGACATCTTTGTGAAATGTCGCTCTCCATTCTGCGGCAATTTTGCATACGTGAATTACAGATTCAGGATCGTCACCATTCACGTGGAATATGGGAGCATTGACAACACGAGCAACATCTACAAAAAAAAAACATACAAACAAAAGAAAAACAAAAGCCATTCTTATTCATACCGGTACAATATGGCGACGATCGTGAAAATCTTGGATCTGTGGTGAATCCAATTTGATTATTGACGACAATATGTACAGTTCCATGAGTTGTATAGTCTGGTAATTCAGATAAATGCATAGTCTCAAATACAACGCCTTGACCTGCGAAAGCCGCATCTCCATGAAGCAACATAGACATCACCTAGAAGGGTCGAATTAAAACTTATGTCCTTCTTAAGGATACAACAAAAAAAACTTAAAAATAAGAATATTCGTAAGTTCAGTAGCAGAATCCGAAGTTCAAAATACGCAGAATGTTTTTGTTTATTAAAAAGTTTTATTCTTGGTAGTATTAATGGAGATAAATTATAAAATAAAATAGTTTTTTCTTCGTTTTTTAAATAGAACACCTTGTATATTTTTTTTTGTTAGATGGAATCACAAAATGAACATTTTTTGTACAGAGTGACGCCTCTCATACGACACCGAGGTTCCAAGAAGAACGATGGTTTGTATTGAAATAAGATTTTGTGAGAGAAAAAATATTTCTACGATCAACCGTTCTCAAGTTATTTAGAATGGAATTTAGAATAATAGTCAATACACATTATACAAAAAAAAATACATTATTGACAAAAAATAAATATGTTGAATAGATAGTTATTTGATTGAAATGATAAATTTGGGAACTTTTTATTTTTTTAATCATAAATTTTTCTTGGAAAAAATGATGAAAACAGTTTCTGTTGAACTTTTGACACAAAAACATTTCAAATTTATTAATTCAGTCTAATAACTATTTAGTCAACATGTTTAGTTTATGTCAATGTTGACAGGTATTGATAATTTCGATTCCAAATATCTGGAGAACATTTTTGCGTAAAAATCGTCGTAAATTTATATTTTTTACTCGGTACTTTTATACCGGTAACGACGAAAAGTTTCTACCCTTCAAACCAGTTAATGAAAGAGTCATATTGACATCAAAATCAAATTTCTCCGTTCAAATAACTCCCACAATCTCCAAAACTAAGCATTTTAGGATACAAATATATACGATTTTTTTACTTATTTTTATCTGTAAAAGTTTCATTAGGCCCATTCAGTAGTTTTTGCGTGAAAGGGTAACAAATATCAAACATCTATATATCCATATATACAAAAATTTCGCGTTTATAATATTAGTAAGGATTATTTCAGATAAACACACACCTAAAATTTCGCGTTCGCGGTTTCTCTGTTACTTGGGTCCATGTTGCCAAATGACAAAAAATTTAGTACTTTGAAATACAAGAAAAATTAAACATAACTTTTTGATGATGTTAGGGTAGTTTCATGCACAATGTGATGTAACACAGGAGTAGAGGTCTACTTTTAAGCATTAAGAGCTAAAAGCGGCCTTTTAAATCAGAAATTAATTAGTGATGGGATAACTCGAACGAAAAGTACTCGATTATTGAAATAACCAACATCGCTCGATTATGAACGAGCGTTGCAAGTTACGAGTAACAAGCGACGAACGCAAGCGATCCTAGAATGAAATAAATTAAAATCCGATTTTATTGTGACATACTCGATAAAAAGCCGAGCCAATTTTCTACATACATTGCAGGTAGCAAATTTATACGACGCCGTATACACAGGGTGATTCCTGTAAGTCGGTCATGCTTTCGGGGAATGATGGGGAACGTCAAAATATTAATTTTGATATTGCACACTATGGGTCGGAAATGCCTCTTACGCAAGATACAGGGTGTTAAAGTTTTTGAAAAATTAAAGATATTCTTTAATAGTTTTTTAACAGTTGAAGGTATCGTTATAAAATTTTATTATAGGAGTCTACCTAACAGAGACACTTTAAATGTAAAGAGAAGAGGTTTTAGTTTCAACCAGTGGCGTAGCTGTATGCATCGGGTAATATTTAAAAAAAAATAGTACGCCACTGATAAAAAATAAAATTTCTGAGTTTTTTTATTTGCTCGGTTTATTTCCAAGAAAAAATGTCTCTTGCAACTTTCTTCTATCTAACACCTTTTGTCACAATTTAAAAATAAATATTTTTATTAATGAGAATAGAATGCCAAATATTTTATGTTTATCAGTCGTTTATAGTCAAATGTCAGTGTCATCATTGACGCTGTTTCGATACCCATGACGCACTGAAAGGTGTCAGCACAAAAATCAGATAAGTCATGTGTAACACAACACAGTGTTGTATGTAGACATGACATATCTGATTTGGAAAAAAAATATAAATATTTCTTCACTAAATGCATAGTAATTCAAAAAGTGCCAAAGTATTCGTGTTAGAATTATTAATGATTAGATCAATTATGATACCTGTAAAAACTAATTTAAAAATGGAACTTTTAAGTGATAAAAATATCGAAATTTTAAATGTACTTTTAAACTTAAATAATAATTGAAAATTTAAAAATGAGGAATTAAAATTGAAGAATCTGATTGATGGTTTTATAAAACAATTTATGTCAGAACTACCAAGAATAATTTTTAATGAAATAAAATGTGAAACAAAAATAAAATTAAAAAAGATAATGTAACAAATAATGTCCCACATAATTTATGTTAGTTTTTTTTATTATTATAATGCGCCATACATGTGTAACTGATTTTTATTACCTATTGTTATTATTAACATGTTTTTTTTTAAGTATTTAAGTTTAAGTATTTAAGAAAAGAATAAAAGCTACCTGATTTTTAACTTTTATATTATTTATTTTATATTAAAATAGAGATATTAAAATATGATTTTCATAATATATTAAATATATCAACAATCAATATCAAAAAATAATATAAAAATTTTGATTCCCAAATTTCTTCCGTTTTACGTGAACTCTCCTTAGGCAAAAAAGAGAGCTCTCTATTTCTATGGTTCAGAGCATATGGTTGTAATAGAAGACGAACTATTTTCTATATCGTTTTTTAACATCGTGGTGCGCAGGAAATTCACCAATATAACAAATCTAACTGAAAAAATTATTCCAGCGCATTCGGCAAAACCAAATTTCATTAAGTCTCACATTTACGTTGTTGTATCATAAGTAGATCTGTGGTATTACTTAACAACATATATTCTGATTTTTAAATGTTTTTTTCCGGATGTCATATTCCCAAGAAATCTCGACTACTATGAACGTTAAAGTAGAATTAATAATGAGGTACATACTTTTTTACCCTCTCCGTCCCCTCTGTAAAACTGTTCAGCTCGTGTCTTGCCTTCCACGACAGGATCTACAGTTTCCAAATGTGATGGATTTGCCACTACCGCTAATCGTATATTTTTGTTTGTAACTCGATTTAATCTATAAAAGAACAAAGAAACTTTTAGTAATAAATGGTAGAAATTGATTGGCCATATCAATTATTTAAAAAAATAACCGTTCAATGTATGTTCCTAAATGGTACTTCACATCACCAGAACCATCATCTGCGGCTTCCAGTCCAGCAAACTGAGTGAATAGTTGATATAAAGGCTTTCTGCAAACATTAGCTAATACATTTAAGCGTCCTCTGTGGGGCATTCCCATAACAATGCTCTCAACTCCCAGCTCTGTTGACTTGTCAATTACGGTTTTCATAGCTGGAATAAGCATTTCACATCCTTCCAATCCAAAACGCTTTTCTGATGACCACTTTCTAGCCAAAAATGACTCAAATCTGTGTATTGTAATTAATCAATAATAGATGAGGCAATAAATATACTGTACCCTCCTACCCGGTAGCTCTAGTCAATCTTGCCAGAATAAGCCTCTTCTGATCGGGACCTAAATCCATACAGCCTGGCGATTCCAGTCTTTGCCTGATCCAGTTGCACTGTTCAAGACTGTTTATAAACATAAATTCTACACCGATGTGACGACAATAGGACAATTCTAATCGCCGCAAAATTTCTCTTAATGGTAAAGATTTTTCACCTCCACCTATGAAAGTCGTTGAAGGCAACTTGAACACTCGATCCATATCATTCTCATCTAACAAAAATGTCAAAAGATATAAAAAATTAAATAATAAAACAAAATTAAAAAATCATAAAATGTAATTTAAATGATAAAAAAGCAATACAAAGTTAAAAGAAACATTTGCTATGAAATAAAAACAAACCATCATTTAGCGAAATACCTATAAAAATTCAGAAGGGTTTGGATCAGCTTGAAACGGTTTCTTAAGTAAGTTATACATATACAAGGTGACCAATGTTTTAAAAAAGCTGTATAGAAGGTTTCTTGTTGGAGTTTTCCACTCCTACCATTTTTACCACAAAAGTTACGGTTTTTGTAGAGAATTAAAAATACCAGATATTTTACATCATATAATTTTTTCTCTAAAGCAAATAGCAACAGATATAACTATTTTACTGTATATTTTATAGACAGATAACAAAGCTTGTCTATTCCCTAGCTACTCGTGGGATCAGTGAATGGATCAGGAGAAAAAATGAAACTGACGAGAAAGGATGAAACTGCCTCGATTCTTCTTGCAATGAGGGTGAAAATAGGGATTGGGTTAATACCTACCTTAAATTATTCACCCCGGTCCACAGAGGTCATTATTGCAGAATTAGGTGGTAATAAATAAATATTCAAAAAATACACGTATTGGAAAGTTGAAACGTATATTTTTTGAATGATAGTCGGTAAGTGATATAGATTATATGTATAATTAAAATAAATTAATCATACTAGTGGATGTTCCTCAATGATATGCTAGTATTTAGGTTATCCTTAGACGCATTTTAAGAAAAAACTTCATATGAATATATGTCTTAAACGTCATAACTTTTAAGATACAGGGTGGCTACGAAAAAATGAAAATTTTTAACTTTTTTCAACACATTCTGTTATTTTAAGTCGTCCTCGCATTTTACAACATAGATTGAGTTTAAAATATATGTCAAGAAAAAATGACTCCCTTCTAGCAAATAAAAAACAATTCGTTTTTATTTATTGACATTGTCTCTAAAAAAATAATTTTTGAAGTTCTTGGCACTTCTTGGCAGCCAACTTTGGAATGACTCTTTAGATAAAAGGATTACTCATAATAAAAACCTCTTTCAAAAATAAATATGAATAAATCCTGTATTTGACAAGTTACAAAATCCAGTTTTACGAAAGAAAAATAAACTTTTACGAAACATTTAAAAGAAATTCATTTTTCTATTATACACCGGGACGTAAATATCTTATGAAGTTACCTCAAAATACTTAAAAATACAAAATTAACCTCAAAAATCGCTGTCTAAGCAAATTTTAACTTTGAAAAATCAAAGATTGATGTCACAAAACCAATAAAATAAACAACCTAAGAAAAAATTAACTTTGACTTTGCGTGTATTAAAATTAACTTTATTTTTATGTAAAATTAACTTTGACTTGCCACCTATGTTGAGATAAAAAAATATTGTATGACGGTGTATTAACAATAAAATATAACATTAATCGTAGGTTTTTTGATAGCTTATTTATTAATTCCTAAAAAAAATAATATAGCCCTCGCTAGAGAATGCCGAGGGTAAACTCCCTAAACTCTTAGATTCTGCAGACAACTGAAGAAACTTAAAAATAAAAAAGATGTACAGGGACGGCAAGAAGGAGTCCCTTGATAAATTTCTAAAAAAGTGCAGATACAGAAAGAAGAAAAAACTTCCAACGGGCGAATAAAATAAATCCGAAAAAGGAAAAGCCTCCCACTAAAAATGCAAATGTATTAATGATAGTAGCCCAAAGTAGAAACCAAATAAGAAAGTGCCACACACGGCGTTTAGGAATCGTTTGTCTCGCTTGAACTGGCGCATCCTTGATTAGAACCAAGAGAGAAGGTGATCGTTTTTCTGTGACGCTCCTGGTATTTTCTTAGTTGGTTCGTACTCTAGATATGGAGAAAATACATTAAATGACATAAAAGACATTGAAAGACAAAAGCATAAAACTAAGAGAGACCTGCGAAGAACATAAAATGAAAATACTGAATGGCCTTTAAAACCTCGAAAATAACCATAAATACACAGGCACCAGGATACTAGACGCCTCAAAGCCCCTATAGTAGATTATAAAACCAGACGCACCAAATGGTACATAAGATACACGAGAGTATACAGGGTTGTTCACCACATACGACACGGAGTATTGTAGCTAAACGATTAGATTTTTACAATTTGTAAGTTTTGGGTTCGTTAAAATAAAAAAATATTTTTACAAGATACAGAGTGTCCCAAATAAGTAAAAAATATTATAGTTGTATTTTTTTAAATGGAACACCCTGTATATTATTCTTTTTTTGGATTCTACGATTGAAATAAAGGTAAATTTGATTAAGGTTTATCACACTTAAACCTTACCGTTTTTGAAATATTTTCAATTTTATGAAATTGCAGTAAAAATTTTAAGGCTTCATTTCTCCTAGGGTATCAAAGTTTTTAATACTAAATATTTACTGAAGATTATTTAGTGATCAGATATTGTGTTGCAATAATACAAATTTTACTACCTTATACAGAGTGTCCAAAAATTTATATTAAATAATTACTAGCTTTAAACGGCAATAACTTATTTAATTTAAATGGAACACCTTATATATTTTACGTGAATCAGATGCACAATGTAATTGTCTATCAAATTGTATTATACCATTTTTTATCCATCTCTTCAAGTTTTCGTAGAAAATGCATTTTCTTAGAATTTAGACCTCATTTATCACTATACCCATGGAATATTGACATTTCAGATTTTTTATAGCACTATAGGTATATGTACAAAATGTAAAGGTGGTAAATATTGCAAGCCCGTTGGCATACAAAAAAAACTATTTAAATCTTTGTAAAAGAGTATATCAATTAAATATACCACCATTATTTCCAACCAAAAATTAGTTAATTACATACTTTTAAATTGTTTTAATTAATAAAATATTCTACATAAATGTGGATTTGGCTCAGAAATCGATATAATAATAAGTTATGAAAATGAACGTCTCTGTTTTTATAAATAAGCATTCGTCAAAAATTGAAATAAAATTGGAACTTTTACCACACCGTCTAATACACACACAAAATTCAGTTTTCTATTATTTGGAGCAATTATTATTAATCAACGTAAACAGTCAATTAATGTAGTTTGAACACTGGGATCATATTAATTGATCCTCTTTAACAAAAAATATTTAAACAGTTTTTTTTATTTTTTAATCAAATAAGCGAACTATGTCGACAATATTGGTATCTGTACCCAAGAACGGTAAACTAATAGGATTGCTCATCTTCATAAGACGTATGTTCGCCTCTTCCCGCGCTTCAGCTGACAGTTGTGACGTCATTGGAGCCCTTGTCAAAGCCTTCGTGGCCTTGTCATGGTAGTGTGTATTATTAGTTGCCTATGGTAAACTTATAAAAATAAGAGCTGAGAAATTTTGAGTTTATTATTTTGTCAATTTTAAATGTGAAAAAGGTGTCTTTAAAGTTTTTAGAGCTATAGAGTGTATAAATACATTCATTTTGTGTTGTGGATTGTGACAAAGTGCCCACGATTTTGTTTATTAATTATTTTAAAGCAAAATATGGAAGTACTCTAAAAAGAATGCTTGCAAAAGATGATGCTGGGACCTGCTGTTCTTAAAAATGCATTATCCGAGTATTTAATACGATTTATACAGTTAATTTTCTTTACTGCATACATATAAGGTGTTTAAATAAATAAACTAAATAATGAACGTTTTGCATTCGGTAACCAATAATGCACGTGTGTGTATTATTGGTTGCCGGATAAGGACTAATAACCATGACAAGGGCTACAATGACGTCACAAAGCGAGTAGTTTTCGCATGCAGCTGGCGGACACTTTTGGCTGAATGAGCAATCCTATTAGGTTAACTGTTCTTGATCTGTACCCTTTAAATATTTGTTACATCTTTAAAAATAAGCTAAAATGTCAATATTGCATGGGTATAGTGATAAATGAGATCTAAATTCTAAAAAATGTATTTTCTAGGAAAACTTGAAGAGATGGGTAAAAAATGGTATAATACAATTTGATAGACAATTACATTGTGCATCTGATTCACGTAAAATATATAGGGTGTTCCATTTAAATTAAACAAGTTATTTCCGTTTAAAGTTAGTAATTATTTAATATAAATTTTTGGACACTCTGTATAAGGTAGTAAAATTTTTATTATTGTAACACAATATCTGATGAATAAATAATCTTCAGTAAATATTTAGTATTAAAAACTTAGATAGCCTTGGAGAAATGAAGCCTTAAAAGTTTTACTGCAATTTCATAAAATTAAAAATATTTCAAAAACGGTAAAGTTTAAGTGTGATAAACCTTAATCAAATTTACCTTTATTTCAATCGTAGAATCCAAAAATAGAATAATATACAGGGTGTTCCATTTAAAAAAATAAAACTATAATATTTTTTACTTATTTGGGACACTCTGTAACTTGTAAAAATATTTTTAAATTGTAGCTCTAATAGTCCTTCAACGAACCCAAAACTTACAATTTCTAAAAATCTAATCGTTTAGCTATAATAATCCGTGTCGTATGTGGTGAACAACCCTGTATAGAGAAATTGAATGCGGTTCCGATCATCATTTGCCAATTTCAAAAATCTGGATTAAATTCACAACAAGACAGGGTCGAACTGGCCATATAATCAGGCTGGCGATTGCCAGCCTAGCCCAATAGAAATGAAACAGAAAAAAGTGAGGTTTGGTTTGGCTATGTCCATGGAATATTGGAATATCTTGTAGGTCCTCTTGGGAAAGAAAATTCTCAAATTTTAAAAAAACACAAGTTTGGGTCATATTTCTTTTAAAATGCCAACCAAAGCCAGTTAAGCCACTGGACTCTTAAGTTTTCACTTTTTCGATAAGTTATATACTAGAGCTGGCATTTCTGGTCTTGGGTGTCGATTTTCGTGTGTACGAAGAGTACGGTCAATACGCTTAGCAAAATAAGATGTACTGAATAAAGACAGAAGGCAAGTATTTTCCCAAGCGCATGGAATCTAGAGTCAGATTAAGTGGTTATGTAATAAATACTTCGTATTTTTGCTCTCTCCGACTTACTAGATTGCCATAGCGATTCACTCCTATACATGTAAACGCCGACCCAAGGTTTCGCTTGCGAGCAGGGTATAAGATACTGTACGGAGAGAGTTACCAAGACACAAGGGAGGCCAAAAAATGCAACACTTTAAAATTCTCCCTGTAATTCAGGGACTAAGAATTCTAGGTCAAATCTGTGAGTAGCAGTATTAATTACATAAAAAACTAGCACATTGATGTGAAAACCGCATCTCTGTATCTCTACTCATAAACGATGAAACCTCGTAAAACAGTCGAGAATGGGACACCTGTATACTAATGTAAGTGATGAGATGAATGGAGTTACAAAATCAATTTAATGAGATTCTCCTATTTGAATCGATTACGTCACTTTCAGGCATAATTTCAAGTGTGCGGAGATATACAGGTTGATCCGAACTGTATTCTGGAAATTTCAGCAGCATATTCCGCATATAAAAATAAGCAAAAAAGTTCGTATTCGTATGTATGTCCTAAAATTCTTAGTTTCGGAGATACAGGGTGTAGAAGTTTCATTTTTATTTCGATTTTTTCCAAATAATTTCTGAAGTAACGTCAATATTTGGATGAAAAGATTTTGGTGTCTGAGAGTTTTTTGATATGAGAAATTTGATTTTCATGTCAATAGGACTCCTACTTGTAGAGGGCGCCACCTACATATGTTTTAACTGGTTTGAAGATTGATAACTTTTCGTCCATACCTGTATAAATCTACTGAATAAAAAAATATACATTTACAACTTTTTCTACACAAAAAAGGTCTCTTGGTAAAAATCGCTACGAGTAATGGTTCTCGAGATATTTGGAATTGAAATTATCAATACCTGTCATCATTGACATAAATTAAACATGTTGACTAAATAGTTATTAGACTGAAATCATAAATTTGAAATCTTTTTGTGCCAAAAGTTCAACAGAAACTGTTTAATCATAATCTTTTCGCAGAAAAATTTATGATTAATTTAAAAAAATAAAAATGTATTATTTCAGTCAAATAACTATACTCAACGTGCTAATTTTTTGTCAATAATGACATGTATTGACTATTTCCATTCTAAATATCTTGAGAACGGTTGCTCGTAGCGATTTTTACCAAGAGACATTTTCTACGTAAAAAGTCATGAAAATGTATATTTTTTAGTCAATAGTTTTATACAGGTACGGAGGAAAAGTTATTACTCTTCGAAACAGTCAAATCGCATGTAGGTGGCGCCCCTACAAATAGGAGTCATTTTGACATCAAATTTCTCGTGTCACAAAACTCCCAGACACCAATTTTCGTCCAAATATTGACGTTACTTCAGAAATTATTTAGAAAAAATCGAAATAAAAATGAAACTTCTACACCCTGTATCTCCGAAACTAAGTATTTTAAGACATACATTTATACGAACTTTTTTACTTATTTTTATCTGCAGAAGATGCTACCGAAGTTTCCGGAATACAGTTCGGACCATCCTGTAGAATTAGGCTCCTAATTTGGATTTTTTCAAAACATTGTGTCACCGTGTATAGTAAAATTTAAAAATATTCAAAAAACATCTCCAGTCCCACATTTTATAATTATATTTTTAAAAAATTTAAATATATTTTACTTCGACTCATAATAAATAGTCATATTAAAAGAGTAATATAAAATATGCTTACGCCGCATAAACTGTTGAACTTGTCTCTTAAGTTCTTCTGAATAGGTTCTTGAAGGGCTGTCTAAAAGTTGGAACAAAAAAAAAGAAGCAAGCTATTTCAGAAAAGCCTTATGAAAAGAAAACGTAAAACAATATAAGGTATATTAATATAATTAACAACACAAGATATTAATAAAAACAGTTAGTTATATGACAAATGTTTAAAGATGTTTTGATAAACGGTTTAATCGTTTCAAATGACGTTAAAAACTTTGTTATCACATCATAAAAGTATCCAATAAAACATAAAAAGAAATCTCGAAAAGTGTATAAAAACAAAATTCTTAACTCTTGAAACGAAATTTTTTTTGGCTTGTTTCGAGATCTCTCTTACCAAAATTGTAATTTTTGTAAATAAGTTCTTGCGGTGTCTGATCATCCAAATCAGCGCTGTTGATGCCAAGTGGATCCAAATTAGCAATGTGATGCCCTCGTATCTAAAAACATTGCCAACACCTCTACAATACTACAGAATTTGTTATTGGTGCGTTAAATAAGTTAAAAATTAAAAAAAAACTCTTAATGGTAAAAGGAAATTAAATAAGGAAACAAAATATATTTTTGTAGATTTTTAAATATCTATAAGTAGTATAAAGTAGTAAGAAATAATGAAACATGCGATGAATTAATCTCAATTAGAGCTGAAACCCAATTTTCTGATGTAAATGAATCCAGATGAAACAAAACAGCCTATTTTAAACATGCGCCAATATAAACCTATTCTCTCTAACGGTTCTATACTATGACTATTATTTTGACATTAGACTTCTCTCGCTAAATGAAATATGTATTTTTAATATGTAGGTCACTAAAAAATTAATAGTCTGTTCATACTTCCAATAATAAATGTTTCTTTTTCCTCGTGGAAAATTCTAGAGGAAGAACTCTTAAGCCTACCTAACTTGTGCTGACGAATAACTTCTGAAGGAGCTGCACCCATTAAATCGCTAATAGTCGCGGTGCGATCAGAAAACATAATATCAAGTGGGTCCAGTTTAGCCACTAAATGACCGCGTTGCTAAAGCAAAATCAAATATTCTATAAATACAAGTACAATAATACCGATTTGTAGGTACTAGCTTATCTTAATATGTAGGATAACCAAAGATATTTAAACTCAAGAGATACAATTGTTTACCTTTCTCCTTCATCAGCCATTATTCTATCCTTATTTTCCCATCTCTCTTACACCGAAAACATTTGCCAGATTTACCTGTATATTGGTATTAGTATTCGATTAAATACCACCACCAATTATTAAGTAATAAATAATTTCGTTATATTTTTGTAATATATCAACTACATTAATTTGCTATAACGTCAATTTTTGCATTTAATGCTTAACTGCTTTACTATTTTAAATTTTATAATGGAATAAAAATATCATGGTCGTGTTTCTTTTAATAATAAAAAGCAGTTTGGCAACGTCACTTTTAGAAATATGCCGGCGTAGTACAACGTATTTCGAGGATGAATGGAAAATCCTAGATTCTCCTTTTGCGATGTTGCTATGCCGCCGATTAACCTCCATATTCTTTATTTGCAGTATTATAGTATTTTTGCGTTATTTTGTGGACATTATTTTGAAAATATGGTGCATTCATGTATTGTGTACAAGAGAGTGTATCATTTAAATCCAAATTTAACTTTTCACCGGCAAATACAAATAAGTAGGGTTAGGTATATTACTATATCCTATTCTCTGTAGATCAGAGGCGTACCTAGACATAAAAAATAGCAGATCTCTAAATTATATTTTTAGGTTTATTTTTTAAATCATATTATATTTATTATGTTTTTTAAATTATACATTTATTAATTAAATTATTTGTAGGAAAAAGGTACATGGTACATACTAATTACCAATAAGTTAATAACAATTTTTGTTTCCCTTTTAAGAAAGGGTATTGAATGTTAAAAATTAAATTTAAGTTCTATAAACCGCTTGTAATTTATAAAAAACATCTATTTTCGAAAAACCGTACTTTCTTATAAGAATAAATCTAATCTAGGTACCTACTTGGGTTTGACAAACCATTACCTACCTTTTGTGAAAATTTTATTGGTGTGTACCAAAGATGGAATTTTGCGGCCTTACTTTTTTTGTTGCCGTTACAATTTTATACGACTTTTGTTTTAAATTTTGGTTGCTATAATGTAAATGGACATCTTTTGACATACATATAATTAATGTTCTTATTACATGAATTTTATGACTTTCTTACATTTTATTGTATTGAAATTCTTTGCACATGCATTTTTTATTATTTATAAACAATATGAATTTTCCTTATATTATGATTTTGTAAAATTATCGCTACTTTTCTGATGACTGTGTATTATAATATCAAATAATTTTGTTTAGATATACACATACCGTATGATCGAATAAAAACGGCGTCCAGTTGGCTTGGAAATGACGATCGATGGCATTTCCTATATAAATTTACATATAAAATGACAGCGATCTTCATTTCATAGCCATCGCTGACGCCGTTTTTATTCGATCATACGATATAATATATATCTTATATTTTCAGCTCTGATTTACTGTGTTTGAAACATCCCTAAAATGAAAGTTAAGGTAAATAAATGTTGAATTTTCTTACTTCTTATTCCCTCATTAATGAACAATTGTGAACTAATAAAAATTATAAGGCACATATTAAATTTTAATCGCTGTTTTTTATTGTAGTTGTAAAATTCATATACAGGGTGTTTCAAAACAAATGCGAAAAACTTCAGGGGGTGATTCCTTGTTCAAAATAAAGGGTAGTTTGCTTCATAAACGTTGGGTCAAAAGTCAACCATTAGGGAGATATTGCGGTACAAAAATGGCGGAAAAATAATGTTTTTATTTTTTATCTTGAAAACGAAAAGAGATAGACTAATAAAATTTTATGGAAGCATTACTGTTATGAAAACACACTTTCTGGTAATTTTTTCACTGTTTTAAAATGAGTGGAAGAGGTTGAAATAAACTACCCCTATAATTGTTGTTAACGAAATTTAAAGAAAAATCTTATCAAATACATGCAAAAAAATTAATTTGGATAGTTTAGTTTGTTTAGAAACTTTTTTATCTCTCGTATTTTTTTGATAAATCTCACCGATTTGAAATTAAAAAATAAAATGTAAAGCATTACATGTCAGGACAAAAAACATTTTCTGATAAAGAATCTAGTGAGCTGCTGTAATTTTTTTAGGAAAAAATCTAGTCGGCCGCTGTTACTTTTTAGGATGTTCCTAATATTATTTTATTTGACATTACCCTACTGCAATACGTTATTATCTAGATGATTATTATTATCGTTATTATCACTAGATTCTTAATCTAAAAATGTTTTCTGTCCTGACATGTAAGGCTTTACATTTTATTTTTTAATTTCCAATCGGTGAGTTTTATCAAAAAAACACAAGAGGTAAAAAAAGTTTCTAAACAAACTAAACTATCCAAATTAAAGCATTTGCATGTGTTTGATAAGATTTTTCTTTAAATTTCGTTAACAAGAATGATAGGGGTAGTTTATTTCAACCCCTTCCACTCATTTTAAAAAAGTAAAAAAATTACCTGAAAGTGTGTTTTCATAACAGTAATGCTTCCATAAAATTTAATTAGTCTATCTCTTTTCGTTTTCAAGATAAAAAATAAAAACATTATTTTTCCGCCATCTTTTTACCGCGATATCTCCCTAATGGTTGACTTTTGACCCAACGTTTATAAAGCAAACCACCCTTTATTTTGAACAAGGAATCACCCCCTAAAGTTTTTCGCATTTGTTTTGAAACACCCTGTATATATAATAATAAAGTTTTTATTATTTTATATATAAAATATTGTGTTATTAGGTTAAAATAACTATTTTATTTTGTTATTGCTAATAGAGGGAATCTCATTCGCCGGAGACGAACAAGGTTTGGAACAAGATATTGAAACTGCATTTACTAATACACCTAAAATTTGATATTTTATTTAATAAAATAAAGTAAAAAACGCTTATTAATTTTTTACTCGTTATGCTTATGTGAAAAGCCATCTTATAATAAAAAATTATACCGGTTTTTATTTTATTTCGCTATCCTCCCTCAACTTATTTTTTTTTACAATGCGACAAATATGTAAGATAAGTTTTATTATTATTTTATTTTAATTTCGTCCCGTTGCTGCCAAAAGTCACTAACTTACTTTTTATTACTTCCGAGAAAAAAGATGAATTGCATTGCATGAAGATGTTATAGTTAGTAACTATTCGGTATTAAAATAAAACATAAATAGCCAGAAATCGTAGTTAATGACTTTTACAATCGATTTTCCGCTTCAAAACATAGTTATGATTGAATTTGGTTGTTCGGAAAAATGTTAGTGACTTTTGGCAGCAATAGGACGATTTATTAAACAATTATTTTTATTTCCTTAAAATACTGTCGGTCGATCGGCACGCCACTGGAAATTGACCTCAAACGTCTAATCTTTGTAGACAACTACATTGTTGCCATCGAGCAGATACCCCTATTTCCTTCTCTATCCATTCTCTCTTGCACTCGTTGATTTTCGCAAACCAATGTGTGATGAAGCTTTAGAGCGTTTTATGAATGGATCATTGTATCTCCCGAGTTTAAATATCTTTGAGAATAACAAAGAAAACTTTGATTTATAAATCGCTGACTATAACGGGTGAAAATATTTTTTTAGTTTAACAAGTTATACTAGAAAACGAATGTTAAGATAAGTATAATAACTTATTGTAAGAAGAAATTTCATGCTAAAACGTGGCCATATGTATGGGTGGATTTGCCTAAAATCAAATTGTTACCTAAATAAGCAATTCATCCAAAAAGTTTCATAACATTTTTGTATCTACTACGATTGCGTAAAAGATTCAGGATTATAAGGATATAAGGTTTATAACTAATATGGTAGTCTACAATATGATATAGACAAATTTTGCTTAATGATAAGATAATCAAAAATAACTGTCCATTTGATTTAAATTAAAAAGAAATTGTGGCCTTATGTTGACATAATATTCTCTTCTTAAAATAAAATTAGTTTTTCTGGATAGCTAAATTTTCTATTCTACTCTTTATTTCTAAAAGAACTGAAACACGCTGTATTTAATTAATTTACCTAAGTGAACAAACACAAATGAACACTGATACCCGGTGTTTGAAATTCGATTCTCGCGATTGTTGCGCGATTGGGATAGATTAGCAATATCGGGTGGCTCAATTTAGGGTAAAGTTACCTATCTATAAGCCCGGTGATAATTCATGGACTAACTATTGGCCATACAACGGCGAGATCCGAATTTGAAACACACTTTAAATATATTTCATAAATATCATAACAGCACAGAGTATTTACAAACATCTTCGACGCCTTAAAAAATTAAATTAATTTACAGAGAAAAAATAAAAATATTTAATATAAAGCAATGAACATGCACTTATGAAAACAAATATTGAAGGCTATGTTTCCATGAATCGATAACATTATGCATAGCATGAATAGAAATATTTTTTTACCTGGTAACTTCTAATAATAGCCTGTACAGCTAAATGATCATCAATAATCTTCTCATTAATACCTTGGCCAGCTAATGCTGAACCTCCTAGGCTAGGTATAAGGGCACCTAGTGGGACCTCGTTTCTTGAAGGTGTGGCTAAACTTGGAGGTGATATATACCCCTGCCCTCCAGATTGTGAATTTCGAAAAAAAGCATCCCATGACTGAAAGTAAAATATTAAAAGTTAAAAACTAATTTGTATTTTAATAATTGTATTCAAAAATATATTAAATTTTCTCTAGTAAATAAAACCCCTCATATCTGCAAAACACTTTAAATACAAAAAAAAATATGTTTTTAATTCTCCATATAAAAGGAACAGATACAAAGTTTTCCTTTAAAAAAGGAAGAAAAAATATTTTGTATTTTAGAAAGTTATTTACTCATTATGTTATATTTATAGTATACCGGGCGTCCCAAAAGTGGCTCACCCTTATAACTTTTTTATTTTTTCAGGTAAAACAACGATATTTGGTATGTTAGTATATGGCATAAATTAGGATTGATTGACATATTCAATTGTTTCCGGTTTCACCGGAAATGACTATAACTTTTAATTTTTAAATAGCGCCATCGGTATTTTTTTACTTTATTCGATAGAAAATGACACTCTGAATAGAATGACATATCATATGTCAACTTTTGACATTTTCGCATATTGTTTGTTTGACTCGAAATACCAAGTGTGTGGTGTCAAATTATTCGTAAAAAAAATGATTTTTCCAAATATGCTAAAGAGCCACCCTTGTACCATTTGAAAAAATTGAGAAACGATTAAAAATACGATTTAGGTATCTTTTAACTGGCCAAGACAAGACACTAGACAAAAACATTAGCCGATCAAATATATTTTTCCAAGGCTCCTTGATTAAAAATTAGTGTTTTTAACACAGCCATCGCACTCTAGATTGAAATTTAAAATATATTTTGTTTTTGAGCGAATATGTCAAAAGTTGACATATGATATGTCATTCGATAAAGAGTGTCATTTTCTATCGAATAGTAGTTGTAGTCATTTCCGGTGAAACAGAAAGAAAGAAGCAATCCAAGAAATTTAGAAGCAATTTTATCGCTCAACTTAGTTGCTACAAAATCGCCCAGTGAATGCCCCCGTTAAGGGAAATGGCTAGAAATTATTTTCAAGTTCAAAAAATGTCCGCTAGAAGGCGCATCTGTCGTAGTCAATCAGAAAACGAATCTGTTATCAAAAATAAGGGATATTTCAAATATTACTATTGTAATCACGGAATGAAGCAACTGATCGGGTATGGACATATAGAGCGAATGAAGAATACAAGATGGCCGAAGAGAATAATGAATGGGCAACCAACGGGCAGAAAAAAACGGGAAAGACCGAGACTGGAATGGCAAAAGAGCGTACACAAATCGATGAGAGAGGATTCGTACAATCCTCTCAACAGAGGATAGTACGAACAGAACTGGCTGGAAATTGGGTGTCAGGCAACGACGAAAAACGTTTTACCCTTGTATATGTATTTTTACAGTAGATCAAACTAAGACGTTTATGGATGTAAAGCACCAGATGGCGGGGCGTATTTCACAGTCTATTGCTACAGAACTTGTTAAGCTTGATTTTCATGCATCCGTTATCCGACGATACGATGATACGATATTAAGTTTATTCGTTGAATTTAAAGACTTCGATTGGTTAGAAACGGTTAACCAATCCAAGCCTTTAAATTCAACCAATAAAATTGATTTCGTATCATCGTATCGTCGGACAACGGATGCATGAAGATCAAGCTTTACTCGGAACTCTCTTATTAAATATGCTATAAAAGCTGGTAATTATACAATTCGGCCATTGTAAATACCCGAAAAACTCCTCAAGGCCGACGAGGCCGATGTTTCTCACTGATAAGAAAATAAGTTTATTCATATAATTTGCGAGATATTTTTTCTTTCTAAATGCACATTTTAAAGTATTTTATATTCTTTGTCTACTTGATCTATTCTACTGGTCGCACGTATCGATGTTCTGTTTCTTCTAGTTTTAAAAAATTTTCTTATTTGTAGTTGTAGTGTAAAATTAGATTAATTTATTAAGTTTGATTATTTGTTTAGTGTAGAATACCAGAAGTAGTTTAGTAGTGTTTTTATAAGAGTTTATTTTATAGTTAAGGAGTATGCGAAGGGGTAATTTATTGTTATTTTTTTCTTTTTGTTTTATTAATTAGTAAGTTTGATAATTTGTTTAGTGTAGAATACAAGAAGTAGTCGTGTAGTATTTTTATAAGAGATTATATCCGTTTATTTTGTAGCTAAGTAGTAGGTGAAGGTATTTGGGCATTTTTTTCTTTTTGATTTTCTTTTTTCTTGAAGGAAGCTTCAACCTCGTTTAAAAGTGCGTTATATAAGAAATTCCTGAAATTTTTTAAACTTTTTTGATGACATCTTGGTGAACATCCCAAAGCGCAACTTTGACCCAATTTAACCATGTTCAAATCTATTACGGTTACCAAGATACCAATGCTCGTATCCCGAAATTGTAGCACCCTGTATATACTACTGTTATCAATGGAAAGGTTTTAATTTTTTTGGTATAGCGTATTTTGCTCTATCTGATAAAATAAAGTGGTGGGGAAAGTTAAACGTGCTTTTATTAAAATAAGGATAAGTCTGGTTTAGGGTAACTAATTTTAATTAACTAGAGCCCGTTTAAAAAGCTTTTCTTCTTTAATAATCTGTAGTACAAACCACGGCACATAAAACAATCGGCACGCCAACTCTACTCAGATTCCATTGTTTAAAATTTCTATAAAATTTGACCTTGTCGGCGCCATTATGGTTTCCTAGTCAGGGCCGGATTAAAACGTATTAAAAAATTTCTCAGAAAATACGACAGGGTCGTATTAAAAAAATACTGTAATTGACTGAAACTGAATTTTATTTACAATACTTTTGTCCAAACAAATGAATCGTTAACCGCGCATACTTCTCGAAAAGTAAAAATGAAAAAATCAATTAAATATTTCACTGTAGAGAATAGACAATTAAAATTAAAAAACATGCAACTAACAAAAACATGCCAGGAGTTACAAACAAGAATTAAAAAAATACCAATAAAATATTTATTGAACAATATAAAGAGGCTACGTACAAATTATGCCCATCAATGGGCGTAGCAAATTTTATTAATATTCAAATTTCACAAATTAATAAATCCACAATTTTTTTTGAGAAACTTTTATTTTTTTCATGGCAGGAAACAAAGTAGGTACCGCAATGTATTTTATACGGTTACAAAGTGAATTGGTAAACATTTTAAATTCAAAGTGAACAGAACACAACCTGTACTTGTGGGCCTTATTTATATCTTCAATCAAGTCTTCTCCGTTAGCTGCAATTGCCCATGTTCTTGCCCTAAAAATGTATTGTTAACTTATTTTCGATATACTCATTTTATTTATTTTTATAATTATATTTAAATGAATAATATAATGATTTTTAAATTTAATTTTTATTTTTATGTCTAGATTTTAATTTTACATTATTATAACATTAAATTTTATTTTACTAAATGTTTAACATTAAATCTTACTAATATTAAAGTTTGTTAAGATTTTTAATTAGATCTTCCTATTTAGCTGAATGTCCTAATATGTATACTACTGTTTTTTTAACTAAAATATGTTAAAATAATTAATCACATATGTATATACATACCTAATCGGATCTCTAGGAAACAGAAAGAAACTTTTATTGCAGTTTAGTCCTCTACTCGGGCAGTTTTTTGCTGCACAACTTCGCCCAGGCATTTTAAAAACACGTAAAAATTAACGATTTAAAAATGTTCAGAAAAACAAAAATAAATTATATAACACAAGAAACGAAAATAAACTAGAAAAACCAAATATATAACACAATAAACAAAAATAAAACAACAACTATAAAATATAACTCAAGAAATAAACAAAATAAATTAATCCGTGCGTTACTGACTCGAATCAGCCGAAAGTGTGCGCAGTCGATGAAAGAAACTACGACACTGGTTACTTTCTGTTGATGGAAACCCTAATGGCGGCGTGCGCGACGGTATGCGCGTAGCGTTCCCGCCAAAGAGAGTTAGCCTGCCGTGTGATTTATATGCCGTGGTACAAACTATGTTTCCATAGATTTTGCCGTGGTAGCTAGAGGGCGCTGTTTGACATTACAACAACAGATATTTCAATATAATTTAAGTAATTATTAAAATCCTGCAATATAAGGCTTTTAGAGTGGCTTCTGAGCAATTTAAATGTATTAAAATCTTGCAAATTTTTATAAATTTTCCACTTATTGTGAAACTTATTTTTTTCTTTAATTACCTTTATAGTTGAAGCGGTGAAATAAACGGGATAATTACGATTGCGATAGCCCATTGGTACATAATGGGCTATTAATTCTTTTAAAATGATATTGAATCTTGACAAATTAATTTCTATATTATTACTAGATAGCATATTATCCCATTGTACCTCTGATAGTGCTCTATTAATATCATTGTAATTAGCTTTATGAAAATTGAAAAATTTACAACTAGGAAGAAGAATAGTTTTTGTGTGTTCCAATTGAAGGAGAAACTCTACTGCCGGATGATGATGATCCTCAGTAACAAGAGGTGACGAACAGTGTGATAGCATATCAACAGTTTCTGAATTGTTACATAAAATTAGATCCAAAATTCTACCAGAAACGTTTCTTACGTAGTTGAATTGCATCATACCGCAAAACGAAAATATATCTATTACGTAAGCCGATTTTGCTAAATTAATATAAAAGATCGAAAAAAAATCAATGCCACTTTTCTTAAATTAAATACTCAATTTTAACAAATTTTGGTTTGCCTAAAAAATAATCTATGATGTCCACTACCATAACATAAATAAAGATATTTAAATAACTCAAATTCAAAATAGTTTCATATTTAAATACGTGGAATCTATCTCTACAATAAAATAAATAAAAAAAATAAGCAATTTTTCAGAACTTACAGCATGTACACTAGATGGATCTGCAAGCCAAGCATTATACATATCTTCAACATATTGTCCGGAACTTCCATTTAAGAATGGTTCTGCTGCTGCAGGAACGTTATAAGCTCGGCACTGACTGCATTGTAAAACTGCTGGAGAATTTTTAATAAGCCATGAAGCAAATTTTTGTGATGGGATGCCTGCTGAAATAGCAGTCACAAGGGTCTTGGCACGATGCATAGTTTGTTTCAAATCGTGTTTCTAAAAATTATTAATTAATGTAAATACAAAATAATTTACACTCTTAGGATCAACAAAGCAAACAAATTATAAAAATTGTTTATCTATTATATCTTCATAGAAAGCACACTTGATCCAAAAACTTTGATCATAATGTAGAGTACAAACCAACTAAGAACATGTCATGACCTTCATAGAAAACGATCGCCTTCTCTCTTGCGTTCTAATCATGGACGCGCCAGTGCAAGAGAGACAAACGATGTCTAAGTGATGACGCTCGTAGCATGTTCTTAGTTGGTTCGTACTCTACATATATAAAACACTTTATAGCTGATTTAAGCTTGATTTTCATGCAAAGATGCATACACATATATGCATCTTTCTCTTCTATGCAATTAGAGAGACAAATATACTATAAATCTAGTGTTGGGTCATGATACAAAAAAAAGGTATGATATTGCGCAGGTTGGTCGCTACGTCACAAGTGATATCGGCACCATTGGTAGGCTTAAAGCTTGATTTTCATGCATCCGTTGTCCGACAATACAATGATATGATAATAATTTTATTGGTTGAATTGAAAGACTTCGATTGGTTAACACTTTCTAACCAATCAAAGTCTTTAAATTCAACCAATAAAATTAATATCGTATCATCGTATCGTCGGACAACGGATGCATGAAAATCAAGCTTTAAGCCGACCAATGGTGCCGATATCACTTGTGACGTAGCGACCAACCTGCGCAATATCATACCTTTTTTTGTATCATGACCCAACACTAGATTTATAGTATATTTGTCTCTAATTGCATAGAGGAAAAAGATGCATATACATATATGTATAAAAGAGAAAAACTATACATATGAAATGTCAAACTTCAATCTTGACTCAATTTTCTTTGTTTATGTTGTTAAGGAAACTGTTTTCAGAAAAGTTTTGGACATAGGTTTTGGATATTTTCTATCCCCAATCAAGGGATTTTCTATCTCCAAATTTTCGTTTTTCTAAAAAACTGTAAGGGACCGCCAAAAAAATGTTCAGATTCTTATCTACAACCTCAAAATAGCTATGTAGCCAGATGTAGCTAGCAGCTAAGTAAACCAACGAGTAGCGACAGTCCGGTTTTCAATTTTCTTTGCGGCTGCGCGAAATAAGTAGTCTATCTGTCATATGAAGAAGAGAAGTTGCCTCTGTTGCCATTTATCAAATATCTCTATATACTCTATTTCAAGTATGCCTCAAGCAACGAATAATTTTTTAATTATTTATTAGCTGTAAGATATTTTATACATTCAAATTTAGAAATAAGGATTAAACAAAACAAAAAAAATATGTATAAAACTTTAAAATTAATTCCACTTCAAATTATAAGCAGCGTATACCATGTTTATAGGACCACTTCATAAGTTGAGCAGTTAAATAGGTAGTCTATCTGTCAAACACGTCAAAAGAGAGAGAAAGAAAATATGGTCCCACCACATCAAAAGAGCCGATGGTTTCTGTCGCTACTCGTAGCTAGTCAATGACTAAAGAATACAAGGACATGTAACATATATGAGCTGCAGCAGAATTTGTGCTATTAGACGCAGATTTTTCTGGAAGTAACGAATGAGTCATCAGCTGGTCATCAGCGACAATTTTAGCAATTTATAATAGTTTGTGTGTAGTGAACTTTGTATAAACTTTATTACAATGGTGATTAGTTGTTCAGCATTCAAGTGTAAAAGCCGCAGCGATAAGAAAGAGCCAGGAGTTTAGTTTCATAAGTAAATAAACAGCCCACTCCACCATTTTACCGTTTTTTTTTATTGAATTTGATAATTATTTTTCTGATATTATATGCACTTGATATGTGTTATACGTCTATACTAGTTTTGTACAGGGTGGGTCAAATTGGTCGCTTTTAAAGGGAAATACCCTTTTCTATAGGAAATAGACGAAAACTAATATCGGTGTCTGGAGCTCAATTTTTATCAAAAACATGATGGTGAAAACTGCATATCGATATCTGTGACTGTTTCGGAGTTACGGGGTGTTTTTCAAGTAATGTAACTTTATTTCTATGGAAAATTTTGTATTTTTATGAAAACATTTCCAAAGCACCTTTTTACGTAGAATTTAATGGTTTAAGTATATATTTTTTAAAATTAACAATTTAAGAATTATCAAGAAAAAAATTGATTTTATATATGGGACACCCTGTATATTTTTAATTCATTGAAAAGAATTTAAAATTACCGTTCCAAAAATATAGCATACTTGATATTTTGCTTGATCTTGCGAGATATAGAGTTTTTTAAAAATTCGCCCACTTTTAATAAGTAGGCTGTAATGCAAAAAAATCTTTCTTGTAGTACATAGCTGTTAAAACAAAAATAATATTTACAGTGAGAGATGCAAAATTTTTACAATTTAAATTATATTTAACAACATCATCACATTTAAACTATATCTAATAACAATAAAAATTAATAGCAAACCAAGACATGAGATTTTGCTACAGTTGTTCGACATATCGACCGTCTATTGTTATGGACAGATGGGACCGTTTTTTGGAACATTTCTCGCGAAATTCATTAAGTCAGTGGGGATGAAAGTTACTCTCGCCGCTAAGTACTTCTAATTCTTGTCTAGATTATGCGGGCAATTTTGAAATAAAAACCTTTATTCTTCCGCATGGGTAAAAATCGATAGGCACTAAGCTCGGCGGCCTCGATGGCCAACGGCTGGGATCTTCGTTAGCTATTCAATTATTCTCGAAATTGGCTACAAAAATTTGCTGATAACTTCAGCGTTCTGAGGCGATGCCTCATCTTGCTGGAAAAATATGTTTTCGAGTTCCATTAGGGGCAGATCATCAATAAAGGGTCCAGCCTACTATTAGTTAAAAGTGGCGAACTTTAAAAAATTCTGTATTTCTAAGAGGAGTATAACAAAATATCAAGTGTGCTATATTTTTGGAAAGGTAATTTTAAGTTCTTTTCATATAATTAAAAATATACAGGGTGTCCTAAATAAAAAATCAATTTTTCTGTTGATAACTCTTAAATTATTAATTTTAAAAAAATTATATTTAAACTATTAAATTCTACGCAAAAAGAAGCTTTGGAAATGTTTTCATGAAAATACAAAATTTTCCATAGCAAAAAAGTTACAGCAATTTGTTAAAAATGCACATTTTTGAAAAACACTCCGTAACTCCGAAACGGTAACAGATATCGATATGCGGTTTTCACCATCATGTTTTTGATAAAAATTGAGCTCCAGACACCGATATTAGTTTTCGTCTATCTCCTATAGAAAAGAGTGTTTCACTTTAAAAGCGTCGAATTTGACCCACCCTGTACCATTTGTTAACATTTTAATACGTTTTTTTTTCGTAATTAATTAATATCATACCACCGCATACACCCATGCGTAGTTAAAATATTTATCAAAAATATAAATATCTCTTCAAGCGTTAAGAAAAATATGTGCCACGACACTGTTTGAAAATATGGTAACAATTTGGTCTGGGGTGTCTCTCAAATATGGCCGACTTAAATTCCGGTTTATCAGTGCCGTTCTAATTTTATTCAAAAAAATGTAAAACTATGATGTAGGGTAGACTCAATAATATGTTGATTTATTTTACGTTGTGAATAAATGTTGGTAGTTGTTAAAATTATTACAAAAATATATAATTCTAATAAAAATAGATAAGTTATAATAATTATTTATTAACACAAACATCCGATACGCTACTGAAGCAGGTAAATTAAATTGACGTATCTAAATTCTTTGACATCTAATCTTTGACAAGTAGTAAATAAAAGCAAAAATGCAAGAAAAAATATATAATTAGTTAATTTAAGTGAATTTCATAAATGATCGGTTTACTACATGTATGTATATTATATAGTCACTTACTAGCGAAAAGTTGTTCCATTATTTCATTCGATTTTTGCCGAGATCTACCGCACGCTACACAACCAACTATTTTAGAGTTTTTTTCGATAAATCGCGATAGTGTCACTCTTAATTTAAGTTCTGCCACAGTTTCCATCTAGATTTACTACCTTTATACAACTATCAGTAGTAGAATAAATAATAAATAACATAAAATAAGCTCCGTAAAGACTGACAAATCCACAAAATTGCAAATCAAATTCAAATGTGTCAAATGAATCGTCAAACAGAACTGTCAAGGATCCCCACCCTAGAGTCCTTTTTCCGCCCACCATGCATGAATACATGGATATCATTATGCTCCTTTCTTAGTCTTCTTATTCAAAGAGTCATTGTATAGTTCAATGCCCTCTATAAAAGATCAGCCTACGGGCGGACTTTTGTTTACTTCATCAGCTGTACATACTTAGATATTGGGTTAGATTCTGTATTCATATTTTGTCGGTTGATTTTTGGTATTATTTGTTATTGTAGTGCAAAAAACTAATTATTTTGGTGTTTAAGTGACATAAAGTACTACCAGATATATGGTCACTATGATGGTCACTCTGTTTCTCATGAAAAAACACGAAATATTACACGTTTTGTTAAGTGCTTTAACCTAAAAGTGCCCATAAATTTTTTATTTATCGTGACTTTTGTGTGTGTTTTTTAAGACTCTAACAATTCATCAATAAAGCTTAAGTGTGTTTATGGTGCTATGCCTCATCTTTGTTGTGTTCCTGATGGAAAGAATAGTTATACTAGGCAGCTTAAAGTATCCGGAAGAGCAAGAAAAGTGGGTACGAGTTATAAATCAAGACAATTCTATTGAAAATATCTTTAATAAATTTAAAAATAATATTCTTCCAGGATGGTATTAAAGAAAACTGGACAATTATGTTTATTTTATTCATATTGTGGAATCTCCACTCCAAGTGTTGTTGGTTCAGCATCGATAGATTCAAACACGTAAGATAAACACGTAAGTAGGTATTATGATCTAGGGAAAAATAAAGAATATGTGTATTAAAGATCATGAAAAAGATTATTATTTTGAGTTCAAAATTAAAAAAGATTTTTCTAAAGACAAGAATGATAAAGTTTAAAAGAAGAATGTGTTTTTATTTGATAATATAATGTATGTAAAGCATAACATATATTTGTTCAGTAATTTTTACTGAATAGTATTGATTATTTATAATATCAAATTAATATCAAATATTTAAGTGATGGCTGAATACAATATGAATAAAATAACAATAAAATTGGTATATTTGCAATACAAAATTAAGTTTTAAGAATAAAGGTGTTACTAAAAATACTAAGAAATTCATATCTTTGTTTTAATTGGTCGAATGTTATTTACATTTTATGTAAGAATTATACCGTATCATCGAAAAAAATCGGCGTCTAGTTGATTTGGAAATGAACATCGATGACATTCCCTAAATAATTGTACACATAAAATAATTAACTAGAATTTTACAATCTTGGAAAATTTTATATTCTTGAATCTTGTTTCTAAATATTCTAAATTTTTTGATTTTCTTGGGATTTAGGTTCGGAAAAAAACGCTGATTAAGTTTTCATTTGGTTTTTCATTATTTTTATTTGGTTTAAAAAAAACGTTATGGTTAACATTATAGCCTTCATCAGTGTTGTGTCGTATGAAAAAAATAGTGTCCAATATAATCCAAAAAATTACATATAAAATATTCACACCACGCACCACATAATGTTTACTGCGTAATCCATAGTCAATGTAGATAGTTTTAGTGTTAAGAATAATAATTCTTAAAAATATGTGGTCATCTTTTGATAAGTTTATATTAGTTTATTAATTGCAGTAAACATTATGTGGTGTGAATTTATATGTAATTTTTTGGATTATATTCGACACTATTTTTTTCATATGACACAACACTGATGAAGGCTATAGTTAGCCGAAACGTTTTTTTTAAACCAAATAAAAATAATGAAAACCCAAATGAAAACTTAAATCAGCGTTTTTCCCGAACCTAAAAATCCCAAGAAAATCAAAAATGTTAGAATAATTTTACATATAAAATGCCAGCGATCTTCATTTCATAACCATCGCTGACGCCTTTTTTTAGATGATATTGTATTATCTGTAAATATAATTTTTCGAACATTGATACCTGCAAAATATACATATAAATTTTGTGAATGCAAATAATAATACATCACTATTAGTAGATATTAAATGTTTTTTGTTAAATTAGATCGATTTTCAAACCCCAAAATTTAAAATATATTTACATTTTACCCAATATCTTATGTAATACATTATTTGTATATTGTAAAACATTTGCTGCATTTGTATGGTTCATAGTTTATTTGCCAAAGTATTTATTACTATAAATAGTATATATGATGTAGTTATTAACTGTATATTATGTATATTTCATGTGAACTATATAATTTTTAAAATACAAACCAAAAATCTGAGGAATAATTATGTTTTCCATGTATTCTACAACATATTTATTAATCCGTAGTATCTAACTAGCGTGACGTCATAAATCTCGCCCCAAGGCTGTTCTATTAGAGACGGCATTGTATAGTTAGTCTAGGTTAGGGTTGGCAACAGTTGGCAACTTTGTTGGCAACTTTCAAAATAAACAGAGGACGAATATAAATATTTTTTCCATAGACAATTATTTAGTTTGGTGTGTAAAAAAGAGGACTTTTTCAATACAAGAGAGAAAAGAGAACAATAAGCGCCGATAAGACAAAATAAAAAAAAATTCTCTGGAATACAAGACGATTGGCAACTCGGTAAATGAAGGTATACAAATTTTTGTGAAAAAAGGATGATTTACATTTTTTCCAATAAGTAATTACCTTTATTACCGAATAAAATTCTGATTTTGATTACTATGTTGTATTAAACCCAGCATATAATAAATATTAAAAAAAATATAAATGTTAAAGAGGATATAGAAAAAAAATTAAAAAACCTACATTCAACTTTATTAGGTACGTGCTAGATCAATATCATCATATGAATACTGAAATATATTGGCAAGTGGTCTTGGCAACTAATATAATTATTTCTGAACTCTAAAATATTTTATTTGTGTAATCAGAAGTAGGTACCTAATTATAGTATAAAAAAAAACAAATGTACCATCTATCAAACCAAAAAAGGAGAAAGAATTTAAATTGCTTAAAGCAATAGAACATCTAAAGAATTAATACTTAACAGATTTTTAGTATTTGACTATTAGAAAACTGGGTATACCGAAAACTGTTCTTATGTAACTAATTAATCATAAGACTTATTTTTACTTACATCATTGTATCCACAGATATTTTTTGTCCTTTTATAATATTTTCAAACACTTACCTTGGTCAAATTAAACTAAGATTATTACACCTTCTTAAATTAACATCCAAACTACCTAATAGCTGTACAAATAGATTCCTTTCTCCAAAATAGTAATTTCATTCAAGTCTCATAACCTTCATAACATAATAGACAGTAGACAGTTCACAGAGCCATAGAAAGGAGTTCACCACAAGAGTTCACGGCCCGCACCTTGGGCCCGCACGGCTGAACTCGGCCAAAGTAATGATGGGCGATGTTTATCGATGTTTCGCCAGCCTGGCAATATTCTGTCAAAATGTCCGATACACCTAGGGTTGCCAACTCTCTAAGTTAGATACCATATACCATATAGATACCCGGATCAAAGTACCCGGATAGCCGCTAGATTCGCATATTACAAACCTTTTTACAAACCCTTTTAAAAACCGATAGAATCCCCTAGGGGATATTTTTTTTCGCTATAGAGCCCTTGTTTTTCGCCTATTTTTGAACTAAAATTTTCATCACCCGATGAGACTGGTGGATGAGACCGATTCGTGACTTCGAAGATTCTAGGTTCTAGGCCTATTATAAGGATAATTACACGTTTATTGGGGCAAATTAAAAAAAAACATTTTTTTTACGTTAATTTTGAAAACAATAATTTTAAACCAATTTTTAAACAGTACTTAAATAAGGATCCGGTAATAGGGAGTTTTCGTTGCTTACAAATTGCAATTCCGGTTAACGCTAATTGACAACTTTGACATTTCAATTTCGATTATCGTATATCGTAACCGCTAGCTGCCGATATTTTACTACGCATGCGCACTAGCGCAGTAGAAACACAACATTGAAAAATACAGATCTAACCTAACCTCATTCTATTTTGTTTATGTTTTGATTATTTATTTTATCTGTGTTAAACCCGTTGGGAATTCTTAGTGCTTCAACTAATCGAGGAATGTATTTTTTTTCAAAGCGGAAGTTAGCTTTGCACTCTTGGTCAGATAATATTTCTAGGTTGAACTCCCCATAAAGTTCTGCTCGATATTCGATGTTGTTTTCAAACCCTTCCAACAGCATAGCATCCTCCAAATCCGATTCATCACTAGAGTCCAATAAAATTAAATTGTCCATCCTATATAGCGATACCCAATAAAGTCATATAAAGCACTTTCAAATCAAACAACAATACAAAAACCAAAAATCAAAACACTACGCTACGGGCTGTGCTTAGCTGTCAGTTTTCGGTTATCGTATCGTATGTCGGCTCCGAACCGATGAACCGAAAGTCCGAAAACTGTTTTTTTATCTGTCAAAATAGCGGTTATGGTTACGTATCCGTTAACCGTACCGCTGAATTTTTATAAAGCAACGAAAACTCCCTAATACCAAGGATCCTACTTAAAAGTGTACGGTAGGTAACGGCGTAACGATGGCGTAACGGTTAACGGTCAAAAAGGTCAAAATAAAAAATACGATAATTTTGGGAAAGGTTGGCAACATGGCAACGCTGTCTGCTAGTCAAAAGACTCAAAAGTCAAAATATATCTTTAAAAGATATTTTTAAAACATATATTTAAAAGATATATATTTATATTCAAATAAAAATAAGATAATCTTTTATTTCTGTTCTGTGTTATGTTTCATACATAGAGTTTCATATCTTTCGTTATGAGTGTTTTAAGCGGTTGTGTAAGATTCTTTACTGTTACTCCACTTCTGTTTACTAATTCTAATGCCAAGAATATTAATTTCCATCGAATTAATAATTCAGTAGTATTACTTAAAAGGGGTTACAAGAATTTTGGTCATAAACCTGATAAGGAACCAACCCTTACCAAAGTCTATTGTGTATTTTTAATATCGGTCTTTCTTTTTTCAATACTCGATTGGAAATGGTGTGTAGTTAAAACTTCTATTATTACATATTAAACTGTTTATATTATAGGATAATTACATGGACTACAGCTAATTGGAAGCACAAGTACAGAACTCCAAAAGTAAATGATGATTAGAATAATTGGTTGAATGAAGTCTGGATTCATTTACCAAGACAATTAGTACAAATACCTACACTGTATATGGACATATTATTTGTTTCATGTAAATCAAACTATTTTGGTCTATATTAAGAAATGTCAATAAATAAAGAGCCTGAGATTTTATTTGTTCTTTTCAGTGGGGAGAGAATGCAATCTAAAAACTGCAGCACTTGGGCTAGATTGTGCATTCTCATCTTAAAAACTTGCATCGCCAAGCCATCAATAAACGTAATTTGGAAAGAAGTTTGGGAAGATATAGCAATTTTACTCAGAGATGTATTGTAAAATGGCAACAGTAAACCAGACTTCACCCCGAATGCCCGAAGAGGCTCTCTAACAGAGCCGGACTTTCATATAAAACCTAAAATGCAATCATCCCATTTTTATTAGGGTTTCAATATGTCTGGTTTTAATCAGACATGTTTGGGTTTTTATGGTATCCAGGGTTTGTATTTCCATAATATACCATGTAGAGAACATAGGGTCTGTAAGCCCCGCCCCCCAAGCTTAGCTTAGCCATAAAGATGTCTCTACGTGGTATAGAATGGAATTGGGAAATGGTGCCAATATCGGGTATTGTTCGTAGTCGCATTACTGGCGTAATATTTTTTTAGTACGTAAACCGCCGAGTAGCGACAGAAACCGTCGGCTCTTTTGATGTGGTGGGACCAGAGAGAAACTAATAACTAAAGTGAGAGGGCTTGTGGAATAGGGCATTTCGTAGACAAGTTTATTTTGTCACCGCGCTACCCAGACCCGTTTAGGCGGTCAAAAAAGGAAGATTTCAACTTTGCAAGTTAAACATTTGACAGGATTAGATTGTCAGTAGCTTTTTCTATTTCTTAGCTCTAGAAGGAGATAACTAAAATCTGTTGATAATCGGAGTAATAAATTGTTTTTGACTGAATGTGCCTGTTCTTTTAGCTTGTCAGAAGGAGAAGATTATTGTCATTATTGATTATTTCAGATTCCACGATTATTCGGCATTTTTGTTTTGTAGTTGAGATCCAGACAAAACGTTTCGTTTAAAGGTAAGTTTTATCTCGGTAATTATTTTAACATACCTAATAGTAATAGTGAGTGCACATAATAATCACCTGTAAGACCTGAGATATTGAAGATTGCAGCCTTGATTTGGAGTATGGCAAGGAGTATGGAGTTAAATAAATTCTTATGTTCCTAAACAGTATTTTATTTATATGTTTTAATGCTTTAAAGTCTAATAATAAATTTTCGTTGTCAACAAAATAATCTAAAAAAACTACGAAGATTTCTTATTATAAACTTGAAAGATTAAGATTCGGTTCAAATATACAAATTTAAAATTTTTGGCGCCAGTATATAAGTATGAATGCAACCTACTATATCGATAATGCGCTCATAGTTCGGGTTAGACGCCAGAGGCCACGCCACTAACACAGTCTTCAAAAAATAACATTGATCGGTCTCTGTCACTTTAGTTATTAGTGTTTGGGTGGGACCAAATTTTCTTTCCCTCTTTTGACGTGTTTGACAGATAGACTATCTAAATAACTGGTCATAATTTGAAGTGGAATTAATTATAAAGTTTTATACATATTTTTTTTTGTTTTGTTTAATCCCTATTCCTAAATTTGAATGTATAAAATATCTTACAGCTAATAAATATTTAAAAAAATGATTCGATGCCTGAGGGATACTTGAAACATAGTATATAGAGATATTTGATAAATGGAAACAGTGGCAACTTCGCTTCTTCATATGACAGATAGACTATCTATTTCGCGCAGCCGCAAAGAAAATTGAAAACCGGACTGTCGCTATTCGTCGCAGGGTTGCCAGATTGGGCGACTTATCGCAGATTGGGCTACTTTAAAAATCATTTTGGGACACATTTTATCTTTCTGCGACTAGTCGCAGATTGGGCGATTCTCAAAAATTTTCTGGGATTTTTTGGGCTACAAAGGAAATATATTTTAGGTTGGCTTCTTCTTCTTCTTCGAAAGTTGTAATGGCGCATTGTTGCTTGGGGCAACGCAAATACGTTTAAATAAAATATACGACGGCCTCCCCATAAGAGCAATGAGAGGATTTACGTCCCAGTATTGAAGGAGGACAGAAAATCGAGTCGAATGGTTTCAAGACATAGGTTCATCCTTGTTTAGTCAAACCTCCTACAACACAAGGATAGACATATGTAGGAAATGCATTGAAATTCTATAGCCATCCTTCAATATCGGGACAGGAATTTAAGCTGTACCCTCCGTATACTTTATTTTAAACGTATTTTGGGCAACGGCATAATCGGCCAAACAAAGTACAACCTCAACACCGAGACGTATGTCGATGCTTATGATCTTCTTAGGCATAAAAAAACTTTAGCCATAAAATACCTATGTCAAGGAGCCAAAGAATCACCCCCTTTCCTATGCCCTCCTATGCCCCTTTCGTTTGTATATGATATTTAGGCACTGCATATTAATCTAAATATGCTGTTCAATGATCATAATATTATATTAACCAAAATTTAATAATTATTTCTCTTTAGTTCTTCTTTTTCCTTTTACCCAACTTTTCAAAACAGGTTTTTACTGCTTTTTGGCAAAATCTGCGACTTTGGGCTATCTTAACAGCTGCCTTTTAATAAAGTCACAAAGAAAAAAAACGATAAAAGAGTCATATATTATTTTTGATCTGCGATTTTGGGCTATTTTCAAGGTTTGGCAAAATCTGCGACATTGGGCTATCTTCAAACTTTGAGTTCTGCGACACGTGTCAAATTTCATCTGGCAACCCTGATTCGTCGGTTTACTTACTCTGTCACCACATCAAAAGAGCCGACGCGACGGTTTCTGTCGCTACTCGTCGGTTTACTTACTCTGATATCGCGTTCTTGAACAGTTCAGAGCTGCACATGTGGCTGCACAACTGCGTGAATGGAGGACAGTAAATGTATCTGCTCATGCACTATGCACTAGCCATTATCAACATGTAAAGGCGTGCGTTGTCGCAATTCCTGTGTTCTTACTATATATATTGCGGATTTTACGACATTCGTCGTCTCCCCCTTCTCAACTTCCACAGATCTGTCTGTCCAGTCTTCTTCCTGAAGGCCCCTAGAATTCATAGCGTCAACTACGCCCTGCTTCCATCTTCGAGGTGGTCTTCCACGTTTCCGCCTTTCACTTGGTGTCCATGAATGAATTCTTTTTGGCCATCGGTTATCATCCATTCGTTGGAGGAGTCTTGAAATGCGACTTCTTCGCCAAAAATCCATTTCAAGAGACGGCAACTTATTTTTCTCTACTTTGTTTAGCTCCCACGTTTCAGCGCCATACGTGGTAATGCTCTCTACAATGGCTTTATAAAGTAGAATTTTTGTTTTTTGGGAAATTTTGTCACTCCACAACAACGAGTTAAGTTGACCGATAACTCTTTTTCCTTGACCAACTTTATTTGCAATATCTTGAGTGCTTTTTCCATTTGTTGTAAAAGTGACGCCCAAGTATTTAAATGTACAGACATTTTTAATTGTGCCGATTCCTACATCCAAATCCTCACGTTCGTCATCACCCACTACCATGTACTCCGTCTTCTTTGTGTTTATTCTTAGGCCCCATTTCGAATATTGCTCATGCAGTTTTCTAAACATATAACTGGAGTCGTCTCTGTCTCCCGCTATTAAGACCTGGTCTGCGTTTTTACTACAGCCGCAAAAATGGTCTTCCACCTTCCAATTTGGCACACCCTGCATATACACTTTCATTAGTTTTATATAGGTATAAGAACATATTTAAACAATAGCTGATGCACAATAACATAAACGATTTAATTTCTAAAAAATCATGTTTACAAATAGAGAATCAAACAGAATAGGCACTAATCAGCGTTCATATTTTTAAAAATTATTTTAAATTAAATTTCTAACAAAGCAGGCTTTGTTTCCTTGGCACATTTCCACACGGTATACATAAACTTAATAAATCCTGTGTCCTTAGGTTTCTCCAATCCACGGAGTAATCTGTTCTTCATAACAGCAATAAATTCTTTATTACTAAGTTGACCATCATCTAAAAATTATTTATTAGTTATGTATGTCTTGTAAAGTTCCTTTTAATATCAAATGCTTAGTAGACCGTCCTGTTGGGAATATCTTTACTATATAACATAAACATTAAATACTGAAAAAAAAACAGATAAAATAATTATTTAATAAATAAAGGTAATAGTTTTAAAATATACCCAAATAAATTTATTTGTAACAACGCTCATTTCCGCCGGGTTGAGGTCGGATACCTCAAGAGTCGATTTAGACCGGTCCTATCCCTTAGAGGTCTAAAGTCCCAGTAAAGAGAGTAACAAGTATATTTGCTGCATAATTACTCAAATCGCATGGTAAGCTTCATTCAGAAGCTCGCCATTAGTGGAATAAATTAGTGGTTTCAATTGGCGTAGAAGTTAGTTCTTTTAATTTCAATGTAATAGTCTAAGAGCTGGCTACATAAAAAACCTTATCATCGTTACATGGCTAATTTTTTGTGTGAAGTATCCTTTTGTGTAGCCATTATGAAATAGTCATGTCTGCTAGCGCGATCCCGGGGCCCGGGCGGCCAATCGAAAGGGTGAAATTTTGACACTAAATATATTATAAGATACATGAGTTATAATTGCGAAAATAGCTTTTATTTATTATTAAGAAACGTGGAAAATTGTTGGCAGACATTTTTCTAGTCGCTAAAATGCCGACAGACAACGCGAAAGAGGCATGAAATTTTCAAAATTATTAAAAAATGAAATTTAAAGAATGAAAAAAAAAATATGGCATATTTGCATGCCGATTGGTGAAATGTCATATTTATTTATTTTAAATGCCGTATGCAAAAGGACAGACAAAAAGATCGTGGCTCAATCAGCTGCAGACAGTTATCAAAAGCGCGATATTACTCTAGCGCTTTATTCAGGGGACGCTGGCCTCCTCACCCATTTAAGTATAGATAAATCATATAATATACGATTATATTATAAATATATTTTTTTATTATTTCAATAACGATTTTTTTGCCTGCCCTTTTGCACATACGGCTTTTTAAATTAATTAACAATAAACATGACATTCCACCAACCGACATATATGTCTGCGATGATTTTCTTTTGTCAAAATTCTATGCCTCTTTCGCGTTGTCTGTCGGCATTTCAGCCACTTGAAAAATGTCTGTCAACAATTTTACACGTTTCCTAATAATAAATAAAAATTATTTGACAATTATAACTCGTGTACCTTATAATATTTTTAGTGTCAAAATTTCACCCTTTCGATTGGCCGCCACCGCTTTAAGCCCCGGGATCGCGCTGGCAGACATGACTATTTCATAATGGCTACACAAAAGGATACTTCACACAAAAAATTAGCCGTGTAACGATGATAAGGTTTTTTATGTAGCCAGCTCTCGGTCTATAAGCATTCAGAACGTCAAAATTTGTGGTAGACATTTTCAATTAGTAGAAAAAATTATCAAACTTTTAACTTTTTCACTAATTATACTTCAAAATTTGCGAGAAATTACATTTTGGCCTTTGATTATCTGCCGTCAAGAGAAATTGTGGTTAGAAATCAAAAGTTGATTGTTTTATAAGCTAAATACAGCTGAATATTAGGCTTTCTCTATGGATACAACTGACTAACTGTTGCTAGTAAATTCTATTAATTTTAATTGTGTTTTTTAAACATTGTGAATGATCGTAAACTAAAAAGTATAAAGTGTAATTGACCTGAACCACTAATTTATTCGACTAATTGCGAGGTTCTGAATGAAGCTTAACACTTCCCAATTCCTCACCCCTAATCATTTTCCAATTAATTCTTAAACTACGCCCAACTTAAGGTATCCGAGGTCTAGAGGTAACCCCATTTTAGAGGCACTGTTAAGTGTTATATTTAACTTTTACTAAAATTCCAAGTTTTCTTTTTTCTTTATATTAATTTAAAATCTGACAACCGCGCCTTAAGCCCCATATGGCACGCGGACAGGAAGACCGGGAAGACCACCGAACATATGAGCTCTGTCGTCTGAAGAGATTAGACTAATTAAGTTTTTCTTCGATACAATTCCTAGATTTAATATTGTATTTATATTAAAATAAATAGTAAACCAAATATACAGTCCACATCTTTAATTAACAAAAACTACCAACAAACATAATGGTCATTTCGAGCCCGATTTGAACGAAGAAAAGCAGAACCAGACGAAAAACAGAAACAGAGAAGAGAGCCGTCCGCCATTGCCAGACTGCATCGCCAGAGAAATAGCAGCGGAGTTGTGCAACAATTGCTTCCTGTGAATTCTGTGAGTCCTATCCATATTATTATTAATATTGTATTGATCGGTTATGTATAATTTAATTAATTTGTTTCGAAGTAATCGTATCTATAATACATAATTCTTTTATTTCAATAATTTAAAATGTCGTCAGAATTATCAGATGCTGACAAAGACCTTTTAGCAAGTTTAAAACGCCAACGGGCGGGGCATAAAGGCACTCTTAAGCCCCGTTCTCAGAACTGCGTCGTGTCGACAGCGACACTGATTGACACTTCAAACGACCAATGGGAGCTGTACTAAATTTAAAATTGACAGCTGTTTGAATTTTGTACAAATCTGATTGGTTCTTTTGTCGTGTCGCTGGCGACAGTCGCAGTTCTGAGAACGGGGCTTTACTAAATACAAAAATTATACAGATAAAATTAATACACAAGAATTAATTGATGAAAAAATATATCATAATTTATGTTCGCGTTTAGAAAAATTAGAACCCTTATACGAACAGTATAGAGACATTGAATGTCAGATTTTTAATATAGAATTCGCCCAGACGACCCCAGGTGGGGACGAGCAAGAAACCAACTTTGAGGATTCATATTTCTATTTAATAGGTTTAATTAAATCATTAATACAAAGATCTGAAGATGCCAAGAAGGCGGATAGTGGTTCAGTGCACAGCGGCAACACTGCCGGTGGGGTACGCAGCGAGCGAGGCCTACTCTCAAGTGATCCAGAGAGCCATCTGTTTGGCTCCAGATTTCAAAATAAGGTAAATTTGCTACCGATACGAGTGCCTACGTTCGATGCGAGCTATACTGGATGGTTTCAATTTCGGGACGCGTTTAAAGCTTTGGTACACGATAACCCGCAAATATCCGATATTGAAAAATTTATACATTTAAAAAATGCATTAAATAAAGATGCCTATCAGCTTTTAGAGCAAATGAAAATTTCGGCCGATAATTATCACGATGCATGGCAATTATTCGTTGACCGGTTCGAAAATAAAAATGTAATGATTCATAATCACCTAAAATCACTATTTGAGTATCCAAATATAACAAAAGAAAATCATTCCGATTTGAGAGGTCTTTTTGACAGCTTTACCAAGCACCTGAGAGCACTAAAAATTTTAGGCGAATGTACCGAACACTGGGATAGATTAATTATTTACTTAATGTCAAACAAATTTGATGCGAGTACCCGGAAAGAGTGGGAGATGTTTAAAGCACATAAAGCTCAGGTGCAAGGGGGTCAAAATAACCTACCAAGTATGGACGATATGAATGCGTTTTTAAAAGCTAGATGTGAATTATTAGAAAAAAATCAAATGAGTAAAGATAGATCCGAAAAGGTAAATTTTAAGTCGACCAACAGCCGGAGTTATTCTAGCACGGCATTAGCTACCAAATTAAATTGTTATTATTGTAATGAGAATCATGCGATGTATAACTGTCAGTCTTTTGATCAACTGTCAGCGGAACGAAGAGTTGTTGAAGCAAAGAAAATTAAATTATGTCTTAATTGCTTGCGTAAAAATCACTTTACTTGGCAATGGAAACAAAGGAAATGCGCAACTTGTCATAAACCACATCACACATTATTGCATATAAATAATTACGGGGTGCAACTGAATCAAAATGAAAATAAAACTGCCGCCATGGTCGCCGCGGAGGAGACGCGCGCGTGGGACGCGGAAGAAGGTACCGTGCGCAACACTGAAACGACACAAGCGGGGACGGTTGCAGGCGCCTCTACAGATTTATCGCAAGTTTTATTAAGTACGGTACTCATAAAAATAAAAATTGGTGACAGGGTTGAACAATGTCGCGCTCTTCTGGACGGCGGTTCTATGAGCAATTTTATGTCTAATGCGTTAAAAATAAATTTGAAACCCACAAAAATTAACCACGTTGTCAAGGGCGTAGGTCAGGCTATGACAAAAATTGAGGGGCTAGTTAATATTACGATTATGTCGCGACTAAATGACTATAGTCAAGACTTAAATTTTCTAGTGATGCAAAACATAACCGATAGGCTTCCACTAAAATCATTTAATAAAAACATTACACCTCTCAATCAAAATTTATATCTCGCAGATCCAAAATTCAACATTTCAAGCGACATTGACATATTACTGGGTATACCTGTATTTTATTCTATACTTCTTCCAGAGCAAAAACAACTCGGTTTAAATATGCCTATTCTACAAAACACGCGTTTAGGTTGGATGTTAGGCGGAAACATGACGTATACACCGAACGGTAAAAATGAAAATATGTCCGTATCGTGCTTAAATGTGGGATTAGGATTATTAGAGACAAAAATTAGTAAATTCTGGGAAATCGAAGAGGTAAATCCTAAAAATATTTTTTCTCGAGAAGAACAGTACTGTGAGAATTATTTTGAAAATACTGTTACGCGTGATAGCGAAGGCAGGTTTGTAGTTAGCATACCATTCAAAAAGTCACTAGAGACGCTAGGAAAGTCACGTGACATCGCTCTCAGTCGTTTTTATTCTCTCGAACGTAGGTTAGATAAAAACGTAGCCTTGAAATGTGAATATATAAAATTTATGAACGAATTTGAAAATATGGGGCATATGATGGCGATTCAAGATGTTGAACCTAAAATACCCTCTAATAGTTACTATTTACCGCACCACGCCGTTATAAAAGACAATAGTTTGGCCACAAAATGTAGAGTTGTGTTTAATGCTTCGCAAAAAACAGATTCCGGAGTAAGTTTAAACGACGTCCAATTTACAGGGCCAGTCCTTCAGAATGATATATTTTCAATATTATTAAGGTTTCGGCAATATCGGTATGTCATTTCCGCGGACATCTCAAAGATGTATCGGCAAATTAAAGTAAGAGAATCGGATTGCGAATACCAAAAAATATTTAGGAGAAATGATGCGTCTGAAGAAGTAAAGTGTTTTAAAATTAACCGTGTAGTTTATGGGTTCACAGCGGTGTCATTTCTAGCTATACGTTGTTTAATTCAACTAGCAAACGAAAACGCGCAGAAATTTCCAGGGGCTAGCCATATAATAAAAAATGATTTTAAAAATTTTAACATAACATTTTTGTAGACGATTTATTAACGGGCGCTAATACAGAACAAGAAATTTTAAAAATTCAAACTGAAGTTTCCAAAATTCTATGCGATTCAGGATTTCCATTGCGGAAATGGTTATGTAATGATTCCCAACTTTTAAATAGTTTTGATGTAAATAATAATTTGGCAGTCGGTGTTTTAAAAATAAACGAAGGTGAATCAAATAAAACATTAGGAATTATTTGGAACTCAAATCTTGATCTAATTCAATATTTTGTTGCAAGTTCCAAGTTCAGTACCCGAAAACCAATAACCAAAAGATTAGTCTTATCAGTAATTTGTCAAATCTATGATCCCGTAGGCTTATTACAACCGATTATTATAGTTGCCAAATTATTTATGCAAGAGCTATGGAAAATGAAAATTGAATGGGATGAAGAACTGCCTCAAACTTCTAAAACAGATTGGCTCAGGTTTCAAAACGAATTAACTGAAATTAATAATCTTAAAATACCGCGTCAAGCTGTGATATCAACATGCATAACTGTTAAACTTCATGGGTTTTGCGATTCCAGTGAGAAAGCTTATGGCGGGTGTTTTTATATTCGTTGTGAAGTATCAGAACGGGAGTATATCTTGCATTTGTTGTGCGCAAAGTCCCGCGTAGCGCCAATTAAAACGATAACTCTTCCTAGACTGGAATTATGTATTGCAGTCACTTTAGCGCACTTAGCAAGGAAAATTCAAGAATCACTTAAAATTAGTTTTAATAGTAAATATTTTTGGACCGATTCAATGGATTCAATGGTTGACTATGCCGGACCATTGCTAATAAAAGATAGGCTAACTCGCGGCGCAAGACAAATAAAGGTTTATTTATGTTTATTTATTTGTCTCTGTACCAAAGCCATCCACCTCGAAATGGTCACTGATTTAACCACAGGGGCGTTTTTGGCATCTTTAAATAGGTTTATCGGGAGACGCGGCAAACCTGCTAGTATATGGTCTGATAACGCTACAAACTTTGTAGGCGCTAAGTGTGAAATCAGAGACCTATACGAATTTCTGGCTAACAATAAAGATATCATTGCGGACGCTCTTTCATCTGAGATGATAAAATGGCAATTCATTCCTGCTCGATCCCCTAACTTTGGCGGCATCTGGGAGGCGGGTATCAAGAGTGCAAAATTTCATTTTAAACGTATAGTCGGGCACGCTTCTTTAAATTTTGAAGAATTCAATACAATAATTATCCAGATTATATTAAAATAAATAGTAAACCAAATATACAGTCCACATCTTTAATTAACAAAAACTACCAACAAACAGGCACCCTCTATTGTCTGTGGTCATGTCTCAAAAGTAGAGGGTGTGTGAGGGGGGGGGGGGAGGTCTTGGCTTAACCGCCTGGACCAAGAGGAGACATCCTCACCAATAACTTCAATTCTACGATGGCGGGACCAGGTCTAAGGGATGCATTGCTAGACCCTAGCTACTCGTGGAAACACTGAGATCAAGCATAAAAAACACCACCGGTAGAGCTGTGGGGAAACCCTCTAGCAACACGGGGAACATTATCAATGCAAGTTCCAAGGGACCAATCCCAAAGGGACTCGAGAGGTGGCTGACACTTGCGCGAGACCAGCCTCCTCCACAAGTGGCACACAAGCTACCACCTCCTGGACTTGGAATGGGAATCCTCTAAGACTCGAAAAAACTTCTCAGAAATTTCTCATCTCTTAATTTAAGTAAGAACAGTTTTCGGATGGTCAGGGGGTTTCTAAAAAGACTCTGTTTCCTTAACGAACACCTCAGTAGATTGAAGCTAAGAAACAACGGCGAATGCAGATTCTGTGGGGAAAATGAGGAAACACCAGAACACCTCATCACTCAAACTTTGGTACGGCTGATGTCGGACATAGAGAGCTGGCACGTGTGAAGCCGTCTCAGATACTGGCTTTTGTCAAACCTCTGAGACTTTATAATGGGTTATAACTCGTTATAACTCAACGAAGGGGAACACGCAATAGATCTGTGAGGTGGCGGTGATTACCCTCCTCCTAAACATTCTGCATTCTTCTGTAAAGGTTATGAAACATGCCACACTCTCCGGTTTTTGAAAGTTTCATGTAACGCCTTCTGGTTTGTTAGTTTCGAATAAACCAAATGTTGCGACATTACTGTCCGGAATTTTAGCCACTGTTAACATTATTTTAAATTAACAATCAAGCACATGAAAGTAATAAAGTTGCACAAGTGCCTCGCTACTCCTCGCCGCTCTACTATATTTCAGCATCTCGAGTCTCGAGGCCTTGCTCGACGAGGTATCGTGCTGCTTGCTACTACTATCATCGTCGCTCCATATTTTTTTAGCATTAGAGCTCTTGAATATAAACTCTATTTTTCTATGATCCATCCCATTTTAATCAATTGTAACTATAATTTTAAAAGTTTATATTTAATAAGAGTTCCATAAGATCATTTATCTCCTTCATAACCGAAATTAAAGAGCATATTTTTGTTGACTCTCCGAAAATAATCCCTGTATGAAATTAAAAAAACATTTAATCATCCTTACGGTTTTCATCAAATATGGTAAAAACGACATGAATAACGTGATCACTCAAGTCGACATGGGCTACTGTTTTGGCTACATGTTTCAGAGTAGTCTGATCAATGGATGCCCCTGCAATGTGATAAAATGTCAAGGCAGTATCCACATCATTAATGTTATTCAAGAAATGGAAAAAGTTTAAATAGTCTTCTTTAGATATTCCTTCAGAATCCCTGAAACTAAAAAGAAACAATATTATAAAATTATAAACTAACTACATATTAACTTATAGGGAACGTTGCAGTAAACATAAGTCGTCGCTTAAATAGTTTTAAAACTTTTCTGTGCCGATATATCATATGTTTCTTCTACTATACAATGTTGTAAATTAACTCTGTTATGCTGGATTAAAACATAAAAACAGAATTACCGTATGATCGAAAAAAAAAACGGCGTGAGCGATAGCTATAAAATGAACATCGCTGTCATTTTATACGTAAAATTATATGGGAAATGTCATTGATCGTTACTTCCAAGCCAACTAGACGCCGTTTTTTTATCATAAGGTATAAGAGCAGCTCACCAAGATTCCAATCGTGTTTCCAAACTAACTTTATTTCTTTAACGTATAGGGTGTTTCAATAAGAATAGCTCTCAGAGCCTGTAAGACAGCACGCCCTAGCGTCTAATGTCAAATGCATATTATTATTGTTTATATAGAGCAATATAGAGTAAAGAACGCTCTTTTAAACTAGCTCCACTTTGTTGAATTTCGATTACCCAGTCCGGAGGCGTTAATATTTAAATAAAACCACATCTAACCTTTCCCCACCACTTTATTTTAACAGATAGGGCAAAATATCTATAAAAAAATCCGAAATTTGCTGATGATTATGACGCCTTATTTATAGTATCCCTTATCTAGGCCAATTTTATAAAAAATCAATTTTCTTATTTGTCATACTATTAAATAATTTCCAGCAATTTCTCATAACGTCTTTAGTCATCATTATTTTTATCCGCAGTCTCTCTCTGCGGTTAAAACCTTCCAAAATACAGCCTATACAGCTATTCTTAGTGGAACATCCGGTATACATTTGAGCGCAGTCGCTGTAGAAATGGTACGCATGTAAATATTTTGTTACAACATTTTAAGTTACGTGTTACGTAGATTTGACAAGCGTCTATGTACACCCCAACAATAGAGTAAAGCAAGGCACAATACGTATACGTATCTCTCGACACGTAACGCAGAAACCTACGTTACGTCTGCCGTTGCGTTGTCGTGTAAACAAGAGCTAAAGCAAGTATTTTGACGTACGTAACGCAAATGGTACATTTGTAATTCTAAATTACTTTGTGAAACAATTTATTTAATGTTAAAACTGAAAATGGATATCTATTATTCCATTGATTCCACATTAAATTTATAAAAGTAATATCGAAAAATGAAGAAAATTATAAATAGAAATTATTTTATTACAGGAAGTAGTCCTTACAACTTAAAATGCTCTTTTCACATTGTTTTATGATTATTTATTAGATTCCATCTTTTAGAATCCTCATATGGATTTTGGCTAAGAACTAGCATTTAATTAAATAGATTCCAAAATGAGTTTATTCTGATGCTTAATATTTTCATACTAATTTATTGTAATAAAATAGGCTCAGTTCTGTTACACTGGCCCCAAAATTTATGAAATAACTTAATTACTAGCCGGTTGTGGAAACGAGTTTTTTGTGAATTTGTACGTTCGGCATAATTCGAGTGAAAATCAAAACTTTTTCGGCTCGATACGTTTGCGTTTTGTACGTACGTAAAGACACGTAAAGATACGTATCACGTATCCGTAAACGCAAGTGAATTTCTTACTGCGGAAGCGTACATGTCAAACGATACGTTTACGTCTACGTCTTTGGCCGTGCTTTAACTGTTTATATGTGCCGGAAAGCTTCACGCTGCCATGCCATACGGCAGAGCGAAGTAATACTTCAATATAGTTCCGTTACGAAAGCAGCGTGTAGCTCCGTGTGGCTCCGTGGTTGAGGCTGCCGCTTTGTGAGCAACGGGACGGTGGATCGAACCTCGGAAGACATATAACTTTTTATTTTTTTAGAGCTGTTTTTATTTTTTTTATTTATTTAGAGTTGTTGGTAATAGCCTACGGCGTATTTTGATTGCGTTGGTTAGTCTTTGGTGTGAGTTTTTTTGTATTTATAGATTGCGCGCAGCTTTGAGGCATTTATTGTTGGGGTGTACGTAGACGCTTGTTAGATTTGCGCCCTTATAATATATGAAATGGCGTTCGTAGGTTTAGTGGCGTTCGTAGGTGTGTACACTATGTGCGCGCATATTTGAAGTGAAAATTCTTACTAGCAGCTTTTAAATTGAAGGATTTGAAGGGCATGTTTGAAAAAGAATAGTTTGAAATGTTGAAAAAGTAATAAATTAAAAATTAATAAATAATTTGATTCACTTTCTCAAAATTTGTATAAAAATGACCGTCTGTCTGTATGAGGACTCTATTCGGGTACTTCTATCCACGTGCCGAGTTTGGTTCCAATCGACCCATAATTAAGAAAAATCCTGATGATTTTGTCCATTTAGAGGCATCGGTTCGAAACGTCGAGGGCGTCATCCTTTGTAACCCGTCCCCAATTTTAGTCCCACCCTAATGAAGATGTAAACGAAACGTCGCGTCGTATCCACCTTTGCAGGGTGGGACCGTGCATGCACCATTGCTCATATAGCCTACCCGTCAAATTTGGTCGCGATCTTTTCCAGGGGCGGCTCGTAGCACTGGAAGATGGTGAGGCACATTAGAAGAGAACTTTTATTAGTATGTATATAGGGTGGCCATTAGTACGAGGAAGTTCTATATAAAAAAGTACATATCCTCAAAAAATATTTTCTTTAAAATTGCAATCGCATTACGATTTTTCTGTACAGAATTGGGTTCAGCATAAAATTCAGCATACATCACACTATTGATTTATTTGAAGCACTATATGTATATGCGGGATCTCCATGATAATTCATATTTGAAAAATTTCATCTTTTAAAAAGTGGTAAAAACCTGGAGTGAATTTAACTTATTGATATATTATTGCTTAAGTACGTATAATATAGCGAGGTATGTAGGATAAAAGAAGAAATCCGAGAAAAATTCACATTCACAGGGATTTTTTTATGGCGCGGCCAACATTGCAATATTATAATGCTATATCTCAGTTTTTTTTTTAAATGCAATACACACTGTATATTATTTTTAGTATTTTAGATACCCTACAGACCTAAAAATCGCACATTTTTGTATTTAAAATATTTCTAAATTTTTAGCATTTGCGGAAATAGATTTATGTAATATAATTCGCAGTATTATACCAATTACAATTATTGCAGCAGTATTATACCTATTACAATTATTGCAACAGTAAATTTTTATCAAAGCGACCTCAGGATATTTTCTCTTATATTTTACTCTGTATGGTAAAATTTTGTTTTTCTGTCCATCCTCTAAAAATAAAACAAAACGAAATCTGTAACAGGTCGCTTTACTTTTTGACTATACACAATTTATCTAGAAATGATTCGAAAAACTTTACCTGGAGAAGTCCTCCGATGATGCATGGTCCCTCTAAATCATCATATCAATCAACAATAAGCCACTGCCCACTTTTTAGGTATTTACTTAATATGTACAATAATCAGTAAAAAGAGTAATTATACATGCAATTCACATTAAAAAACGTAGATATTAATCAATTAGAGACAAAACAATGTAATAACCCGGCAGAATTAATTCAAACTCTGATTCAAACTAAGCCAAATATTATATATATATATATATATATATATATATATATATATATATATATATATATATATATATATATATATATATATATATATATATATATATATATATATATATATATATATATATAATATTATACTAAGCCAAACTAAGCCTAAAATCTCTCGGGCTGATCGGGAACTGATACATATTTTTAACGAACGGCTTTTAAGGTTCAAATTTACATTTGAGGCTCGCCTCAATACGGTCTTTTTACGCGCTACTACTCCATACATTTTATCTCTCTTCAACTAAAGGTTTTGCCTATGTTTTTTCCTTTCATTCTATAGAATGGCGAGAGGCAAACCTCTGCACATATACTTCTTAAAGAACAAATGAGATGGATATACATCGTCGAGTTTGTCGCATATGGGAAAGGAAGCGCGTTTAAAGGAATACCATCGACGTAATTTATTGTAAAATGACGGTTAAAAAATACAATTATTATTGATGTATCGATGATTAAAGATGTATCGATGATTAAAGATGTATCGATTAATACGTGTAATTTTTCAAATGTATTGGTGAGGCACTGCCTCATCTGCCTCATAGGACAAGCCGCCCCTGAATCTTTTCTTAATGTTTTGACGACGTTTCGTGCACTATGAAACCACATCAATGGCAAAAAAATTGTCCGATTTAAATATCACGCGTCGTACACCGCCAACTTGACTGTATACGAACGTGCCACTGTGACAGTTAGTTTTGACGTAAGAAACGTCAAAAATCGCAACTAAATTTGGTGGGTAGGCTATGTGAGCAACGGTGCACAGTCCCACTTTGCAAAGTTGGATACGACGTTTCGTTTACATCTTCATCAGGGTGGGACTAAGAATTTGATGAAGAAAAATGTGGGCCAATTTCGGCATAATTGGGGACGGATAAAACAACATCCCCAATATGTAAGCACTAAACAAAGTACCTCAGTATAACAGCATCGATGTATTAGATATCCCAATAACGGAACAGGAAATAAAGGCCTCCATAAAACAACTTAAAAACAACAAATCGACTGGCTGTGACGCGATTCCAGCGGAAATCTATAAGTGTGCAAGCAAAGAACTTATTGGTCACCTTAAGGCTCTCTTCGATGTCATATGGGAAAGCGGAGAGGTATCTCAGGACTTTCCCAACGCGAATATAGTGAATATACAGGGTGGTCCGAACTGTATTCCGGAAACTTCGGCAGCATATTCTATAGATTAAAATAGGTACAAAAGTTAGTATAAATGTATGTCCTAAAATGCTTAGTTTCGGAGATACAGGGTGTAGAAGTTTCATTTTTATTTTGATTTTTCCAAATAATTTAAGAAGTAACGTCAATATTTGGATGAAAATTGGTGTCTGGGAGTTTTTTGACACCAGAAATCTGATTTTCGTGTCAATATGACTCCTACTTGTAGAGGGCGCGACCTACATATGCTATAAGTGGTTTGAAGAGTAATAACTTTTTGTCCGTACCGTGTAAAACTACTGAGTAAAAAAATATGCATTTACAACTTTTTTTACATAAAAAAGGTCTCTTGGTAAAAATCGCTACGAGTTATGGTACTCAAGATATTTGAAATTGAAATTATCAATACCTGTCATCATTGACAAATTAAACATGTTGACTAAATAGTTATTAGACTGAAATCTTAAATTTGAAATCTTTGTGTTCCAAAAGTTCAACAGACACTGTTTAATCATCATTTTTTGCAGAAAAATTTATGATTAATTTAAAAAAATAAAAATTTATGATTTCAGTCAAATAACTCTATGATTGTGTGCTTATTTTTTGTCAATAATGACATGTATTGACTATTTCCATTTTAAATATATTGAGAATTGTTGCTCGTAGCTATTTTTACCAAGAGACATTTTTTACGTAAAAAGTTATGGAAATGTATATTTTTTTAGTCAGTAGTTTTATACAGGTACCGCCGAAAAGTTATTACTCTTCAAAACAGTCAAAACGCATGTAGGTGGCGCCCCCTACAAATAGAACCTACCCAGACACCAAATTTCATCTAAATTTTGACGTTACTTCAGAAATTATTTAGAAAACATCGAAATAAAAATGAAACTTCTACACCCTGTATCTCCGAAACTAAGTATTTTAGGACATACATTTATACGAACTTTTTTACTTAATTTTATATGCAGAATATGCTGCCGAAGTTTCCGGAATACAGTTCGGACCACCCTGTATTTAAGAACGAAGGAAGTGCATCAAGTTGCGGAAACTACCGAGGAATTTCACTACTGGCTATCGGAGGAAAAGTTCTTTGAAAAATTATGTCAAACCGCCTTCACCCACATATAGAAAAAATCCTCCCAGAATCGCAAACGGGCTTTCGCACCAACCGCGGTACCGTTGATTCCATATTCTCCGTCCACCAACTAAAGGAAAAAGTAAAGGAACAGCAGAGGAAATTTTATGTTGCATTCATCGACCTAACGAAAGCCTTCGATTCTGTAAACAGAGATGCACTTTGGGCAATTATGCAAAAGTTTAGAGTACCCAAAAAATGTCTTACTGTGTAAAAGCCTCAATAACAAGTCGAGAGTGTTACATCATGGATCACTGAGCGATCCCTTCCTGACAGGAGTTAGGCAGGGATGTGTCCTAGCTCCTCTGCTATTCAACATATTCATGGCCGCGCACTCTATTATAGTAGACAGCACACTGCAGGAAAGAGAAATAGGTGTTGATACAGGTATGACGGCGGTCTATACAACCTAAAAAGACAAAAACACGTATAAAATTCATCACAGAGCTCCAATACCCTGATGACTGCGCTCTAGTTGCAAATAAGTTACAGCAATTACAGGAAATGTTGAACACATATACCTGGGCATACGAGACTTTGCGCCTTAAGCTGAACATCGATAAAACTAAAATCATGTGCACTCCCCCGGAAAATCATAACATCGCTATAAAAATTGGAGAACTATTGGAATATGTATCGGAGTTTAATTACCTCGGCAGTTTGATTCCGGAAAAGGACAAATATCGACTCTAAAATTCAGCACAGAATTAGCAGTGCCTCAAGAGCATTCTGGAAATTAAAAGACAGGGTTTTCTACAATCATGACTTGAGCACAAAAACGAAACTTGCAGTGTATCGAGCAGTAATAATCCCCACCATGTTATATGGAAGCGAAACTTGGGTGCCGTACGGCCGGCACACGAGCGCATTAAACAAGTTGCAACAGGGACACCTTAGACAACTGTTAAGAATTAAATGGTACCACCATGTCTCAAACGTATCAGTCCTTGAAAAAGCAGGCTGCGAGAGCGCTGAAGTTATGATTACTAAATCTCGCTCAAGATGGGCTGGCCACGTATGCAAGATGCAAGAAAACCGCCTACCGAAATCTCTTCTTTACGGTGGACTTGTAGAGGGTAAGAGGAAACCGGGTGGACAACTCAAAAGATACAAGGATGTTTTCCATGAAAACTTAAAAGGGATATGTATGCAACATCAGTGGGAGGAAGCAGCGCACAACAGAACGCAATGGAGGAGAATTGTAAACTCAGTTAACAGCGACAACCAAAAAGTAAAGAGGCAACAAAGTAATGAGATGTCCGGAGTGCGGAAGAGAGATAACATCACGTATCGGGCTTTTCAGCCACAGAAAAGGTCATGAAAGAAAACGCCTTGCGTAACCATCTTCTGATACGTGTCAAATACTCGTCAGCGAGTAATGGCAGTAGCAGTAGTAACATATAAAATAAATAAAAAGAAAATAACAACATACCATTTGAAAAACTAATTAAGTTATTACTTTGGCCAAAATCACAAGCAAAGTGGAACAAGGATGCGGAAGTTAAGTAATATAAATGTTCCCCCAATCTCGCTCAAACCGCCACTTCGAACCAAGTTTCTAAGGACTTTGAAATTTTTACGAACGCATTATCGATATTGGGTTCGCACTTGGGAGACGCGGCAAACTCTGAGATAATTTTCAAAATAAGGTCCGCCATCGTAGTGAGTTAGTTAATAATAAACAATCCAAATCAATTAATAAAAGAATCCATATGAACGTTAATACAAAAAGTGAAATCCATCTAAAAATTTAAAACTAAAAAAGACAGAGAATCTTACGTTTTTTTGACCCTCTTCAGCATTCGCATCTTTTTCTTTTGTGGATAACCAGCATAAGCTAAAAGCAATTCTGTAAAATCCGTCTCTGTTATTTTAACATTATGATCAGGTGTTTTGCGTTGAAATTCGAGACTGAGAATCTCCTTCTGTAACTTTTCTTGAAAATCCAGGAACTTCTCAATAGTTAATTTCTCTTTAAGTGTAGGACCAAAGAAATAAGTTGTTAAGGCGGAATTTACACCCTTAAAAATAGTATTTTTTTATTAAATAATATTTATCATTAAAAACAAGAATTCGATAATTTCTTAGCCTTATTTAAATAACAGGGTGTTTCAAAACAAATGCGAAAAACTTCAGGGGGTGATTCCTTGTTAAAAATAAAGGGTAGTTTGCTTTATAAACGTTGGGTCAAAAGTCAACCATTAGGGAGATATCGCGGTACGAAGATGGCGGAAAAATAATGTTTTTAATTTTTATCTTGAAAACGAAAAGCGATAGACTAATGAAATTTTATGGAAGCATTACTGTTATGAAAACACACTTTCTGGTAATTTTTTTACTTTTTTAAAATGAGTGAAAGGGGTTGAAATAAACTACCCCTATCATTCTTGTTAACGAAATTTAAAGAAAAATATTATCAAACACATGCAAGAAAATTAATTTGGATAGTTTAGTTTATTTAGAAACTTTTTTATCTCTTGTGTTTTTTTGATAAAAGTCACCGATTTGAAATTAAAAATAAAATGTAAAGCATTACCATGTCAGGACAAAAAACATTTTTAGATAAAGAATCTAGTAGGTTAGGTTGTCCCTTTTTAGGATGTTTCTAATATTATTTTATTTGACGTTACTCTACTGCAATACGTTATTATCTTACGATCAATTAATTATTCCGAAGCCTTTTTTCTTTATGTAAAAATGTTTTCTGCCCTGACATGTAATGCTTTACATTTTATTTTTTAAATTCAAATCGGTGACTTTTATCAAAAAAATACAAGAGATAAAAAAGTTTCTAAATAAATTGAACTATCCAAATTAACTTTTTTGCATGTGTTTGATACGATTTTTCTTTAAATTTCGTTAACAAGAATGATAGGGGTAGTTTATTTCAACCCCTTACACTCATTTTAAAAAAGTGAAAAAATTACCAGAAAGTATGTTTTCATAACAGTAATGCTTCCATAAAATTTCATTAGTCTAGCTCTTTTCGTTTTCAAGATAAAAAATAGAAACATTGTTTTTCCGCCATCTATGTACTGCGATATCTCCCTAATGATTGACTTTTGACCCAACGTTTATAAAGCAAACTACCCTTTATTTTTAACAAGGAATCTCCCCTGAAGTTTTTTGCATTTGTTTTGAAACACCCTGTATAAAGTTTACGTAAACGTATAATTTCAATGGTTTCATTATATCAAAAAAAAGCTCCAAAAGAAATAACAAATATAACCTGATCTGATCAAGGGAGGGGGTGTAAATCAATAGCCCCCCATACATCAGAAGATCCGGCCTGCGGACTTGGCCTGTCACGTACCAAATTTCTCGCATTTTGGACTGGGGACTTGGCCTGCCGATTAGATCTTTAACCGATTAAATATTCTCATTTGGGACAAAATTCGCCTTTTTATAGCAGTTTTTATATAGGTAAACTCTAATCGGAATTAAAACTGCCGCTTAGAAAAAAAGTAATCTAATCTCACAGATCAAGTCTGCAGATTTAGCTTGGTCCGCCAAAGGCTTAGCCTAGCACATACTTGGTCTGCCCGTCTGCCCCACAAACGCAAAGTTTTTATCCGCAGGCCAAGTCCGCAGGCCAAATATTCTGGTATATGAGGGGCTAATAGGATCTCAATACTTAGGCCCATAACACATATACAGGGTATCCCAGGCTTAGCGTCCATTAGAAGTTTCTAGAGAACTACAACATCTAGCTCGGAGATTTTCTGCACATCATTGTTTTACAACGAGATCTATCGATTAAAAATATTTTCAATATGGCAGCACTTTCGGAAATACCAGAAGTTGACAGCAACTTTCTTATTTTAAATGGGTACCCCCATTTTTTATTACATACTGAAATTCTTTGTAAAATTATATGAATTTTGATATTAAACACTCTATATCTAACATTGACCGTTTTTGAGAAAAAAAATATTTAAAATTTTTCATCCAAAAAAATTGCCTGTCAAAAATATGTGTGTAGCCTAAACGTCAAATTTAGAGATTACCACAGGCACTGTGCCATAAAGAGAAATCATGTAGCTATCTATTTCAAAAATTAAATTGTTTGAATGTCATATAATAATGGCCGCAGCTGTCATAGAATTGAGCGATAAAAAATTATCATAAATCATTTTTTTTAAATGGAAACCCACTTTTTTTTATTTCACTAGTAAAAAGGCTTTTCAATTCGTTACATTTTGACTATACATGTTCCTATACCTAAAATAAATCGTTTTTAAGTTATTTAAGATTTAGTTTTTATATTTTTCTTGATTTTAACCAGTAGCCTATGACTTTAAACGTCAAGTGATGTAAAACAAAACAATAGATCTGGCCATGTCATATTGTGACGCTTTGTTCAAAAAGCAGCATCATTTCCGAGTCAATTTTGCGCTGTTTTTTTTTCGATTACACGGAATATTATTAATATTATCAATTATTAGATATCATTAAAAAGCGAAAATAAGATATATATTTTTATGAATACACTTTTTAATAACTTAAAAACGATTTATTTTAGAAATAGGAACATGTATAGCTAAAAAGTAACGAATTGAAAAACATTTTCATTAGTGAAATAAAAAAAAGTGGGTTTACATTTGAAAAAAATGATTTATGATATTTTTTAATCGCTCAATTCCATGACAGCTACAGCCATTATTATTATATGACATTTGAACAATGTAATTTTTGAAGCCACATGTGTCTTCTCTCTATGTCACAGTGGCTGTGATAATCATTAAATTTGATTTTTAGGCTATACACATTTTTTTGGCAGGTGGTTTTTTTCGTCCAAAAATTTTAAATATTTTTTTTCTCAAAAACGGTTAATGTTAGGTATAGAGTGTTTAAGATCAATATTCATAGAATTTTACAAAGAATTTAAGTGTGTAATAAAAAATGGAGGCACCCATTTAATATAAGAAAGTTGCTGTCAACTTCCGGTATTTCCGGAAGGGCCGCTATATTGAAAATATTTTTAATCGATAGATCTCGTTGTAAAACAATGATGTGCAAAAAATCTCCGATCTAGATATTGTGGTTCTTTAGAAACTTCTAATGCACGCTCATCCTGGGACACCCTGTATACCGGGTGCGTCTCAAAAGTGGTTCACCCCCTATAACTTTTTTATTTTTTCAGATAAAAGAACGATATTTGGTATGTTAGTATATGACATAAATTGGGATTGATTGACGTATTTAATTGTTTTCGGTCACTTCCGGTTTCACCGGAAATGACTACAACTTTTGATTTTTAAATGGCACCCTCGGTATTTTTTTACTTTATTCGATAGAAAATGATACTCTGAATCGAATGACATATCATATGTCAACTTTTGACATTTTGGCATATAGTTTATTTGAAATTGTAACATGCGGTTCGTAACGACAATTTGACTCAAAATACCAAGTTTATCAAATTATTCGTAAAAAAATGCTTTTTCCAAATATGCTAATGAGCCATCCTCGTTCCATTTGAAAAAATTGAGATATGATTAAAAATACGATTTGGGCATCTTTTAACCGGCCAGGACAAGACACTAAAAACATTAGACGATCAAATCTATTTTTCGAAGGCTCCTTCATTAAAAATTAGTGTTTTTACCACAGCCATGGCACTCTAGATTGAAATTTAAAATAGAATTTGTTTTTGAGTGACTATGTCAAAAATTGACATATGATGTCATTCGATTCAGAGTGTCATTTTCTATCGAATAAAGTAAAAAAATACCGAGGGTGCCATTTAAAAATCATAAGTTGCAGTCATTTCCGGTGAAACCGGAAGTGACCGAAAACAATTGAATATGTCAATCAATCCCAATTTATCTAATATACTAACATACCAAATCTCGTTGTTTTATCTGAAAAAATAAAAAAGTTATAGGGGTGAGTTACTTTTGAGACGCACCCGGTATAGTAAAAGATTTGGAATATAAAAGCCTTAAGGCAAAGTCGAAGTCTTAAAACTTCAAAGCCGTGGATGGAGGATACAAAAGAAAACAAAAAAAAGTTGGTACCAATGCAATTAAAACTTATTTTTGCAATTAAAAATCACAAAAAAAGATTGCAACCAATGAAATCAAAAGTTAGTTACGGGGGACGCTTCTAGCATTGTGATCCTCGTCTCGACCTTTAACACAATCATCAAAATATAATATCTATTCTTATCAGCTTATCCCTGCTGTTATTTATCAAAATTAAAAGGAAATTATAAATAAAACAAAATAATTTATTAATTTGGTTTATCAAGAACCCGATTTTCAAAATTTTATCATCGTTACCGCCATCGATATGCGCAGACGCGAGCAAAAGACAAATAAAGTGGAATTTGTCTTCTTTGTCATTTTTACTAAATTTAATAATAAAAGAAGATGCAGGCCACTGAGGCCATATTCTAACCTCATATTTGGTCAAAAAATAAATGATTTTAATTACCGACTGTGAAATAATTTCAAACATTTGGCCGATTATCAGCATTGTAGAATATGTTAATATAAAATTTATATCGATAACTTTAAAATTGGCGACGTACCTAAATCCTACCATCATCGTGTACAGGGTGGCTCAAATTCGACGCTTTTAAAGAGAAACACCCTTTTCTATAGGAGATAGACGAAAACTTGTTGGTGAAAACCGCACATCGATATCTGTTACCGTTTCGGAATTACGGGATGTTTTTCAAAAATGTGCATTTTTAACAAATCGCTGTAACTTTTTTGCTATGGAAAATTTTGTATTTTTATGAAAACATTCCCAAAGCACCTTTTTACGTAGAATTTAATGGTATAAGTATAATTTTTTCAAAAATTAATAATTTAAGAGTTATCAACAGAAAAATTGATTTTTTATTTGGGACACCCTGTATATTTTTAATTAACAGCAAAGAACATAAAATTACCTTTCCAAAAATGTAGCACACTTGATATTTTGTTATAGCCCCCTTCGAAATACAGAATTTTCAAAAGTTCGCCACTTTTAACTAGTAGGCTCTGGACCCTTTATTGATGGGAACTCGAAAATATATTTTTCCAGCAAGACGAGGCATCGCCTCAGAACGCTGAAGTTATCAGCAAATTTTTTTAGCCAATTTCGGGAATATTTGAATAGCTAACCAAAATCACAGCCGTTGGCCGACTTAATGCCTATGGATTTTTATCTTTGCGGAAGAATAAAGGTTCTTATTTTTAAATTGCCTGTATAATCTAGACAAGAAAAAGAAGTACTTGGCGGTTATGCGAAGGTATCTTTCACCCCTACTAAGTTAATGAATTCCGCAAGAAATGTCCAACAACGGTCCCGTCTGTCCAAAACAGAAGACGGTCGATATGTCGAAGACCTGTAGCAAAATCTCATGTCTTGGTTTGCTATTTATTTTTATTGATTAGATATAGTTTAAATGTGTTGATGTTTTTAAATACAGTTAAAATTGTTATAAAATCCTGCATCTCTTATTGCAAATATTATTTTCGTTTTAATAGATTTTTTTTGCATTACAGACGGCGCCGTTCTAAGCCTACTTATTCAAAGTGGGCGATTTTTTAAAAACTCTATATCTCGAAGAGGAATCCAGCAAAATATCAAGTGTGCTATATTTTTGGAAAGGTAATTTTAAATTATTTTTAATGAATTAGAAATATACAGGGTGTCCTATATAAAAAATATAATTTTCTGTTGATAATTCTTAAATTATTAATTTTAAAAAATTATATTTAAACCATTAAATTCTAGGTAAAAAGGTGCTTTGGAAATGTTTTCTTAAAAATACAAAATTTTCCATAGCAAAAAAAGTTACAGCGAATATATTTTGTTAGAAATGCACATTTATGAAAAACATCCCGTAATTCCGAAACGGTAACAGATATCGATGTGCGGTTTTCACTATCAAGTTTTTTATAAAAATTGGGCTCCAGACACCGATATTAGTTTTCGTCTATAGAAAAGGGTGTTTCCCTTTAAAAGCGACCCACCTTCAATTTGACCCACCCTGTACAGCCAGTACAGCAAACTTACTCCGACACAATATCAAACGCGATTATGTGCATAGTGCAAAAAACACTTTCAGCCATTCCGAACTCGGCTATAGTAATTTTGGAATCTTTTTCACAAAACATCAAAGCTTAATATTGTAAAAATAAGGAATATAGGCAAAATTAGGCGTATATGTAAAAAATAGGCAAATATACGTATTAAGCATTTGGCCGTAGAATTTCGTATATACCTAGTATGGTATACTGTAACATATATGTATAATACTATGCGTGTCACAATGTATAACTTACTTTAAAAGTGTTTCCTGTATTAGCATGGTCCCGATGTCTGGAACCTATACTAGTCTGATGTCTAATAAGTGTCGCTACCTTTTCAAATTCTTCACAATCAACATCCCCATCTCCATTTAGGTCAAACATTCTAAAAGCAATTTCAAAATGCCGACGGGAAGCTAATAAACAAAGATTTCTATATAAGCATTATTAAATTATTTACTATTATTTACTTACTCGATAGAACTGTCAAGAGAAAAATATAATCAGAAAAGGTAATCAAACCAGAGCTACCCAACTTGTAAAATATACTGTCTTCATCCAAAATTAAATCAAGTTTTTGTTGAACTGTCTAGAATTTAAAAAAGTATAAAATATAAATTGTAATTTTAATTATCAATCGAATTATTTAAGCTAAAATACACGTTACATACAAAAAATACAACAAAAATCATTATTTTTTTTAGTTTGAGTACCTAGTACTAGTATTTTTAGTTTGGTAACCTAGTACTCAATATTGGCTTCAACTTCCTGCCTACTATCTATTATCTGGCTGTGCTATTATCTTGGTATTAACGGTCCCAAGTTAATAGGCGATTGAAGCATAACGCATGCCACAATAATTTTCTAACATGCCGACATGCGACAGCTCTAACATATGAAACTATTATTATTATCAGAAAATGTTGGTGGTGAAAATTCATAAAATGAAACGATGAATAACTACTTCCTAGTAACTATCGTTATAAAATTTTGGGCTGCATATAGTCCTGGAGCGCTACTCCGTACACGAAAATCTACTCTGGGGCTATTCTGTACATGGCATCGACAATTTGTCGGTACCGGTAAGTTACAACAATTTTTTTATATGGTAAAAATGTTAATTGTTGTTGTCATAATTATCGATCGGTGATCATAGGGCAGATATCGTAAATTTTCGGACGCAGATAGAGTTTTTCGACGAGGATCGGTAGCTCTACCGTGCCCTTATTAACCCCATGATAGATATACCGATAGTCGTTGGTACAAATTTGCATTATGCCCTATTGATGACAGCTAAAACTATGACAAGAACAATTAACACCCATTTTACTATATAAAAATAATATCTTAACACGACGCACAGTGGTTGAAAATGCAATTCTACGGTTCCGGCTTTATAAATCAAGGTATAAGCTAATAAACTCTTACAAATGATGTTGCAAAAGTTTTTTTTAATAATAACTATAGATACGAGTGCCTTTATTGTTTATTTATTTTCACAGTGAGAATCTAAGAAAAATCAATGTTCTTTTTTTCGAAAAAAACGCTCGGATACGTCGATTATTGATTTTGTTGATGCCATTTTTGAATGATGCCATGAAGCCATTTTTTGATGATATTTTAATGTATACAGGGTTTCCCAAAAATTGAGTTATGCCAGATAACTTCTTGGTTTTAACGGAAACATCTATATTTGTTATTTTATTTGTGGATTGTATGTCAAATTCTAGACATATTTTATGTTTTATACCTATCTTCAACTGTTTTTAAGCTGCAAATAACCGAAAATCGACATTTCACCCTGTTTGTCTACCTATACAGTGTCTACCATAATGTTGGCTATATAGTTTTTTTTTAATTTATAGGATATGCGAAAATTTTGTGTGGGGGATCGCTCCTGCATGTTTAGTAACTTTAAAAATCATTATGACATCAGTCACGTAATCACAAAAACCGCTATGAAAACTCGAAAAGTGGGGTTAGATGGCAAATTATCGAAAAAAGTTATCGTTTAAATTAACATTAAATTAATATTAACAAAAAATTACCGTTTCGAAATCGACTTTTCTGATTTTATCCTCTGGAAATGACTTCAATGTGAAATTTTGAATTGTTTTACTTTTACAAATTGAGTATCAAGTTACTTGAGCTAATCCAGCAATAAAATCCGTATAAAAATATTTTATAGAAGAGCCAGGACTCAAAATATGCCTTTTTCTACTTTTTCTTATTTCCGCTCCAAATTTTGCAGGTAGCCTTAAAATATCATTCTAAACATTTTTTTCAAATAACTTTTTCCGATATTTTGCCATCTAACCCCACTTTTCGCGTTTTCATAGCGGTTTTTTTGAATTTGCCGCCATGATAGTGATCACGTGACTGATGTCATAATTACTTTTTAGGTTATTAAACATGTAGGAGCGATCCACCAAACAAAATTTTCGGTAATCCCATAAATAAAAATATTTCCCATATGTAGCCAACATTATGGTGGGCACTGTATATTAAATGAGAAGGGGAGCCTGGTGGCAAAAGTTTTTTGTTTTTTAGAAGGAAAAAATGTAGAGAACAAAATGATGTTAGTATTTGGAAGTCGTAACAAGGCACAAAGAAGTTCTACCTTGTTATGCAACAACGTTTTCGTATTATTCGTTAATTTACAATGTACACTTTAATTGAGCGTCCTATAGTATCTTTCATACTAAACATCATAATTTTATGTAAAACACAAATTACATATCTCCTGAAATATGCAGCATGTGTTTGAGAAATCAAAACACACAAACATTAATTTAACGAAACGATTAAGACTGCAATCGAAACAGAGATCAGAATTTCTCTAAACGGCGTATTAACTGTTTCGACTTGTTGTCAACGTGGAGCAATTGTTTCTTAGCCAGGGCGACTGGGATTTGTGTAGCACTGTTTATTAGCTTTCTTTGAAGGATAATATATCATTTTGTAAAAGATTTAAGTCAACAAGAAATTTGAATTTTGGAACTTCAGAATTCCATTTTCTATCACTGTGGGACGGTAGAGACACCGATCCTCAGCTTTGATTTTTGGATTGTTGATGCGTACACTTCTTCTCAGTTTTATGAGGTGTTTGTCAAATATATGTTTTTTTTGTGGTGTTATTTTTACTGATTTTATTGAAAAACATTTAAGACAATACTTGAACTTGCCTAATTTGTAAAAAAAGGCGATTGAACCCATAACTTTGTTTATGCCATATCATTGCTGTAATCGAAAAGAACGTTTATTCAAAGTTTATGAATTATCACTAGTTAATATTATTTTGTTTCCGAGAAAAAAAATAGGAAAGTTACCTACAAAAAGAAATGAAATCCCATTAAAAACACAGAATGTAAAAAAAGTCATGTCTCGCAACCCAATTCATCCACAACAGAAAGTTGTGAGATCTCATGTAAAACCAAATAAACTGACGAGAGGGCATCTGCGCCGAAGTAATGCGTGAGCAGTTCTAGCGCAGTTTGTCAAGCAAATAGGGTGGATTTTTTTAGTCCGTAGGAATCCGGCACACCTCGGTCGCTAGAACAACAGACCAGCCGTCTAAGAAGAATTTTTTACCATCCTCAGAAAAAAAAACTGTCGGTATCGGTAAGCTACCGACAGCTATCGGTGCTTACGACGTATAGGGCATATAGCATTTGTACCGATGACTACCGGTATCTCTACCGTGGGATTAACAAGGCACGGTAGAGATATCGATCTTCATCGGTACGAATTTGCGATATCTGCGCTACCGATCGATAAGTATGACACCAACAATTAACACATTTTTACTATGTAAAAATACTACTATAACACGATGCTCATTGATCGTACGTACCGAGAGCAGTCGTAACTTAATGATACCGACGATTGTCGATGACGTGTACCCCAGGGGCGCTATTCTGTACAATGTGGGTCAAATTGGACGCTTTTAAAGGGAAACACACTTTTCTATAGGAGAGAGACAAAAACTAATATCGGTGTCTGGAGCTCAATTTTTATCAAAAACATGATGGTGAAATGGTTAAAAGAAGTTAATTGACTTTTGCGTACTGAATGGTCTGCGGATACTAAACGGCTTCTTTCCACATAAATTGATTCATCGATACACCCGAGAAAGGCCCTCTCTGCAACAAAAATCTATAATTGATTACGTAATTGCTAAACAAATATCGAACTGAAATTCAAAGACTGGAGAGTTAAGAGAGGAGCAAATTGTGGATCCGACCACCAGTTGGTTGTTGCAGAATTAGTAGTACCATTCCAAATCAGAGCCAGGAGTATTGAACATACAGAATCACAAGAACTGGAAATCGAGGAATCTGAACGTGTTAAGTACAAGCTTCACTTACTACACGATGCCAGTATTAAATGGCTGTACCAAAGAAGATTAGATGGAGCCCTAGAGGAAGTGAATGCCTGTAGTGATGTAGAAATAGAGTATACTAACTTAAAAACCTTAATTAAAAAAGTAGCCTTTCAAGTGTTAGGTGAACAGAACATGCAGAAAAAAAAGGATGAACCAGCCTGGATAACTGACAACATAAAGACCTTAATAAATGAAAAACAAAAATTCTATCAAAAATGGCTCTCAGACAGAACAGAGACTAACTGGGGTCAATACAAGCAAAAAAACAGAGAGGTACGAGCCGCTATTAAGGTAGGAAAAACGGATATGTGGGAAAGAAGATGTCAGCAAGTGAAAAGTCTACTAGGGGGCGCACGGAGTACTGAGGTCTGGCGAACAATCCGACAAATGAAAACCGACCAGAATTCCAATCTGCAGAAGAGGAAGACAACCTTGCGGGCACTTTAACGATCAGCGAAAGAGAAGTACATCTAAGTCTCAAAAAAATGAAAAATGGACGGTCACCAGGTCCTGGTAACATTGCAGTAGAATTGTTAAAGTGTGGGACCGAGAAATTGCGCTGGCGCCTGGCAGAGCTGTTCAACCAGTGCTGTCTGCAAAATAAACTACCCCAAGAATGGAGAGTGGCTCATATAGTGTCTATCTTTAAAAAGGGAAATCGCAACGACCCCGGTTGTTATAGAGGCCGGAGCATTAACCGCTCAGTGAGCAGGCTTTTTGGAAAAGTTCTGCAGGGTAAGCTCAGGGATAATATTGGTGACAAAATCTCGGAAGATCAAAACGGATTCACACCGGGGAAATCTTGCACAGATAACCTCTTTGTCCTACAGCAGGTGATGGAAAAAAAGATAGCAGTAGATCAAGAAGTCCATCTAGCGTTTATTGATTTGGAGAAAGCGTACGACTCTATTCCTCGCAACAAGATATAAGAAGCCTTGAATATTTTAGAAGTAGATAGACCCCTACTTAAGATAATAAAAGAGCTTTATAAAGAACATAAAGCGTACGTTAAGATAGGACACAGGCTATCCAATCCAATAAATACCACAAAAGGGTTGCGACAAGGATGCAGCTTATCACCTCTAATCTTCAATGCTTACGTTGAAGTAGCCCTTAGGGAATGGAAGAAGAGATGCCAAGGCATGGGAATACCCATTGGGGAAGATACACTGTTTACTCTGAGCTTTGCAGACGATCAGGTCGTGATTGCGCAGGACTCTTTGATCTGGAGTTCATGACTAAGAGGCTTTACCAAGAATATAACAAATGTGGACTTCAGGTTAGTCTAAAAGACAGAATACTTAGCTGTCAATTCCAACGCTTGTTTTGAAGTCTTCATAGATGATAACGTCCAGATTCAACAAGTAGACAAATTTAAATACCTGGGTGCTACTATCAACAACGAGGGTTTGGGCAAAGAAGAAATACAAACCCGAATTCAGAAGAGCAAACAAGTTATTGATTGTCTTAATAGCCTCTGGTGGGACCGAAACTTGTCTGCAACAACTAAAAAGAAACTTGGACGAACATTGGTGGAGTCAGTTCTTTGCTATGGTTCAGAGCTATGGACTTTGAGTGCAGATACGAAGCGCAAAATCCAAGTTGTTGAAATGGACTATCTTAGAAAGAGCGCAGGTATATCTAGGATGGAAAAAAGACAAACATCGAGGTCAGGCGTATCATGAATGCATCGGAGGAGACAGTGCTAGATCGAATTGAAAAATCCAGCTTAAAGTGGTTTGGACATGTTCTACGTATGCCGGAGAACAGGTGGCCAAGAAAAGTTTTTCAATGGACTCCCCAGGGTAGAAGAAAGAGAGGCAGACCTAGAAAATCCTGGAACGGAACGGTTAAGGAAGCAATGGAAGCTCGTAACCTAGAAGCTGATTACGCACTAAATCGAGACGTGTGGCGTAGGGTAACGGGAAGGCAACAATAGGCTGTAGTTGGAAAAAAGTATCAAATACTTATACCAAATCCCGTTTATATATGAGTTACGGGGTGTTTTTCAAAAATGTGCATTAACAAATCGCTGTAACTTTTTTGGTATGAAAAATTTTGTATTTTTATGAAAACATTTCCAAAGCACCTTTTTAGGTGGAATTTAATGGTTTAAGTATATTTTTAAAATTAATAATTTAAGAATTATGAACAGAAAATTTGATTTATTATATGGGACCCCCTGTATATTTTTAATTCATTGAGAAGAATTTAAAATTACCTTTCCAAAAATATAACATATTTCATATTTTGCTCGATTCCTCTTGGAGATATAGAGTTTTTAAAAATTCGCCCACTTTGAATAAGTAGGATTTGAACCGCGCCGGCTGTAATGCAAAAAAATTGTAGCTGTGAGCAGCAATTAAAACGAAAGTAATATTTACAATGAGAGATTTAGAATTTTATAACAATTTAAACTATATTTAACATCAACACATTTAAACTATATCTAATAACGATAAAAATTAATAGCTAACCAAGACATGAGATTTTGCTACAGGTGTTCGACATGTCGACCGTCTTCTGTTATGGACAGACGGGACCGTTTTTGAACATTTCTCGCGGAATTCATTAACTCAGTGGGAGTGAAAGATACCCTCGCATAACCGCTAAGTACTTCTAATTCTTGTCTAGATTATACAGGCAATTTAAAAAAAAACTTTATTCTTTCAAAAAGATAAAAATCCACAGGCACTAAGTTCAGCGGCCTCGACGGCCAACGGCTGGGATCTTGGTTAGCTAATCAATTATTCTCGAAATTTGCCGCAAAAGTTAGCTGATAACTTCAGCGTTCTAAGGCGGTGCCTTGTCTTACTGGAAAAATATGTTTTCGAGTTCCATTAGGGGCAGATCATCAATAAGAGGTCCAAAGCCTACTAGTTAAAAATGGCAAACTTTTAAAAATTCTGTATTTTGAAGGGGATTATAACCAAATATCACGTGTGCTATATTTTTGAAAAGGTAATTTTAAGTTCTTTCATTTAATTAAAAATATACAGGGCGTCCCAAGTAAAAAATCAATTTTTCTGTTGATAACTCTTAAATTATTAATTTTATTTTTTTTTACTTAAGCCATTAAATTCAACGTAAAAAGGTGCTTTGGAAATACTTTTATAAAAATATAAAATTTTCCATAGCAAAAAAGTTACAGCGATTTGTTAAAAATGCACATTTTGAAAAACACCCCGTAACTCCGAAACGGTAGCAGATATTGATGAGCGGTTTTCACCATCATGTTTTTCATAAAAATTGAGCTCCAGACACCGATATTAGTTTTCGTCTATCTCCTATAGAAAAGGGTGTTTCCCTTTAAAAGCGTCGAATTTGACCCACCCTGTACAATCGTCGGTATCGGTAAGAAAGTCGGTACCTTGAACCGTGTCCGTATAGTCCAAATAAATAATATTGGTTTGTAAATTAGTTTTATTAGTTATTGAGTTAAATATTTTATTGGGTTAATAGTTACTTCGTTAGTTAAATTGTTACTTCGTTAGTTGAATAAGACTTTTGGGTATCCACACGGAACCCGGCAAGAACGTTTCAAATCAATAAATTAAAGCTGTTTACTTTAGAAACAGGAAAATATTTTATCATAAAAAGATACAAAAAAATCATTCTCGCATTATTAAAATAAAAAAATAGGTATGGCTCAATTTCTTTTTAATTTTACTTTAAAAAATGTCTGAAAGTGAAATTCAGAAACAGCTACAGCCAGTTCCGTAAGACTATTCATTTTTGTCAAAGAAAACTTCATGTTCCACATTTTTTTTCTCAGAAACATTTAATTTTAGGTGTCGAAATGTATTAATAAAAATAATTACAAATTTGCAGTAAATTCTTTGAGGTTTGAAAGTAAGATTTTTTTATAGATCTAATAATTTTTGTATGTAGTCCTTATTAACACACACGCTGAAATATTTTTAGGTAAAATAAAAATAGTTCAACCCGATTTTTTCAGATTATATCTATAATATTTTAGTTTAAATCTACCAATTTCCCGCTTTGCATTCAATTGTACCAACTTATTTCTTTATAAATCAAAATAAACTATTTTAGAAATTAAAACGAGAGACACACTGTCGATGATTTGTACGGTCTATACTTTTGAAATATATACATATATACTTACTTTCGGATCATATCGTTTATATTGATCAAGGCCCAAACCTGAAAAACAAGGAATAATTAATATTACACGCTGTATGAAATTAAAGTACATGTAATAAATAAATTAATAATATGGGCAGTGTACTAATCACAAGTATTTTTCGATTCGAAACCATTCACACACACAACAAACTCATTCGAATAGTTTTTCTCAAATAAATTTTAAACTTGATTTCATAATATAGTGCATCAGTTCATCAAGCCTCAAATTTCTCATTAAAAATAAAAAATAGATGGAAATAATATGACTTCCAGTTTTCCAGCGTTTTACTCAGAGAGAACACTAATAACTAAAGTGAGAGAGACCGATTAACGTTAATTTTTGAAGACTGTGTTAGTAGCGCGGCCTTTGGCGTCTAACCCGAACTATGAGCGCATTATCGATATAGTAGGTTGCATTCATACTTATATTCTGGCGCCAAAGATTTAAAATTTGTATATTTCAACCGAATCTTAATCTTTCAAGTTTATAATAAGAAATCTTCGTAGCTTTTTTAGATTTTGTTGACAACGAAAATTTATTATTAGACTTTAAAGCATTTAAAGCTATAAATAAAATACTGTGTAGGAACATAATAATTTATTTAACTCCATACTCCTTGCCATACTCCAACTCAAGGCTGCAATCTTCAGTAATTTTTTTATCTAACTTGGTTGGGAGTGAACAGGGAAGCACGGTTGGGAGCTCGCACAGAGTATCAGTAGGTATCCCGTAGGTATTCAATGTTTTTGATAGTCTTTATTCTCTAAAAAGAACCTAGCAGTTGAAGAAAATAATTTGTATTACTGGAAATAATACCAGGTATAATACCTAGTCGTTTCATAGGTATCAGAAAAGAATGTGATGTTTTAAATTAAAAAAATTAAATTAGCAATGTACGATTATTATGTGCACTCACTATTACTATTAGGTATCTTAAATTAATTACCGAGATAAAACTTACCTTTAAAGGAAACGTTTTGTCTGGGTCTCAACCACAAAAAAAGAATTACAAAAATGCCGAATAATCGTGGAATCTGAAATAATCAATAATGACAATAATCTTCTCTTCTGACAAGCTAAAAGAACAGGCACATTCAGTTAAAAACAATTTATTATTCCGATTTGCTCCGAATATCAACAGATTTTAGTTATCTCCTTCTAGAACTAAGAATAGAAAAAGCTACTGACAATCTAATTAATCCTGTCAAATGTTTAACTTGCAAAGTTCAAAACTTCCTTTTTTGACCGCCTAAACGCTATGCGCGTCTGGGATGCGCGGTGACAAAATAAACTTGTCTACCAAATGCCCTATTCCACAAGCCCTCTCACTTTAGTTATTAGTTTCTCCCTGGTTTTACTAAAACAACTAGGGATGTGAGCAAATTTTTCTGACATTGTCACGTCACGGTCATAATGAAAATGACGGTCACGTCATCGTAGATAAAAGAAAATAATCTACTATTAACACGTCATTTATTTTTATGACACTCTTGTCATTTATTTTAAAATTTTCCTTTCATTTCCAAAGAAAACTTTTTTGGAGATCTCTTTATTCCATGTTTGGTTTGGTGGACCGTAGCAGAGACCGTAGTTACTTAGTTTAGTTACTCAGTGTGATATAGCTGTGTTTTGTTTCATTGTTTTTAAAAATGTTACTAATTTATTTTAAAAGTATACCTAAGCTATGCCTTTAAGCCTTTGAATAAGAAGACTAAGGAAGGAGCATAATGCTATCCATGTATTCATGCATGGTGGGCGGAAAAAGCACCATAAAAGCACTCTAGGGTGGGGATCCTTGACAGTTCTGTTTGACGATTCATTTGACACATTTGAATTTGATTAGAAATTTTGTGGCTTTGTCAGTCTTAACGGAGCTTATTTTATGTTATTTATTATTTATTTTACTACTGATAGTTGTATAAAGGTAGTAAATCTAGATGGAAATTGTGGCAGCACTTAAATTAACAGTGACACTATCGCGATTTATCGAAAAAGACTCAAATAGTTGGTTGTGTAGCGTGCGGTAGATCTCGGCAAAAATTGAGTGAAATAATGGAACAACTTTTCGCTAGTAAGTGACTATATAATATACATACGTGTAGTAAACCGATCATTTATGAAATTCACTTAAATTAACTAAATTATATATTTTTCTTGCATTTTAGCTTTTATTTAGCTTGTCAAAGATTAGATGTCAAAGAATTTAGATACGTTAATTTGACTTACCTGCTTCAGTAGCGTATCGGATGTTTGTGGTAACAAATACTTATTATAACTTATCTATTTTTATTAGAATTATATATTTTTATAACAATTTTAATAACTACCAACATTTATTCACAACGTAAAATAAAACAACAAATTATTGAGTCTACCCCACGTCTACCCTACATCATAGTTTTACATTTGTTAAATAAAATTAGAACGACACTGATAAACCGGAATTTAAGTCGGCCATATTTGAGGCCCATCGCGGTGTACCTAAGATTTTTGATATGCTCCTTCCTTAGTCTTCTTATTCAAAGCTTTAAGCTCATTTAGGTATCAGAATTATTTATTATTGTTTTGTTTTGTATTTGGTTATATACGGCTGTGAACGTAGAACCACTAAGACTGATCTTTGTTTAAGTTTGTATTTGTTAATATATCTTTATCTTTACTTCCCTGGCGATTTTTTTACACTTAAGGTAAATGACCATAAATGACCGTAAATGACAAAAATGACGATATCATGTCACAAAAAATAAATGACCGTCATTTTACATCCCTAAATACAACATTAATAATTTTCAATGTGACGACAATTCTAGCTGAATTGAATCGAAAATGTTTATCAACGCGAACTTCTCTCCTGATAACTGGATGAAAAATACGGAAATATGATACCAAAAGTGAAGATATTCAATGATAATAAGTTTAGGGCAAATTACCTAATGAATAAATATTTTTGTGAAGATAATAACTTCGTACTTCGTACCGCCTAACAGTGAAGAAGAGTGAAATGTTTTTTTGCCAATCCTGAGGGACGGATATCTGATTGACCGAATGAAGGTTGATTCTCACTATACCTTCCGTTTCCATTCCATATCCGTTCCGTATTTTTTTATACGTAAGCTTCCGTTCCGTATCAGTTCCATACTTTTTATTGTACAAGGTGGGTCAAATTCGACGGTTTTAAATGGAAACATCCTTTTCTATAGGAGATAGACGAAAACTAATATCGGTGTCTGGAGTTCAATTTTTATCAAAAACATGATGGTGAAAACCGCACATCAATATCTGTTACCGTTTCGGAGTTTGGTTTGGTTTGGTTGTGAAAATTGGTTGTTGGTTAAAAATTAATAATTTAAGAGTTATCAACAGAAAAATTGATTTTTTATTTGGGACACCCTCTATATTTTTAATTAACTGAAAAGAATTTAAAATTACCTTTCCAAAAATATAGCACACTTTATATTTTGTTATAATCCCTTTCGAAATAAAGAATTTTTAAACGTTCGCCACTTTTAACTAGTAGGCTTTGGACTCCATATTGATGATATACCCTTAATGGAACTCGAAAACATATTTTTCCAGCAAGACGACGCACCGCTTCTGAACGCTGAAGTTATCAGCAAATTTTTGCAGCCAATTTCAAGAATAATTGAATAGCTAACCAAGATCCCAGCCGTTTGCCGTCGAGGCCGCCTGACTTTCGCAAATATATATCCATAGGGTTAGATCCATGGGCACTAAATCTCACCCTATGGATATATATTTGGGAAAGGATAAAGGTTCCTTATTCTTCCGTATAACCTAGACAAGAATTAGAAATACTGTTATGAGAGGGTATCTTTCACCCCTACTGAGTTAATGAATTCCGCGAGAAATGTTCAAAAACTGCCCCGTCTGTCCATAACAGAAAACGGTCGATATGTCGAACACCTGTAACAAAATCTCATGTCTTGGTTTGCTATTTATTTTTATTGTTATTAGATATAGTTTAAATGTGTTGATGTTGGTTAAATATATTTTGAATTGTTATAAAATTCTGCATCTCTCATAGCAAATATTATTTTCGTTTTAATTGATGCTCACAGCTAGAATTTTTTTGCATTACAGCCTGTGCCGTTCAAAGCCTACTTATTTAAAGCGGGCGAATTTTTATATACTCTATATCTCGAAGAGGAATCGAGCAAAATATCAAGTGTGTTAAATTTTTGGAAAGGTAATTTTAAATTATTTTCAGTAAATTAAAAATATACAGAGTGTCCCATATAAAAAATCAAATTTTCTGTTTATAACTCTTAAATTATTAATTTAAAAAAAATTATACTTAAACTATTAGATTCTACGTAAAAAGAAGCTTTGGAAATGTTTTCATAGAAATACAAAATTTTCCATAGCAAAAAAGTTACAGCGATTTATTAAAAATGCATATTTTTGAAAAATACCCCGTAACTCCAAAACGGTAACAGATATTGATGTGCGGTTTTCACCATCATGTTTTTGATAAAAATTGAGCTCCAGACACCGATATTAGTTTTCGCCTATCTCCTATAGAAAAGGCTGTTTCCATTTAAAAGCGTCGAATTTGACCCACCCTGTACAATTTATATCATTACGAAACTTTTTTTTAAATTTGTATCTTTTGTAAAAGGTAATAGATTTACTTAAGAGGTGAAAGAATAAATAAATATCAGCAAAATGTTAACAGAACTGGTACAACTGTAAGAATTTGACAACGCTCTTTCCGATACGCTTCAGTCCGTCCGCCAAAAAAAATGTATCGAAGGAAAGGATATGGAACGGAAGGGAAACGGAACGGATAGTGTGCATTGTCCTATTCATTTACATGATATAATATTTTATGTAAACGGAAGGAAGACGGAAGCGAGCTGATATGGGAGGTATAGTGAGAATCAATCTTGATCTGAAACGATTGAGACTAATCTCTCTATTTTTGTTTATATTTTCTATATACACACACCGGAAAAATCTAGGGATATCATTTTATTAAAGTTAAAAATAAATGTTTTGAATAAACAACCACATATTTGTAGACCGATTCTTTCTACTTCGATTGAAACGAAGTAGTCACACTAGTTCTAAATTTGGGATATTTGCAGAAGTGTTTGTGCATTTTTGTCAAATGTATAAAAAGCACCTAGCATCAATTGTTCGAATTTAACCTGTACTGGCTATGTTTTCATGATAACTGGCCAGAATTCATTCAAATAACTCTGTTTAGTACTAAACGACATTATGGAGCGTAGACATCTTAACAGAGACGAAATGCTAAATGCCATGAGTATGCTCGAAGCTGGAATGCGCCAAATCGACGTAGCTAGATCATTAAATACAACGCAAAGTGTAATATCGCGATTAAGTGCACGCTACCGTGAAAGTGGTGATGTTGCTGAAAGGCACACAGGGCGACATCGCATTACTACCCCTCGGCAAGATAATTTTTTACAATTAAATGCTCGACGCTGACCGACTCTTACAGCACCAGAGCTTAGTTTAATTCTCCAGGAAACACATAATGTAACCGTTAGTCCTGACACTGTTCGCAACAGATTAAGAGAGGTCAACTTAAGAAGCAGACGCCCCTGGAGAGCTCAACCCTTAACGAGAGGAAATCGAGAGGTACGATATTTGTGGGCTCAAGATCATGTTGAGTGGTCGAATGAACAATGGGCCAATGTTCTCTTTACGGATAAGTCACGCTTTGGAATTCATCCGGATTCGAGAAGGCTTAGGGTATGGAGAGAACCGGGAAATCTTATTCGGTTGGATCATGTTCAGGAAGTGCACCCTTATCAAGGTGGAACAGTTATGGTCTGGGGAGGAGTCCAGTTAGTCCGAAAACCGATCTCGTTTTTCTTGAAAGGTTTCTAACAGGAATCACATATCGTGATTTAATTCTTGAGCCTGTCGTGTTACCATATGCCAATGACTTTGGAAGAAACTTCATTCTCATGCATGACAATGCACGGCCTCATACAGCCAGAGTAGTAAGTGAGTTTATCAATTCTCATCAATTAAACATCTTACCCTGGCCGGCACAATCTCCTGACCTCAACCCCATCCAGCACGTATGGGACGCGGTCCAAAGAAGAATTTTGAGAATGGGTATGCCTCGTGAAACTCGTAGGGATCTGGTTCGGGCCGTGAATGCAGCGTGGCAGGCTGTTCCTCAAGAAGAGATCGACAACCAGATCAGGAGCATGGAGAGACGATGTAGGGCTGTAATGAACAGTAGAGGAGGCCATATCCTTTATTAAATAAAAATGGTTTTATTTAATAATTAATTTCACAGTTTAGAATAAAAAAAAATGTGTGTATTTTTTGAGTTCAATAAAAATCATGGTAAATTTAAAAAATTCGGTAAATTTCGCATTTTTATTTCCAATACGTCCTGTAAACTATTTGTTTATTTTAATTTTATTATATCAGAAATGCAAATAATAAAATTACTGACGATGGCTGGATAAAATTGTAATATCCTTAGACTTTTCCGGTGTGTGTATTTCAATATCTCTAGATTTGAATATACTATTTTCCCAACTATTTTTCGTTGAATTTCTATTCTGTAATGCCTAGTATGTGACAGAGTTGCAGTAGACATCAATTATTGCCAATAAGCTTTAAGGACATGTGACATGATCTGTCAATTGCGGAAGATGGCGAATGGAGTTCTAAACCTAATTTATTTAAAAATGTATTTTCTATGTAATTTTTTCCGTGAATTTTTCCGATATTTTAATAGTTATTCTGCTTTTCGCGCGGAGACGAATCCAACAAAACAGCCCTTCTTACATAATCACAACAGAAATAATTTTGAAGAAAATGTTATATTCAAATATATACAGGGTGGCACACCTCATTCGCCTCGGTTGCTCATACGAAAACGTTTAGATATATAAACAAAATATGTTATGGGTATATGTGCGGAGGCAATCTGCACAATTTAAAATTATTTTGAAATATACAGGGTCTTTCAGAACTAAGATCCATACCAAAGTTATATTTTTTCTTAAAAAAAGCCAAGGCCCAAAAAAGGCATTTATTATAAGGGTTAAATATGTTTAATATCTTTGGTTTTTGATATATTTAAAGATATTTAAATATGCATGCTATAGTAGAATAGACTCTCAACACCCTGTGTATTACTTTTCAGAATTAATTCTTGTGCTGAGTTTAAACGTAGAGAAATAAACTTTACTGAAAAATTGTATTGCTTCCTTAAATTTATACAGGGGTACAAAAATTGCTGATCTATTTTAAATATTTATTTTACATAAAAACTTTTTCAGGGTTTCCTATACCTATCTCGGCCTATCTATTTTATTTTTATATTCGATTTAGAATAAATAACGATTTTTAAATAAAATGGCAATCAACATGGTGTCGCCATGGCAATTTTCTAGTGACAGTTAGTAACTATTTTCAAAATCGACATTAGTTTATGGACATTATTATTTAGATTTATAACAGTTTAGTTAAATATATTCATAATAGTTTAATAAGTATTCATTCCTGATAAGCGTTCCTTTGAAAAACTACTTGTCCTATTTTGCAGAGCTGGTAGTGTGGTTTATAAAAACCTATTAGTAAACGTTGCTATTAGGCAGAAACCTGTCGTTGGAAGTGAAGAAAATTAATTTGCCGTAATTGACTCTTTTATAGAAAATCCATATATCTACAACTCATCGTAAAATAAATCAAAATACTACTTATTTATTATACTACTTATTATTTATTGTAGGAGTAATTATTATAGGGGTAACTATTGTAGGGCGCAACTGCTATTGCAAATGAGAAAATTGAATTTTTGCAAAATATGGTCTAGATAAGAGGTACTATAAATAATGGCGTCATCATCCTAAGCAAATTTCGGAGATTTTTGCTTAAACAATTATGCCCTACCTGCTAAGGTAAAATGCTATGCTGGGGGAAGGGTTGATGTTTTATTTAAATGTTGATAACTCCGGACTGGATAATCGGAATTGAACGAGCTAGGGCTCTTTCAAAGGAGCATTCCTTATCATATAAGCTATAATCATAAGCATTTAACAGTAGATGGCAGGGGGCGCTGTCTTAACATTGCACGTTTTTTCAAAAAAATGAAATGCTATAGTATATGTAACTTTAGCTGATGGTAATCAAAAGAGAGCAATAAAAGCTTAAAAGTCAGTAAAAACCGCATCTTGACATCTTATTTCAAACCAAAGATATTAGCAAAAATATAATAAATACAAATAAATATGCCCTTAACTAACTTATTTTTATAACATGGTATCAGTAGCCCTCTTGATTATGAACATTTTAATAAAAAATAAAATAAAAACTATTAATTTATTCTAATATCGATAATATACCGGGATACCATAATACCAGATAAGTTAATATCTAATAATTAAGATGCTAATGGCATCTTAAAAAAGAAAAAACTCATGGTAACTTCACCATGGTAGGCTTTGGAAAAAAATTGCTTTTGAAGTAATAGTTTAAAGGTACAAAGTATTATTAATTCAACATTTTGATATTCTCAGCAGTGTTTTTTATCGTTTCCATGACCTAAGCCTACTAAGGCGTTCTTCCTTGTCCATTGTCATTGGCAAAAATTCCATTGGCATTCTTATTTGTCACAGCAGTTGCGCCCTCTAGCGGCCTTTTTATAAACTTACCAATTCCGTTTTGGAAGAATTTTAAACCACCCAGCAGACTTCATCTTTAGATCAGTATAAAATGTAATGTTTATTAAATAGGAATGTTTTATAAGATTGGCAACATTGGAAAATGAGGTTGTAATAGGTTAAAATATATTAAGGGATCGCTGTTTATTTAGTAGTAAGTAATTTTTATAACCGATATATCTACCAATAAAGAAAAATTGATATTTAAGTGGTATAGAACATTTATGGAATAATGACAATTAAAGATATAAATCTGTAAAAAAAATATATAGTTAAACCATACAAAACAAATATCTAATTACACACTAGGTTTGAAAAAATAAAATACTGAAAAATACTTATTAAAAACTAACCATCAGGTTGTTTTAATCCGGGTGTCATGGACCGTAAAAAGTCATCGGGTGTCATATAAATTTCATGTAGATCAACACCAGGGCCTTGAACTTGCAACGTAGCAAAATAACGGAATACTTTATCTGGAGTAGAATAGTGTCTGATACGGTTTTCATACTCTATGATCTAACCATGTAACAAAGAGATTAGTTAAAATATGAATATGCATATGAAGATTCAAGCAAGTAAAATAAAGAAAAATATAGCAAAACTTCTAATTTAATTTCAAAAAACTTTGATGATTTTTTATCTTTATATGTCTGCTCCACATTGCATCAGAAGCCGCTATTTGTAATGCTATTTGTTTCCATGACATGCGATAGAGGTTTAACTATATATAAAAGGCCCCATACATAGTCGAATATGTTGAACTCAACAGAGGCTTCACTCGGGCCCACGTCATGACCTACATGGTCACATCAACAGTAGCGCAAATAGAGGGATCTAGGGTGTGCTTAGTCCCCCAACGTTAAAATTAGCCCGCCACCCCTGATGATTGGTGCGGGTTGTTTAAAATTGGTGTTTACCTCAAATCAATATTATCTTTTAAGTTAACTGAGCCTTCTCAAAAGACATGAGCCCCCTAAAAGTCGGTGTCTAGTTGCTCTACTGCACATCAGTAACAACGGTGCGTCAATTCATGGCACATAGACCAATAAAAATGTTTTCTGCGTCTGTATGACAATTTAAAAGGAAACTGAGGAAGAATTGGCTTTAAGAGGAAAAAAAAATCATATACGGCTCATAACACAGATCACAGTTAAAAAAAACAAAATAACGATCAGTAAAGAAACAGGAGGAGCGCGCTTGGTGGCCACACTGCAGTTTTTGCTTAACAAACATTTGCAGAGCCATTGGCCAATTATTTTTTACAATCTTAAGTAGCCTCCAACTTCTGTATAGATTTATGAGATCCAAAATTTTATATTTACTATTTAGGCGGAATACGGCGATGTAATTCGTTTTTTTATATTTTCATTTTTAAAAATATTAACCAATGTTTAGAGATTTTAAATGGGATTGTAAATCAAATGCAGCAAATATGGGCTTCAAGGTCAGCCACCGGATCCACACATTTACCAAATATAATATAAATAGTAAAATTACTATAAACAATCATAACTATATAAATACTCAATCATTACTATATAATAATAAACAATTATTAAAGTTAACTTTTATCCAGCTCCATCGTACTGCGCATGAGCAAATATATTTTTCTTATTTTATTTTATTTGGCTATATGAACGCTCACAAAAAAGAATTCCTTATTTCTTATTTTATTTTATTTGGCTGTATGAGCCCACCATTATGGTGGGTTGCGCATGAGCGAATATATATTTGCTCATGCACAGTACGATGGAGCTGGATAAAAGTTAACTTTAATAATTGTTTATAATAATTTTACTATTTATAGTATATTTATTTATTCGATGTATACTATTTTATAAATTTATACTTAAGTAAAATATTTTATTTGGCTGTATTAACACTAATTATGAAAATTAAAAGGATATTCAAGTACAGGTTTTATTTACATTTATTTTATGTGAACTTTATAAAAAATTCATTAACATGGAATTGTAATTTGAAGTTTATAATTACCTATCTATGTATGGCTGTTAAGAAATAGTATATTAAACAACGAGTTTCGAAAACGGCGTTTTGCACACGAGTTCGACAGTTTGTTGGCTCGAGCCGCAGGCAAGAGCCACAAGTCGAACGAGTGTACAAAGAAGTTTTCGAACGAGTTTTTTGCGCTATTTTTTCTACGACTATAAATTAGCAGCAGACTCACTCAGTTTTTGCCAGTTTTGTGCAATAATTTGCGATGTAATGATGACACTTTTCTGACGGCTGCGTTGCGTTTGGCGTTTCAGCTAAATATTGGAGGTTAAAAATGTTAAAATTGACACATGTTGTATGCACTAAGAGTAAGCGTGCGCAATGATTGCACACTACAAAATTTGCGCACGGTGTGTGAAAAACGTCACTTTCAGATTGACTTTAGCGTGCGTTTTTTAACGTTTTACATAGCAGTCGTAGAAAAAAAATTAATTTTGTAAACAGAAATAAATAAATATATATATATTATTGTTTTCAAGTATAAAAATCTGTTTTTATTGACATGAATGCAAATATAAGTATAAATTTTCTAAAATATCACAATGTCTTTTTGTCCTCATATAGCCTTTCCACTATGTGCCGCCCTCTGTCAGTATCGGGGTTTCACTCTGCTGTCCCTGTATAGTATGTTGCTGTTCAGGTAAAGCCTCCTGGAAAAATATTACGCATGTAGTGGGAGGTTAACAGAAAATTACTAGCCCAGTGACGTCATGCGCGCGGAGAACCGATTTGCGACCGCCAAGGACCTTGTGAGATAAAATATTGCGCATGTAGTTGGCGGAGCTTAACAGAAAATTACTACCCGGGTGACGTCATGCGCACGGAGAACAGATTTGCGACCCCCAAGGATCTTATCTTTCCGTTATCGTATCATGGACAACAACCGAGGTTCATGCACCCGATCCTATGCAAATATGTTACGTAATCCCTTAGATGCTGTTTGGAGAAGTGATTCAACGTTCACACCAGTTCTTGTCATATAACCGCTCCTAGAAGAGAATTGTCTTGTTTTGTAACTCGTGCCCACTTTTCTTGCTCTTTAGGCTGCCCAGTATAATTATCATCGCAACCAGGAACACAACAAAGATGAGGTATAGCACCAAAAACACACTCCAGGCTTTATTATTGAATTGTTAGAGTCTTAAAAAAACACACACAAAAATCATGACAAATAAAAAACTTATGGGCACTTTTAGGTTAAATCACTTACGAAACGTAGAATGTAGAATGCACCGAGAAATCGCCTGACCACCTTAAGCCCGACCAATAAGAAGAAAAGGAGGGCAAAACGGTCTGATTTCAAATCTTTTTGTGAAAACATCACTTCTACTCCTTATGCAGCTAGACTACACAAAGCTATGGCCAAGAGTGGGCCTATCCCATGGAACGTGGAAGTTGAGAAATCTGATGGAAGCTACACGGAAAGAGAGGAAGAAAGACCTAACCTCCTACTTTATACACATTCTAGGTAGCATATCTATTGATACACACAATCCTTGTAGGGAAGACTGGAAAGTGGCCAAGCTAGTAATAACAGAACAAAAACTGAAACGTGCTATCGACACCTTTCAGCCCTCTAAAGCATCAGGAGTAGATGGGATCTTTCCTGCCCTTCTAAAGGAGGGTCCGAAAATAGCTACTCACCATCTACTGAGCATTACAAGAAGCAGCTTAGCGATGAGATATATACCAACCATCTGGAGAAGAGCAAAAGTAATCTTCATACCCAAAATAGGCAAAACTGACTGGAGAACCCCAAGTCATTCAGACCTGTTAGTCTCACATCGTTCGTTCTAAAAACGCTGGAGAAACTAGTCGACAGCCATATTGGAGAAAATCATCTAAAGGTTAAACCACTGCACGACAGTCAGCATGCATATAGAGCGGGAAGATCCACAGAAACTGCTCTGTACCAATTAACGGAGCTAATTCAGCCAAGTCTGGATAGCAAAGAAACAGCAATGTGTGCCTTCTTGGATATTTCGGGGGCGTTTGACAATATACCACACAAGGTGGTCAGGCGATCTCTAGAAACAAGAGGGGTAAACAGAACTATTATTCGCTGGTTTTGGCAAATGCTGCAAACACGGACAGCAGAGGCTCAGATGGGCACCAAAACTGTAACTGTTAAAACAACGCAAGGAACGCCACAAGGTGGAGTAACCTCCCCTTTGCTGTGGAGCTTAGTAGTAGATGAACTACTAGACGAATTAACTCTAGCGGGAATACACTGCATTAGGTGCATTGGATATGCAGATGACATAGTCACGATCGCTCAAGGGAAACATGAAGGCACCCTGTGTGATATTATCCAAAGAGGACTCTGCATCACTGGGTGATGGTGCAGGACTGTCGGGCTGAGCATCAACTCATGCAAAACAGCGGTAGTGCCATTCACCACAAAGCGAAGTTTAATAAACTTTGGTTCAATTGATATTGGAGATGAAGAATTACCCTCTATAAAACCGTCCCAAATAATGGCTTTTGTCAAAGCCCTGGCACTGAATGATAACTCATTAGAAAATGGGGCACAATAGACCTGTAGGTCGCAGTGATTAACGCCCCTCCCACTCATTCTACATTCTACATTACAAAACGTGTGTTATACAACCCTTCTACATTGAAACCATGTTAAAAAAACTTAAAATTCTCTTTTAGCAAACAAAAGCATTATTGTTTACTTGCTTTATTTTCAGTTTGTTCAATAACTTTTATGAGAAACAGAGAGTGAACACCAAAATAATTAGTTTTTTGCACTACAATGATAAATAATGCCTAAAATCAACCAGCAAAATATGAATACGGAATCCGACCAAACATCTACTTATGAACAGCTGATCAAGTAAACAAAACTCCGCGCTAAGGCTGTTCTTTTAGAGAGGGCAGTGAGCCAATCAGAAAACCGAATTTTACTCAAAAATATGTAGGTGAAGAGGTATTTTAAATATTGACTACAATCAATGAGAAATTTATATTTTTTTATATAGCGTATCTTATAAAATAAAGTGGTAGAGCAAGGTTAAACTTGCTTTTATTAAAATAAAGATAACTCTGGTTTGGGTTAGCTGATTTAAACAAACTAGGGCTTGTTTAAAAGATATTTTCTTCGCTAATGATATCGAGTATAAATTTTGTTTCCATAGATGTTTCCATAGATTTTTTCGTGGTAGCTAGCGTAGGATAAGCTTTCAGGGTGCTGCTTGACAATATATCATATATTGCACTTTTGCATAAAAATATTAGATAGCAATAATAATTAAATTATGTTTCTTTACGCAAAGTTAAATAAAGAACTAAATTTTCAAAATATCAGCGCAAACCTCAATTTTCTATCTTCTCTCTAAGGGGAAATATTAAGAGAACAAATAATGTTAGGATACCGCCTAAGATTATAAGGTCTGTTCTGATTCGACCCCATAAATAAATCCCCAGGCATGTTAAATCCGGTGCCTTAACTGACCATCGAAACATATACCGCTCTGGCGTTTCTATATATTAAA